CATTATAAATGCAACCGACACGCTTGCCTAAAATTAAATAAATTTAACTTTAAAACAGGTTAAATAAAATATTTACATAAAACGAATATAAGTTAGTTTTACATCAGTTAGGTAACGAATTTAGTTCCGAGTTACAAAAGTACAGATAACAAAACAATAATAGCATATTTTACCGGTTACGCAAAACTTTGTCATACCTTATCGTCAATGATGGATCTTGAACGGAGATTGAAAAGACTAAATTATTCAACAGTCTATGCCATTAAAATATACGATAGCAATGAATTACAATCGTCAGAAAGAACCATGAAACCTTTCACCTGAGAAAATCACTATACATTTTGCCCGGTTCGGGAATCGAAGCCTAGGCCTTACTAACATTTTAAATTCAAATTCCACGCGGACGAAGTCGCGGATACCAGCTAGTCTTTTAAAATAAATCTTCCTTCCTTTGCCCTTTTTTTCCCAAACTAGGTTTGGGTCGGCTTTAAGTCAGTTACTATAGAGCTAAACTTCAATTTTTAATTTTTGACGTGGAGCGACAGCCATCAGTATTCCACAACCAAAGTACTAGGCGATATCGAAGTTCTGTAGAAAGACTGTTGTCGGAGTTTTTAGGGCTCTAACTTTTTAGGGTTCGACTGGCAATGGGTCTGAATGTGCTGAGAATGGTCACCCGTCAATAGACTGATTTGCCTAGGATTCCTAAACTTTGCGATGTGTTAACATATTCGGTTACCACTTAGCGTGGGACAAGGGGGGCTCCAGGCTAAGTGGTAATCGAGTAGTAGTAGAGTAGGGATACTTTGAAACAAAATAAAACTTATTATTTTATAAGCATTTACTATTGATTGTTGTATCTTATTATTCATTGAAGGTGAGTTTAGTACGAGGAAAGCTAAGACAATATGCTGATTATGCAAAATTAATATTGTAAATTCTGTCGTTGTCGTTCAAACGTTTTACTCAAACTACTTCCTAGCACCGTGAACACAATTCTTAAATTTATGAAAAATTCCGTACTTACATAAAATACATTCAAAATGAATAAATAGATGATTTCTTCTAAATCTTTAGATTAGGAAGCCACTAACGGTCAAGAGTCAATAGTGCGTTGGCGGCCTTTGTAAAAATCAACACTAAAATTATAGCAGAATTTTAAATCAAAATGTCTGATACAACATTATGTTAATAAAAAATAATAATTTACTAACAATTTTAATGTACAATTTTTTTTTTTTTTCCGTTGAAATTTAACATTTTAAATGTACTTATGGAAAACTAAAATCCTTACCAATTATCAGCCTTCTTCTTCATTGAGTCGCAATATAATTACCAGAAAAAAACCATACAGATTCTAGTTAATATTGTATCGTATGTTATGTAAGTCGTTAATGTAATTCTAAACACCTAACTTTTATTTTAATACGATCATGATCTTGGCCTTCAAGACTGCATTCACGATGTAAGTTCGTGATTCATTCAACTTTTTCTAGACGTTCATATTCGTATTGTTTATAGATATTTTACTTTTCGTAAGTAATCTCTTGCTAACCGTCGCTTGATGGCTTGTTGGCCTGTGGGAGAACTCTCTGAAGCACAAATATGTCATGACTTTTAAGAGAAAAAAAACCTCAGATTCGTGTTCTTGAACAATCAGTTGAAGTATTAATGCGACAATAACTACAACAACTACTAAACAAAAAACTTAAATCAAAACAAAAAATGTTGGGTGTTATTATTAAAAATGTTTATAGCCTGACAAAACTTGATCAGATATATCATTTAAGTAGCCATTAACCTTCTAATTAAGTAATTTAAAAACAACAGTTTGTTTAATCTTTGAAGCTAATGATAATGATTTCTCCATTAATTTTCAATTATAACACCAAGCATTAAGAATATGGAAGGTTGGGCGCTAATTCTAAACAAACTTAAAATTTCAATTACTTTTTGGATGAAATTTTATATTGGAATATCGTAGCATCCATGTACTACATTATTTTTTATAAGTTTTAACCTATCAGTTTTAAGCATGGACGTATAAAAAAAGTCGGAGGGAACTCTCGCTAACAAAAAACTGAGGCACCGTAATGGCGGCAGCTCTGTTTGTGTGAATGAATTTTGGAGCTGCCTGGTTACCCAAATTTATGTCCTAAAAACACAGTCAATAAATAACAACATTTTATTTGTTCGAAATTTTAGTGTTTACTGTCTTAAATGCTGAGTCCTAAATGTCTTTTACTTTGAGAGGTTCTTGAAATTGCCTCTAATTTTGAGATGAGGTAAAATCGAATCGTTTAATATTTTTCTGCTACATATTTAATAAAATTTATTTTGTGTTCTATTCCGAAGATAGTACTTATGTTCAAACTTTTCTAGAATTTTTGTGAGAATATATTTGTGTTGTCTTTATTTACACCATTACAATTTCTAATTATTTGAATCCAATCATTTCGCCATACTCCATTTTCCTTAGAAAATTTAGTTAAATGTTTTTTTTTGTTCTAGCGAATGCTGATTAATTTTAATGTGTAAAATCTCTAAATAATTGATTAAATTATTCATTTCCCTGAAATGTGATTCCCGGATTATTTTTCTTTCGAACAGTACGGTTTTTACAGCATTTCACTACGCAAAACATGTATTTTTATGTGTTTTCGCCCGCTCAATGCGTATCGCTGTCATGATATTTGCTATCGTAATGGCCGACTAATGTGTGTAAGTGTGCGTACCGGCCTGTACGTAGCGAGCTGGCTGAGTGTGACACAGTTTTTTACTAGCTAGACTCTGTCCGACTTTTTTTATACGTCCATGGTTTTCATTCAGGCTACTTTTTATGACATCGATCGATCTGGCCATTGGTAATAATAAGTATTAAAATTACAGCAGTCAGCAGCAGTAAATTAAAGCAGTCGTTATTTTTAGCTTTATCATGTATCTAGAACATATAGAAGCTAGAAACACAAATCGAAACCTCTAGAAGCTAAAAGTTTTCTCTAGTTTAACTCGTGTTTCATTCATTGTCAGAGCAATCGTTGCAAGACTTACGAAAATTATACCGAAACCGGTTGCAACACTGTCAAACTAATTTAGTAATCGATCAGAATTGTTATGAAACGACAAAACTAATTAAATTTCCCTTACTTAGTGTACAGAAAAATAAAAACATGAAAATCCTTGTCCTAATTTCTTATCAAGATAATATACAACTTATTTTGATCACATTTCAATCAACAAAACATCGGCGATCAGCTTATCAATTTTAAAGATAAAGTAGTAGCAGTACGCCTAAATAATATTATGTAGTTATTTCAGGCATTGATTATTAGTTACCGGCTTGAACGCTTATTAACAGCCGGCTCATTAACGGGTTGTATTATATTAACAGTTAAAAAGTTTAAATACATAGAATGACGTATTTTGTTATCTAGTTAACAGTAGTGAACTGAGCTCCTTAAGACGGTCTTAGAATATACATAGAACCCATTGTTTGTTTAATTTTTGTGAGATACTACTGTTGAATAAACTTACTGTACTCTAATATTGTTTTCCTATAAGGAGCAGGTACACAAAGCGGATATGTATCTATACAGAAGCAGTTTCCTTCATCAGACTTGGATGTACAAGAGGACAATAAATAGACGAAATCATTCTCAATCATATCTCAAACTCGACCTCATAGCGGACAAAATTAATGTATTTTCATGTTCTCTGAGTGGGTTCACAAAGGCAGCATTATTTGTTGTGTGTTTCTAGCTATCGCATCAAGTTATCCTGTAATAGTAGCTTTAAGTATATAAATGGTAGATAATGCCCAGGGCCACAAGTCATACATGTACATAAGTGCATGAAGATGTAAAATAAAATAAAAAATAAAAAAAAATATCTAGTTGTAGTGTACCTACCACTACTACTTAAAAACGAAATTACAAATCTTCATGGTCATGTCTATTATTTTTATTACATGTCTTAGGTAGGTACTGTATAAATTCTTATAAAAATGATAGTCACGTCTTTTTAATCTAAAAGAAAAGAAAAAGAAAAGAATACCCATTTATAATAAAATACTTAATTGGCTAAAACTATTTTTATTAAAATACTAATTATCCTCGTAGTAACATTGGCCCAGATCAAAAGTAATGAGTTTAAAAAAAAATATTTAAAGATTGCACTCTTTCGGAAGCTGTTCACCTTTTTAGCAAAAGTTTGTAGGTATGTGCGTGATCACAAAACTGTTATATGGGGTATTTTGGGTCACGGACGGTACGGTGGGTGAAATTGAAAAGCGCTGCAGCCCGCTGCATACCCGCAGACGGCTGCCGATGCCGAGTGCCGGGTGCCTACGTGACGAGGGCCGCGTGGCGAGGACCGAGGAGAGGGGCGCCTCGTCCCGTTTGTTTTGTTGCGTGCGCATTGTAAAGACCAACATCTCAATATTTTGATATCGATAAAATACATATTTATGCATGTCTAACAAAGCTTATGCAAATATCGAGTCTTGTTAACAGGAAGCAAAAGTACCTACTTATACCATTTTTAGCTATTTAGGTCTTTAATTCAAACCATTTTTTGTAAAAGTCGTGTATTTTATACAAGTCGATGGCGTCTGCAATACGCATTTAATATTAGGTTTAGTCAGAACAGTAGTATGTAAAAGTGTTTAAGTAAAACAATAATTCAATAAAGTAACCAAAATACAACTAGGTATATCATGTCAGATAAATTTTTGAAAAAATCACGTGATGAATGCGTGACAGCATGTCGATATCGATATAAGTAATGTAAACAATGCGGGCAGCGCTAGCATATCACTGGAGTTCGTAAGGAGGCAAAACACAACAAAGAATCAGTCGGTTAAATATATTCAACGTGAACAGACGCGGTCAGAATTTTTTGAAAAGAGAAACTGTTTATTGAATTAAACACTTGCAAAGTACTCAAAGTTGCTACATCCAAAAATCATAGTCTGAACGAAAATTTATAAGAAAGTTACTAAGATGTTTTCGACCAGGAAAAGTTTAGATAAGATTCTGCAGGCGTACAAGAAAGAGATTCGCCGACAAATTAGCAAGACCACTAGTGTCACCAATTCGGATGCTATGGCTCCGAGGCTGGATCAACCAGCTTCCAAGTCACCACAAAATGAAGACGCAGGTCTGCCCAAGAAGCTCTTGAAGTTGCAAAAATACCACAGGTCAGTGAACTCATTTGAACTCTGCGACATAAAGTTTGCGTAACCGTCGAAGCCGTATCATGTAGTTTACTGTATAAGTTAGTAGTTAAAATAGATTTAACAGGCTTAAAAATATGAGAATGTTAAGTTCAACATTGAGAATTTGATGCGCCGATAACTGATCATGTGAACACTGCGTGGTGCATACGTACCGGCAGCGGCAGGGTCTGTACATACTCACGGTCCAAATTAGTTTCTAGTTATGTGTATTTGAGTCACGGACTGTAGAAACACTGCAAATAGATAGTATTAATAATAATGCATGAACTTATCAACCATGTTTATCTCTGTAATTATACTTGCTATAGCAACAAAGGAATCGTGCCATAGAAACAGTTATCATCAACTTGCAAACAAAGTGTTACATCAGAGATAAATCCATTATCTTAAACTCAATAGATCAAAAATGTATTGTTAAATTTTATTTTTATGTTTTCGTGGGTTATAATAAATAATAACAATTGTCGGTCAATAGAAACTTTTCTTAATGCCTAGATTCCTGTCGACCCTGACACCTCAGGAAATGCCGATGGCTACCCGAGGACTGGCCGTGTCAAAGGACCAGTCCCGGGAGTTTATGGCTTGCTTTCCGGACGTCGTGAGGGATCTTACTGAGACTGGCAAGCACATTGATGTGCCGCAAGCCAGCAAGTGGTTGGCTAAGGTACGTTATATGTCGCAGTCAGTCGTAAGTAAATTTATTGTAAACCTGTTTTAAAAGTGTCTAGAAAGTTAAACTTCTCTGCTGTGTCTAGTTGAAGTTAATTTAGCGCGTACACTTCAGCTTTAATATAAAATTGCTTAGTAGAGACCATTTGTTACTAAATTTTTGCTTAAGAATTTTATACACATTTATTACAATGCCGGTAGTAAAATTACATTTGTAAAAAAAAACTAGGTACTTACTTATCAAAACCTCTGATAATTGTAGCCTTACACGATGCTTTGTAAACAATGTGATTACGTCAAAAGGGTCATAATTATTTTTAAGTGCGCTTAATCTGCCCATAAAGTAAACAAATGTAATGTGACTCATGCAAATACCGCCTCTGTTTCACTCGATTGACTTTAATTCATAATCACGACGCAAGCTTGATTTGCGTTAAGTTATTGAAATCTTGGCTTCGCATAATACAGTACAAAAATCTAAAATAAAACTACGCAGTACTTTAGTTGTTCTCTACAGTTGAACAATTACAACATTTATTAGAGGCGTGCTACATTTTTGGTAGTTTGCTTGTAAAAACTTAATGTGTTATTCAAGGCCATTTGACACATTATAGAACATGCTTTTAAGTTCATTGCTGCTCGCGATTAAATATTCTTATGACATCATAGTCAAACACACCATTCGTATCTCATATGAAGATAAACTTTAAATATGATTTTTTTGTCTAAAATATGCGTGTATAAAAAACACACAATTTTTTTTATTGATAAAATTGTGATAAGTTCGAATTCTCGATGTTTAATAAGTTCCTTAATAATACTAGGATTATATTATTAGTAAGAAGCTTAAAATAAGCAAAGAATGTAGTTGTTATCAGCCATTGTCGAAACAACAACATTAGGAACAAAGGTTAAAATGTCGGAAGATCTATCATCCAACATTTCTGACGACACTTAAGTCTTTGTTACAAATGAGTTGATGTTTTCAATCGTTATTGTTTCAGCTGTTGCAATACAACGTGCCGAACGGTAAGAAGAATCGGGGTCTAGCAACCATATTGGCTTACAAAATGTTGGAGAAAAGAGAAAATCTCACGCCTGAAAATGTTCACCTAGCGAACATGATGGGATGGTGCGTAGAAATGGTGAGTTGATAAAGATTCTATTCTTCAAAACATGGTTAAACAACAAAATGTAATAAATGTATGTTAGAATGGAAAGGCAACTAAATCAACATCCATGATATACCGTTAACTGTTGTAGACGCAATCATTTCTGTTTTCTTAATTAGATTTTGGTCATTCTGTAATTCCCATCTAAGTCCTCTTTAATTTGAAATTGTATCATTGTGATGAATTATAACCTAAATACGATTAAATTAATTCATAAATACTTACTTAAGAATTTACTGAACATTTATATATCAACTCTTTTAAAATTTAAATTTTATTTCATTTTGATTTAACGCGTTATTATTATTTTTTATTACCATTAAGAATCAGATTAAAAAAAAGAAACGTTTTAACACTAAGATAGCCGTGTTCATACAGAAAGTTATAAATACTGGAATATAACGTTAGGTTAGGTAGGTAAGAGAGTAGTATTTTTTTATGTAATATGGGGAAAACGAGCAGACGCAAAGTGGCCATGATTTTTACTGTAATTAAAAAATAACACTGATGAAACTGTTAGCCTAGTTATTTAGAAGTTACACAAAACAAAAATATCCAGCTCCTATGGTAATATGGCCTTGACAAACATCCGATATACCAGTGATATAATCATATTAACACGTTCGGCGCCTTATCTCGTTCAAGAGCCACTAATTCAATAAAAGCTGGCACGTAATAAGAATGGACATACACAAATATGTGATAAAACAAAATGCAAAAAAAACTTGCTAATATAATAAAAATTTGCTAAAATGTGACACTATAGCATCGATATGTTTTAAACAGGCAACATTAATACTTTTTAAAATAAGAAAATAGATTTATAAAAGACATAGGTTCGACTTTAAGCAGATGCTTAAAAAGTCTTATTAATATTCTTGTCAATATACTTCAAAGCAACTACTGAGCTGTCTTGCATATTGATGAATGTTTATCAAAAATACATAACAGATAGTCACACATTAAACTACGTAGGTACATATTTGAAAATTAGTTTTGCCAAGCCTTCAATATTTTTAACTTGAGCATAATGATAAGCGAGAGCGCAGTCAAGTTATTGGAATAAATAGAAAAACAATGTCAATAAGCACAATCGAAAATAACTAACGTAATAAGATTGTGTCTATTTACATGCAAGGGTCAAAATATTTCTTCGTTCCTAGAAGACTGGCAGCATTGTCACGTACGTTGAATGGCACTGCTAATTCTCTGTGCTACAAAAAAATTAATGTATTTTCAATATATTCCGATTTGTTTATTTATTAGATCTTTATTTGGAAATAAATTTAACAATAAAGTGACTAATGTTCATTTGTAAACACTTGTTAATACTAGGTGATTTAATTAATGGCGTAATGTAATTCGCAAGTTTGCTATATATTCATTTTCCTCAAAGCATAACAGGATGTATAACTAGGTTACATTTATATGTAGATACATGCCGAATTTAATTCGAAGCGGCAGGCATAGGTATATTAACCACAATTTACTAACTATATTTAGTACCAATCACGTAATAGCCGCCTTATTGCTAAACTTATTGCCGTTGACTGGCAACTTTAGGATTTAGAAATGGATAACATGGTATTGTATTATGAAAGAAAAAAGCAGATAAATAATAATAAAAATATCCCTTATATTCCTTTCTTCGTCTACGTCTCTCAAACGGAATCAATTTGCCCCGTTTTTGTAATATTTTAATTAATGATGCTCGTCTTCTATTGGTCGTAGCGTGGTATTATATAACTTATAGCCTTCTTGTTCTTTATTCAAACCAGTAGTTATTGAGATTAGCGTGGTCCACCAAAAAAAACAAACTTTTAATTTTATAATATTAATATAGGAATGCATAGCTGTATACATACTTGGACATATATTTAACCAAACTTGAATTTTATTAATTACAGTACTTCGAATAAATAAATAGAATATATAACCAAATCTAAAACAAACTAAAAAGGTTCATTGCTATAAAATGAGCAAGTCTGTCATTGAACTGTCCTTCTTTTGCCATACACAAAGAGTTTAACAGAGATACCAAGTTTGCACACGTCTTGCTTGTGAACAAGTGTAGTTTGCAGTTACATTACGTAACTACAACTACGTACCTATGACCAGTGAATAGGGAAATGAACTTACTACTTTAATTTTAATTATTACAATTCTTGCAGTGTAATGGTACTTCAATTTATGCTTTACATGAACATTATGATTTAAATAAAATGGGTTAAAATTACGTTCTGTGTTACTTAGTGATTTAATTGTTAAAATTGTATGGAAAAGCTGTTGAAACCGAAGACAACTATCAATATTTATAGTTTCAAAATAACAATTGTAGTTAAATTATTCTTTGGCAGAAGTTATTTTAATGATTACATTATTTTGATATTATTACATTGTGTAAAGGTCTCATAAATATATTTAAACAAAATTATTGTGCTTGAATATACTTCTTCCATCTAAAAAGATACTCAAATCAAATCAATTTTCAAACTAGGTATAACCTGTTTTTGAAGGACGCCCTCTTTCGTAGCGTTTACGTTATGAGTTAGCCGTATGTGATTATTTTCATGTTCGAAGAAGAACTTCTTTTAATATTAGTTATATTATTATTTATTTTTGCATTTTTACGATACATCTACGTGTCTAAAAATGTTACTATTACATTAGCAAAACTCGCACATCTACCGATTTGATTTTATTAAAAGTTGAAAATATATTTATATTTTAAATTAAAAATTCTAGACACAGTAAAAATATGTACTAAAATCCAAAGAAGCATTCTCAGGTTTAGAACCTCCAAACGGCGAATTTAGAAACATCTCTATTTTCAGGTTTAATAAGATCATAATAAGTAACTTTATCTCATTCAAAAATGAAATCGCTAATGGGTTACTACTTAACGAGAAAGAAAATAGCAATCTTACTTCACATGGGTGTCCGAATGTCATATTAAAGTGGACTCCGTCACAATAAAATTGCAGTCACATAGTTATGAAATAATATGTTCGTCACTGTGAAATATGAACTACAAAAAGTACATGACACTTATTACTATGAATACATGTCATGTACTTTGTACTTGTAATGATCCTGGGTTAGTAGCTATGTTATTTCTTATCACTTTAACTACAGAAGCCCGCCATAAGTTGGCCATAATTTAGTAACGTGGTTCAGTAGGCATGTACGATGTATGGTACTGCGATCATTATAATTATTATATTTTGTCCACAGTTCCACACGCACCAGTTGTTGTTGACCGATATCTTGGATGGCACGGAGATCCGCCGCGGAGCTCCATGCTGGTACAGACGCCCAGATGTGGGACTTAACGCTGTCAATGACGCTGCAATGCTGCAAGCAGCTATGTTCTCCACTCTTAAGAGACATTTCCACAACAAACCTTATTACAAGTTGGTTTTGGAAACATTTAATGAGGTACATCTTACTCGGTACTGTTTTTGTACTTATAGTTTGTGCTTTCTATAAATAATGCTACGAGTAATAAAACTCTTTAAGCGAGCACAGAGAGGAACCATTTCTTTTAAAAATAAAACAGAAGAAAAGAAAAAATATCAGTCTCGAACCGTTGGATTATGTAGAATTATACAAAATACATGTGTAAACTGAAATTTCTTGTAAATTTTATTGTTTGATAATTGTTAGCTGGGTTGCCAAATCGAAAAATGTAAAGTAAATCATATAAGCAGCCGCGAATATATTTTATTCTACAAGAAGCCTCTTGTAGAATAAAATATATTCCAGGAGAATAAGACTACAATTTTCAACACCATTATTTTTTAAATATTACAGATGCTGTTAAAGTGCTCCATCGGCAATTACTTAGAGAAGTTAATGATGAAGACGGATAAGCCGGACTTGTCACATTTCACAATGGAGAAATATGAAACTATCACTAAATACAAGACTTCATATCACACGTTCCAAATGCCCGTTTCGTTGTCACTATTGATGGCAGGAGTTGATGACGTAGAAACGCATAGACAAGCTAAAACTATTCTTTTGAAAATGGGAGAGTTCTTCCAAATTCAAGTAAGTATCGTTACTTATTTTTTTGCTGTACGTTTTCACAATATTGTAGGTACCTACCAATCGGATTAAAAAGCTGAGAGAATATTTTGGTTCTCTATCTCGAAACTTATTATATTAATATTTTTTACTAATATTTCATGTCCTCTGTCTTCTTGTCTTAAAAACTAAAGAAATAAAACTTCGAATAAACGGCCTGGATAGTCTTAGAAACTGCATTAAGTAAATAATTACAATTCAGAGCCCTGTTAATATTAGCTAAATTAATGTACCAACAACTAATGAAAAAAAAAAACAACCAATATCGATATATATATCTCTTTTTATTTTACAGGACGATTTCCTGGATTGCTTCGGTGATCCATCTGTCACAGGCAAAACCGGAACAGATATACAAGATGGAAAATGTACCTGGTTAGCAGTCGTTGCCTTACAGAGGGCAAATCCTAAACAAAGGCAGTTTATGGAGGAGAACTATGGTAGCTCTGATCCAGAAACTGTCACCAAAATCAAGGATCTCTATGAAGAACTCCAACTACCTCACACATATTCTGTCTTTGAAGAAGCCACTTACGATCTTCTTAGAACACAAATCCAGCAAGTAACGCGTGGATTGCCTCACGACTTATTCTTCAAAATTTTGGACAATATCTTCAGGCGACGCATTTAAACATTCGTCATTCTAAATATAAGTTAGACGCTTAAAAAGGTGCAAATGCCTAGTTTATGTTAAGTTGTTTTATTTGGATATACTTAAGGTAATATATAAAATAAACAAGCACAATTTCTTAATAATAGAGCAATCTGGAGCACTGTCGAATTTTATGTACTACACTGGGTGTGTCTTTTATGTAATTTTATGTTAAGAATGAAAAAAAGTTGACGAATTTATTGTTCTCGAATGTAAATGAGACTTAGGTTTGGCTAGATGTAGAGTAAAAATCTGGCAGAAGCTACAAAGAAACTAAAATGATGTAATAAATTTATGAACTGTCACTAACTAGTATTTAATGTTATTGCAATTAGTGTAGTATTTAGGATAACTACGAATAGAATGTAAAGCGAGTGAGATAGTGATTTATACAAATGCGGTGATATAGTTTGTTACAATACTGTTCGTACGATTTATAAAGGAACGTATTTAATTAATCATGTATATCTCTCAATAATGATATTAAACGTATTGATTGACAGTACCTTGTTTTTTTTTTAAATATTACTTTAAGATTTCTTTTTCGCATTGACTCAGAAATACAGTAGTTGCAGAGCGGGGGTTTTATTCACTATCACTATAATTCAAGTTTTGTTCACTTTATTGATTACATTTTGTTTTATTTTTCTATACGTGATGAATAGGGACAATTTAGTCTTTTTTTTAAATAAACAGTATACTAATCCCCCATAGTTCAACGCCGGACATAATACCAGGAGTGCTGCAGAGCGTCGCCCGCGCCCTCTAGGGAGTACAATGGGAACACCCGGGCCGGGCCCGGGGTCCTTCGGGATACCAGGGATTTCCTTCCTCGGGTACACCTGGTTCCCTGGCTACTGGTAACCCGAGACGGCGTACGGTTTTTAGTCGATTGACCACCAGTGGGTAGTCTCCGAGGGTGAAAATGATGGAGTTGAAGTATGCATACGTTTCTTCAGATTTCAGACATCCTCTGCAAAGAGGGTTGTCTGTCGCATTAATGGTGAATAGTTGTCGATTTAGGGCTTGGTGTCCTGTCATAGTTCCTACAACTATTCGGATGTCTAGTCTGCTAAAACTGATGAGATTTCGGGGTACAAGTATATACGGAAACATCATATCAGCAAGGTATGAGACTTATGAGAGTGTTCCGTATTATGAAGTGGGGCACAGCGTAATGTTTCTAAGTCTTTATTCCTCAATAAAGACTTAGAAACAACACTAGTCTCTAAGAATATTGTTACTAACAAAATGGACACCATGGTCTGCAATAAAGAGTTATTATTATTATTATTTATTCGATCACTTAGTTTTAGAACATTATAGCACTACATAGATTTTCTCAAATATCGTTCAGTAGTTATGACATTCCGTTTTTGATCATCAACTTTTGTTGACTAAACATGTATGATATACACACAATGAACCCAGACTTCTAAGGAGTATATACAATATAGCTATGGGTGTGTATGCTTTACCTACGTAAGAACATCAGCTACCATCACCTTCCAATCTAAAATTCACGATATAGTGGATAGATACATCTTTGTGATGTTAAATTTTATTTTAATGAGAATGCGCCTTCATTTACATACCATTTACCATAACTTCGAGTTACAATACCTTCAAGATCAGATAAATATGTTTAAGTAAAAAACATAAATGGTTGAAATGATTCTCTATCCCATTACTCTTGTATCGTTGAAGAAGGTTGGTTGTTAGTTATGAATATTTGTAGAAAATCTGTATTTAATGTCTTAGTGATAGGAAAAAATACTACTCCTACCGTGGCTACAGACTTCACTGTAAGGTAATACTTATTTACATTTATACTATATTATTTCAATAAATTTAGGTTTGGGCAAATAAAGTGTTTTCTGTGACGGAACTAAATCGACTTCTGCATAGGTATGCAGAATGCTAAATAGAATAACCGTGCTACTATACCTGACATTAACTGATATTAATTGAGCACTAACCTCGAGATATAACGTAATCGAAGTCTCTTCACTTAATTTTCACATGGATGTGTCGATCCACTCTTTTCTATGGCTTTTCAAGACAGGTACAAGATAGTGAGTTATGTGTTGCCTGCTGTGCCTATTTATTAAGAATTTCCTTTTAAGTATCTGTAGATAAAATTCACTTACAGTATTGTAACTATGATATTTATCCTTTTTCTGCCTTTCCTGTCCTGGCCTTGTTGTTTTTGAAGTTGGCACAATGTGTAACATTGCAATGGATTTTAGCTAGTTTCTTCTTTTATGGACATACGCCTGACGCCAATCATCTTTGGAAATATAATCGTTTTAGAAGAGACAATACAAACAGGCTGAGAAAGTTACAATAAGCATACCGCAAACTCGAATGGGGGCTTCCCCATCTGCTGCTGCTACTGCTATGTTCAAACAGCAGTAGCTCTAATAGGCCGAGATCACGATAGGAAAGGCCACTGGGACAGCGGCATTAGCTAGCTATTTGCATGTTATTTTCAATATAAGATCAACTTTGAGCTACAGAAAAACTGAGACACGTTTGCGTTTGATGCATATCACGATCAATATTTTGTTAGGCGCTAACTCTTTGAAGATTCCTTTTTAGATTTGGTCGACGTTTCTGGAGTACTACTATGTCAACGAGGTCCTTCGATATAGGCAAGGAAAAAAAAGATTTTTTCAACGCCTTACCTAACATTATCGATAATCTAGCGGAACATCCCAAGTTTCAAGAATTACCGATAGCTAAAGAGTGGATGAAAAAGGTAAATAAGAATGAGAGTGAACACTGTGTGTATAAGTTGGATGAGTTAATTTTTTTTAGAATACGTTGAGTCTATAGCCTATAGCTAATTTCTTTTTTTTTATGGTACCTATGGGTGACAAACCAGCGAAGTAGTCACCAGATGTTCAATGACTACTGCCGCCTATGGACTCAATTCACACAATTGTATAGCCGCCCACGTAGCACGGCTCTCCCACGGTGAAACTCAAGAAGTTCAAACATCCATGCAAACTTTCGTATTTAAAACTAGCTGGTGCCCGCGACTTCGTTCGCATGGAATTTGAAAAGATCTGCCTTAATGGGTTCGATTCCGAACCGGGCTAAACTTTATAGGGTTTTTCTATGAGAAAAATAGCCTAAGTTACTCCTTACATACAGCTACTTGGTAGTAAAATATTATCAAAATCGGTCTAGCCGTTTTGCAGATTACCCGGAACAAACGGACAAAAAATATTAAAACTGATTTTTAGGCATATAGGTATCGTGCAAATAATCGTGTGAGCATGAAAAATATCTATTATTATGACATTATAAACAAACACATTTCCAGAACTCGAGCATCACTAATGCTAATATGCTAACGACAACCTGTTAATGATAAAACTCACAAAGATTTAATTATATTGTTATTTAGTATAATTTCATACCTTCAAGGTTATAAACGGTACTGTCCCCGGCGGTAAAGCGTCAAGAGGACTAACTACAGTTATGTCTTTTAAAATGGTCGAACAGCCAGAGTACATCACAAAAGAAACAATACGGCTCGCGCATGCTTTGGGATGGTGCACGGAGTTTGTAAGTTTTGTACATTATACATAATATATAAAGATAATATTTGCGTTTATATATATTGTATATATGTATATTTAGGACACTTATTTACTTAACGTTCTTTATTTATTTTATTTATTATACACCCAATAAGGACCATAGACCTCAGTATCCCTGTATACCTAAATTTCAACTTCCTAGATCTACCCGTTCCTGAGAAAATCGGTGGTGATACACAGACAGACGGACAAGAAAGTGAAGTAACCCTAAAAATACCATTCTAATGTTGGAAATTATTTCGGATATTAATTACATGATAATAAAATGGTTAAAATGGTTATAGAATAATGCAAATCTTACTTTCAAAATGAAATTATTTGTGTCAACAGAACATTTTATAATAACAATTTTAGGCTGCGGATGTTAAATATTTCTTTTTTTTCATACAGCTCCAAGCTTATTGCGTGGTATTGGACGATATTGTTGATGGGTCGTTGACTCGTCGTGGACAACCCTGCTGGTATCGAAGAGAGGATGTGGGCATGGCGCACGCTGTCAACGACGCTACTCTGATTTATTATTCTATACACCGCATTTTAAAAAACTATTTTGAAAAATCACCGATCTATGTCAAATTGTATCAAGCTTTTAATGAGGTTAGTAAAAATATGCAAAAACGAAACATGAAACTCAATCTTAGCTATGTAACGAATTCTAGTTATACTTTAAGTTGGAGTATGATTAAATAATCAGTAAAATAGAACACTGCCTCTGAGATTAATACTATAAGAGACCACTAGAAGAGACTTAACAGTAAACCACGACTATACAGGCCTCTTCCCCTCAAAATATGAGAGCGCTTGCTGTAAACGTTATAGTCAGATTATGCAGATTTGCTCTTCGCGCTATGATCAGCATTAATATGCATACGATCGTATCCAAGATAAGCGAGTGTACTCGAGATTAGTCGAGATGAAACGCAGTCTTCTGTGATGGAAAGTTCACTTACAGTCATTTCCGTTTTGAGGGGATTTTTTTATTTAAAATTGCCTAAAAAAGAAGTACTCTGTACTTACAACTCCTTCTTTGTACTATTTCAGACATTATTTAATACAAGCTTTGGGCAATTTCTGGATATCAGAGGATCGGAACACAAGAAAAGATACGAAAGCTTTACTAGGGAGAATTACGAAGAAATCATTAAGTACAAAACTGCCTACTACACATATAAATTGCCTATCAGTATTGGTTTGATGTTAGCAAACAAGTTCAGCGAAGAAACCAAAAGTAACTGTGAGGACATTTCATTTCAACTGGGGAAACTATTTCAGATACAGGTGAGTTAATAAACATGAACAGTTAAGAGAGATTTCTATGATTTTAGTAGGAACTGCATATAATTGTTTATTACAGGACGATTACATCGACTGTTTTGGCGACGAATCCTTGACTGGAAAAAAAGGTACTGATATTCAAGAGGGTAAATGTACTTGGTTAGCGGTGAACGCACTTGAACGTTGTAACAAAAATAACCGCGCCGTATTCGCTACATGCTACGGTAGCAAGGAACCAGCGCATGTGGAACGGATCAAACAACTTTACACTCAATTAAAGCTTCCGCAGGTTTATAAAGAAGAAGAACGTCAAATGTATAACAATGTTGTACATAAAATAAAAATAATATCTTCTCAAGCTGAACGAGAATTATTTAATAGACTTTTGGATATGACATACGACAGAAAGAAGTAAATGAAAATACCAATATCTCTATTCCGGGACCTTCATTTTTTTGTTTATCAGGTACTACTTCCTTGTACCCAGCTACTTTTTGATTTGATTAACAGTTATGATTATGAATAAAAATGACAACGATATCTTACCTTTTAATATCCATACTAATCCATATCCATACTAATCCATATCCATACTAATATTCATCATCATCATCATCAACAGCCTTTAATAGTCCACTGCTGGACATAAGCCTCTCCTTAGAAAGGAGGTTTTGGCCTACTATACCACGCTGTCCAGACGGGTTGGTATAGGGTTTGTGTCAAGTTTTCCTTCTCTTTGCAGTGTTGTTGTTCTGCGTAGTTTTTTCCCTTATTCGGCTCTTACGACACCCACGGGATGAATAGAGTGAACACCCACGGGTGACACTCTGTATTCTTAATCCGTCACCACATGGACCATACCATACTAATATTATGAATACGAAAGTGTGTCTGTCTGTCTGTTCTCTTCACGCTTAAACCGCTCAACCGATTGAGATAAAATTTTGTATAGAGATAGTCCGAGTCCCGGGAAAGGACATAGGATAGTTTTTTTAGAAGTCATACTTTAAGGGGGTGAAAAGGGAGGTGGAAGTTTGTATGGGAAATCAAGAATCGCTTAACCGATTTAGGTTAAAGAACAATGGCGGGTCTCCATACACAAAAATATTTGGAATCTAATTGCATCGTCTTGTAGTTAAAAAAGTAATTAAAGAAACGATTTTGTTTAGAATCTATATGTAAAGCAATTTTTGTTTGGGAAAGGCTAGGAAACAAGATATTAGCATTTGTTTTCTTTAGTTACGCACTACATTTTTTTATCTGTGGACACTTTTAACATAGCTGCATAATGTTTCCTTTATTTTATAAATTAATCTATGGCTATCGACTTTTCAAATAAGTTTTTATTATCTCTTCCTTATCTTATTTTATTATTCTTATTTTAACTGTATGTGTCCTATTTAAATAAAATAAAAAAGATAATAAAGAAATATTAAAATTCCACTAGTTATAGAACTTTCGTAGGTTATATTTTCATGTCACTTTTAATGTGTCTGATGTATGAAATTATAATGTTATACCTATGTACACTTGAATATATAATATCCAATAATATATATATATTTTTTAATTTATTACCTATTTCAACATGTAATTAATTGTAAATTCTAAACCTAAACTAATATAATCGGCGGCGGCGATTCGCCGCCTGTCGTGTCAAACTTGCAGTTGCCACTTTTTACTTCCTTATCCTTCCTTATATTCCACTACAAAATTTTCAAATACGTAATTAATGCGTTCAATAATGCACCATAAACTACATTCTTATTGATTCAGTACTAAGAATTATAAAACTATTATCTGATTACCATTTTACTATTAAGTTGACCTTACCCTTTTTTTTTTTCGTGCGGAAATCCCCTCGGATACCACCTATCGGTGGCATGTCGGACTCGAACCAACTAAAACCGCACGCCGTCTCGGGTACTAATAGCCGGGGAACCAGGTATACCCTAGAAAGGAAGTCCCTGGTTCAAGTTGACCTTACCCTCTAAGTGACCCCGAAATTGGACTTCGCTCGATATGTCGATTTAGGATGGAGGATTCCGATACTGGCTGAGGCAGTTAGGGAGGTGCTCTCATACCGAGGTGATACGACAAATGGTATCTTCTTTGCGGTGAACGCATAGACCTGTGTCTTTTTTGACTTGAACTGGACTAGATATAGTCGGCACAATCTAAAACCTCCGCTAAGGAAATTTCAATTTCAAACACAAGACCGCATCCAGCTCGTATCGTCGATAGCCTAAACATCTCCGATCGGCTCGACCCCTTGGCGTTACTCAGAGATGTGGCTTCACTCTGCATTCTCTACCGCATTGTATATATCATGGAGAGTGCTCCGAGGAATTGTTCGGACTAATACCAGCCGCAACTTTCCGCCATCATTCCTCACGCCAAACTTTTTGTTCTCGTCACCTAGATAGTTGGCGCTCCACTACTGTGCGATTTTCGAGACACTTTTTGCTCACACAAGCAATCCGTATAATGGGTTATCGTCTGCGGTATTTGTGGACCGATACGACCTTTAAACCTTCAAGAAAAGAGCGTACTCCTTCCTATAAGCCCGCAAAGTCCATGGGCGGCGGGAGTCGCCTTCCATCAAGAGACCCGTCTGCTCGTTGCCACTACTAAAAACTACTAAAAATGTGCTTTGTTGGTCAAGGCTCATTAAAGATTTCCAACTTAATTTTAAATTATTTAGGGAATTTAATGTTAGAATGGTGATGTTGTATCATAAATTTACGTGTTGGATGCTGCCCATTAAAAAATGTTCCATTTTTAGGTTGAGTAATTGATAATTTGAAGCGTTGAAATTTTTGTTAAAAAAAAAAAAGAAAAAAAGATCTATGGATGTTGGTTTTTTGGAAAAGTCAATGTCAGTGTCAGTGTCAACTGTCAATTCAATTAAGCTTTTGAAAACGACACGACTGTCTTAGTCTTAGCTCTTAGCAGAATTTTTATTTTAATACAGTAGCATATCTTTTTATTGTCAGTAGTATATTAATTATTTAAATAGTAAAAAAAATATTACATAAATGAAAAATAACTTTAAAGTTTAACCGTTTAGATATTATAAATTTAACATTAGTGTTGTGTACATGATAACATAAGACATTCCTTTAACGCGGTCAGAGAAAGTTTGAATCTGGGTATAAAATTTCAATATTATTATCATGAATAATTTAAAGTTTATTCGACTATTGAAAAGAACAAGAGTATTCTGTGATCATGACAAATATTCAGGGTAAGTGTAGCATGTATTCAATTTTTTTTAATAAAGAAACTAGTTCTAAATAAATGAAAAGAAAATTTTGTACAAGTGCTATAAAATGTATTTCTTTTTTTTAATATTGGTAAATTTAATCACAAGCATGCATTTCACAAGTGAGGGATCTGAACTTACCCTTAACTATATTAAAGTAGGATGTAGTGTAGGACACCCACAGGCCAGGTGGAGTGACGATTTGTGCAAGATGGCTGGCAGGAGCTGGATGCCAGAAGCCCAAAATCAATCTAAGTGGCGTGCAATGGGAGAGGCCTATGTCTAGCAGTGGGCTGCGATAGGCTGATCATGATGATATAAAAGAAAAAGATAATAGTAGATAATTTTTTTTGTAGAAATTTATAAGTATGTTTATTAGCAGTCTGGTTACCATAGTACAGGGTAATACAAAATTGACAGAAATGATGAGAAATTAGAAACTAAACTGTACTAAAAATTTTAAAAATCCATTTTTGAAGAGGGTTGTATATCATGTCAAAATTTGAAGTCAATCGGTACAGAACTCTTTGAATTTTTGAAGTAACACAAACCATCTTAACTTTTATATTTATAGATAATAGAAGGGATATTAACACTTTTAGATGTCTAAATACATACTAAAACAAATATTTATTAAAATTATCAAAATCATATTATATGTATGTATTTACAAAAGAAAAGTATATAAGTATTCTATCAGTCAATATAGCTTTCATAGTACAAGCTCTGCTTAATTTCAAACTACATGGTGTCAAAGTATGAAAAAAAATGTTGGAACTGCATATTAATAATTTTGTTACAGAGTTTTAAAGCAAATGGCTTTGAGATCCACATCTACTGTGTCTTCACAAAAAATGAAAGAAAAAGAAGTATTTCACGATGCATTGCCTGGTATTGTTGACAATCTTATGATGAGCCCAAAATTGTCCAAATTACCTGAAGTTGCAGATTGGGTAAAGAAGGTAATAATTAATTAATTACATTTTATTTTAGTCTGCATATAGGAAGTATGTTTATTTAATACTTTGGCCCTATATTACAGACAACTGATGGATAATAAACTTTAGGGATACTAGAAATAAACTTGATATTTCTTAATAAAAAAAAGACTAAAACCTAAATAATATTATTTAGGTTTTAGTCTTTTTTTTATTAAAGCAATTTATTTATTATCAGCAGCAAAAGCAATTCATTAATTATTTCAAAACATAAACTGAATTACTGAAATTATTATTTTGTAATAGGTTTTAGATCACAATTTAACTGGTGGCAAGCATTCGAGGGGGCTGATGACAATGTTTGCTTATGAGATGTTAGAAAAACCAGAGCTTATCACTGAAGAAAACCTCAAACTGTCTAGGGTGTTGGGATGGTGCTTAGAAATGGTAAGTGCAGTCTATTACAGATGTATACAATACAATAAAGGTATCTAGACTAGATATCTTTAATAGATAATCAAGTACTTAGAGTATTCCATGCTTAATATGTAGTACCTAGATTGGGGAATTCTGCCTTACTATTATAATATATGATAAAGTTTCGCAAATCAGGTAGTCAGTAATAGAAATATTATATTTGACCAATTTCCAAAAAGGAGGAGGTTCTATGGTGTTGCATCTCCACCGTATGTTTTTTTATGTATATTCTTAATAAAGTATATACTTTATTCATCATTTTAGCGATAAGACGTCCACAGCTATATAGCCTTCCCTTAATGCCTATAGATAAGATTTTGTCATTATTTTTATTTACAGCTTCAGGGTTACTTCTGTGCAGTAGATGATATTATGGACGGGTCAACGACACGGCGTGGGATGCCGTGTTGGTACCGCATGCCTAATGTTGGCATGGGCGCTCTTAATGACTGCATCCTTATGTCCAGCTGTATCACAGAGACTTTAGAAACATATTTCTTGAAATCTCCTCAGTTTGTAGAACTCGTGCGACTTTTCCATGAGGTATGTTGTGTGTATGTGTTATGTGTATATCAGAAGACATTCATTACAATATCTTAACAACCATAATATTAACTTCACATATCTCATACACGGCAGTCTGATCCCAAACTAGGCGGAGATGTTAACCAGACTCCTAATAAATATACATAAATATTTCTAAAACATTAATTTTAAATATATTTCCGCAGTTCAAAAAATAATCTGTATTTTTATTCGATGTTCGATTCGATGTTATACGGCTAAAATAAATTGGCGTGTTTGTTTATAATAAGCTAACAGTGTGGTAGTCGGTTATGCGTGTGCGTGGGATGATAATAGCAAAACATGACGATTGACGATCATTCAAATAATAAAACGAATGAATGAGGTTTGTAATAGGTCTTTACCTATGAAGTTGGGAGATTTTTAAAGCATTTTCAGATTTAATTACCTGGGCAACCCACAATTCGAATTCATTTCGGGCGCAATTCGAAATTCAAATAAATTTTAATCGAAAGCCATGTTATTTGAATTTAAAATTCAGTCTTTTATTTTAGATCGTGTTTTGTTTTAGTGAAATAGTGGTCGTTTCTGGCATCATGAATAAAAAGAAAATTTTATTAAATTTTCGAATATAAGTTAAGCAACACAATACATGGTGGTGTAGTAGGCCAAAACCTCATTTCTAAGAAGAGGCCTATGTCCAGCAGTGGACTAGTAAAGGCTGTTGATTATGATGCTGAACACAATACATTAACGACGTGTATAAGACTGCTTGCATAAACACGGTCCATTATTTTTTTTCTTTTTTTTTTGAGTTGAAGAACGAGCCTCGAATTGAAGGCGATAGAGTCATCTACGGCTGAGCTTGCTGCCAGCTTTAAGTGTGAAAACAATATTGAAGTACTTGGGTCAAATCGTAAAGATAAAAAAGCTTGATAAGTTGGTGCCACACGAATTAAGCGACCATCACCGAGACTTACGCGTCGAAGCATGCATAGCACTACTAAATCGGCATAGAAACGAGGGAATTGAAAAGTGGATCCTGTACGGCAACCGTAAGCGTTCGTCTCAGCGCGTAATCAGTGCGCTAAAAAATACATTACCCATAGGAAGATGATAGTAACTGTCTGGCGGACCAGTGCTGGACTTGTACATCGCAGCTTCTTACCGAATGGCACAGTGACAGTGACGGCTGATACCTATTGCCAAGAATTGCAAACAATGACTGAAAAGCTCGCAATTCAACAAGCACGACTGGTCAATCGCTCTTCCCCATTGCTTCTCTACGACAATACTTCACGACAGATAATCGCAAAGCCACAAAACTACAGCTGGAAGCTGTCCGTCAGGCACCGAACTCAGCAGACCTTGCTCCAAGAGATTTCTTCCTTTTGCAAAATTTTGACAATTTTTTAAGTAGGAAGACATTCAACACCCGAGAGGCAGTACAAAACGCTTTCGCTGAATTCATCGCCTCCCGTCCAGCCGACTTCAACAGTAAAGGGATAAATAAACTGCCATCAAAATGCCAAAATTGAGTAGATAATTTAGGCCAGTACCAACTTTATTTAGCTAAAATAAAAATAACCAAATTCTTTTTTTTAATTTCCATACAAATTCCAACTTGATAGTTAAAAGATCTAATATTAGAGCCCGTCCCGTCCGTTAGAGCGATATTTAGCAAAATTCTGTGTCACACGGGCTCTGTATAGGACTATCCACACCGAAAGATTTAATGCAAGTAAGTTGAACTAGATGCGGTGTCGATTTATTTCCGCGCGAATAAAAACCTCGTGGTGAAATATCGCCATACTTTATTAAGATTTAAAGTAGAAAATGTTATAGGCAATAACGCGTGTTTGTGCTATAAAATGTTTTGTAACAATATCTATATCTTTAGAAAGCTGATTACTAAATATAATGATTAAACAATATTACTTTTTTTAGGCGATTGTGTTTACGTCTATGGGACAACACATAGATTACACGATGGCACACAGAGCGCAAGCAGACTATAGTCTATTCACGATGGATCGCTATGACACTATCGTTCAATACAAGACCAGTTACTATACATTCCGGCTTCCCGTTCTCCTAGGATTGTCGCTAGTCAAACATGTCGACCAGAAGATGTATGCCGATGTAGATGATATTAGTTTCAAGCTTGGTAAACTATTTCAAATGCAGGTAAGAAATAGGATGCTTTACATAAAGGATAATAATGCTTGACAACTTCCTTGAATTTATGCTAGAATAGATTTTACTTTTTCTTATAAAAGTGAAAAACAAATATATTCTCACTTTTTAACTTGTTGTAAAAGAATAAGAGCTTCAAAGAGTTATGTCACCTCCTTCGATGGTGCGCAAAGTATAGGCCTATTAATGTAAATATGACAATTACTCAAAATAATTCCATGAAACCTTTTGTAGGATGATTACATAGATTGCTACGGGGATGAAGCAATAACAGGCAAGGCTGGAACAGACATTCAAGAAGGTAAATGTACGTGGTTAGCGGTAACGGCCCTAGAACATTGCAATGAGTCACAAAGAAAACTCTTTGAAAAGTACTACGCTAGCAAGGACATTGAAGAGGTGGCTATAATAAAAACTTTGTACAACGGTCTTCAGATACCAAACCTTTATAAACAGAAGGAGAATGAACTTCACGAGAATATAGTCCACCGCGTCCGTCAGCTTCCTTCTGAAACAGCACCTACTTTCTTTTTCAAACTTATTGATCAATTATATAAAAGGAATCGTTAACACTTTTGTATGCTAATGTCCGCTAGGAAATGTACATTTAACATTAACAATGACAAGATACGTAAGATAAGGTAAACGGCTCATTATTTTTTTAATTTTATAAATCTTATACTAGTCGACAACTAAAGCAAAGGGCTATTCACTGGTCAAAAGAAATGTTTCGCCAGCGCATACACAGTTATTTAAAAAAAAAATGTTTATATTCATAATACTTGACAAAATAAATAATGAAATATAATGTATCTGTTAAGTTATAATTTTAAGCATCACAAAGTTGTATATGTCGGTGTATATCGTAGTTGTAGTAAATTAATGACATTAGTTATGGTCAACTAAAATCGTACGTAAAATAATTAGATTATGCCACGTGCAAACGATTTTCGACTCTATTTTGATGTTATAAGAGTTAATATGTTATTTACATTTAAAAAGTGCTTGGTCATTTTAGCACTAAATCTGAGTTGACTCTACTAAGGGTCGGTCCAGACTGAACAGTTTTCTACACGTGCGTTTTTCCGAAAACTATTGTCAAAGAAATGTCTAACAAGAATGTGTGACAAAGAGCAAAATGTATTAAATAACATGTTACTTCAACTATTTGATTTAAATATATTATTTATATATTTTTTTATTAGAAAGATATGTTAGATAATATATAGTAAAGATTTGTTATAGACCAGGGATTCTCAAAGTAGTAGTTCTCTTAGTCTCGATATGTCGGTCCGAAAGTGGTCGCAGTTTCCCTGGGGTCGACGTAAACGAAATCTGATTTTGGGGGTCGAGGTCTAAAAATCGACCCCTATTAATCAACACAATTTCTTATTTGAAACCTATTAATTAACACAAGTCTTTATTTAAAACTTTCAAGATACTGTGTTAGTTGTGTTATGTGTACCAACTTGTTATAAAAATGAGTAATATTTTAGTAGGAAGTATCAGTGTTGGACTTTTTAAAAACTCAACAAATCGATAAGCGTGCAGTAATTTGGCTCTGTCTGAGGTATCAGTTTATTTTAGAAAAGGGGTCTCTTGTTCAAAATAGTTTGGGAATCCCTGTTATAGACTAAGAAAATAAATATGATTTAAGTTACCATAATAATTGCACGACATAGTGATGACTTAATTGATGACATAGGTAATAACGACTGTTATTGCTGTAATCAAGTGCAATTACTATTGTTCATTTGTTGATCTTAGATATACTGATTTATTAACAATTCCAAGGCTGTATCAGGAATGACGTGATTTGAATGAATAATTAAATAATTGACATGATAATCTTAACGAGATTATTTATATCTATACAATGTCCTTTTAGAAGACTTATGACAATTTAAAAGCTGGTCTTCGGTTTTTTTTAATATCCAATGAAAAAAATATTCTATTGAAAAAAAATAGACGACAAACGCTAAAACACTCACTACGTCACTAACTGATTAAAAGTTTGAAGCCAAATTGTCCGTCGGTTAATAACGTATTGGAAAATGTTGGCGTTTCCACTCACGTGTAATCATTACTGGTTAAGCCTATTCAAAACAATTGTATTATATTTTATTTAAAATGTAGTTATTTTTTTTAAATATCACAATAAATTGTTTACAACGTAAAACAATAAAAAAAAATCGTATTCACATCCTTTATATATCAACTCAAGAACATCTAAAAATGTATCTTGTAAAGTAGGTATTTACTACAAATAGTAATAAATAAATACAGTAGTTTAACTTTAATATTATTTAACATTTGTAAAAGAAAACTTTTTATAATAGATAAAATCTTCTTCAACATCTCTATGTGCCAAGTTTGTCAATTAAAGGTAATGCAATGTAACTCGTTCTTAGAAAATATTGGACACCAAAGTCAGTTTTTATTTGAATATTTGAATTTGCGAATCTTGTTGATACATGTATTTTGAAATTGCTGGTTTACACAAAAATATGCTATGAGTTGAAAGTATTTTACCTTTTAGTGCTTTTAATGTAAAAAGTGTTATCACGTACCTACATTGTGTGACTACCCTCATTTTAAGGCGGATTTTAAATGATTTACTTATGCAAATTATCAAATGAAACTGTTTCTAAATTCTCATAGCACCAACAAATATCCTCCCTAAAAGATGCTTATTATATAATATGAGTTAAACTATCGAAGGTAACTTTTTGTAAATTGTATAATCATAGAAAAAATACTGATTAGTCCAAAATTTATAATTTCTACATTTTTAAGTTTTTGTTCCCTTGTAATTATTTTTCGACATGAGAAGTTACATAGAGGTAAAATAATAACATTATTCTCGTCATCAGACGTAAGGTGCTGTAGTAACTATTATAATTGTCACATGCACGAATGGTGTTTAGGGTCTTTAGTCAGCTAATGTTTATACATATAGCTAACTAAAAGTATACGTAGATTGACAAATAGACAAATTATTTAGACATATTAATATTTTTATCGAATACATATTTGTCAAACAAATACAACTTTATTTTAATAATCTGTGTAGTTTTTTGCATAGACTGTAATCCGTTTTTTTTAAATTGTGAAATGATTGATTATATTATACATATCTGTATAATATAATCAATATACTATATACTACGAATAAAATAATAATGTGAACTGGATTGGCCACACTCTGCAAAGGAGTTACCAATCATATCGCCAAACAGGCGCGCTGGATTGGCAAGGAAAACGTAAGCGTGGTCGCCCAAAGCAAACTAGGCGTCGCACTGTCGCAAATAAGATGAAGAGAATCGGCAAGACGTGAAGCGAGGTCAGGTGCGAACCCCAGGACCGAACGCGATGAAGAATTACTGTGGACGCCCTCTGCCCTATCTCGGGGACAGCAGAGTTCTCACTAGTCATCCTACTCATTACTATCTCACTAGTCATTCTTGTCGATGCAATTCGGTCAAACAAGTATTTTGGCGATTAAGTCTCGAGTCACACATCTGATATGAAAAACAGTATAACTTATCTCCAAAATTCGATGCAGAATGCAAATCTCACCATCATCATCTCATCTCCCTGCCCTTCTCCCAATATTATATTTGAGGTTGAGTTTAGTAACTTGTGCGATGTCGCCCTTTGAGTCCTCTTCCCCAGAATCAGGGAGCATTGTGTTCCTGTAACCTCACTCGGTGAAAAGTAACGAATGAATTGCTTAACACCTGTTTTCTGTCAGGCCGTGGCATCACTCCAGTAGAGCCGGCCCATTTGTTCTGAAGCATGGCTCTCTCACGATAAAACAGGGTAAAGGAAAAAGGTAAATTTCTCTCGGATGGGGAAACTTGACTGACACTGCAGTAGCTCGAGATACCAGGGTTACGTATCCATGTGTCCGTCCTGTGATTGGAGACACCATTACGACAATGACATCAGTCCGACGAGCAGCTGTAATCAGTGCAGAAGTACTGCATCGACTTATTGCCTTTTTTAGCTTTTGGTAAATTATTTCCCATTGTTACTCTTTTCACTCTATTTTATTATTTAGCTTACCTCGCTTGCCCATGCTCCAGTGATTACACACTGGAGCCAAGGCCGTCTTAGGCCACGCCGAGGCCCCTGGGCACACAAGAATTAGGGGCCCTGTTGGACAGTTAACAAAACGAACGATGAAAATATTTTTAGTTATGATCTTTTACTTAAAATGATTTATTGGCAACAATCAAATATACCTATAATTAGAGATATTAATTAGATAGATACATTTACGTGTAAGTATAATAGAAATAAATATGGGATGTTAATTAGACAAGCATCTTTGAATTGATGGTTTGAATTCTTTTTCATCAGGGATTTCTGTTGTGCAAATTCTTCTATTATACCTTCAAAGTCAATTTTTTTGAGGATATCATTTTCTATACACATAATTGATAAATACGTTAGTCGCTCTTGTGACGCAGATGTTCGTAATTCATTTTTTATTCGCTTTAACTTTGAAAATGAGCGCTCTCCGCTGCAATTGGTAACCATTAGGCATAGAAACATTCTTGTAGCCACTTCAACATTTGGAAAAGTTTCTTCTAATCTGTCGGACTTTATTAAATTATGTAAGTTTGAGATACTCAAATCAGCTGATTCCTTTGATATATTCTTTAAATACTGTCTTAAATGAAAACACTCTGATTTGAGCTCATATGCATTAATGTCTTCGGGATAGAATTGTTTAAATTCATTGCATTTTTTTGTTAACTCGTCAGAATCAATTGTTGTTAATTGTGAAAGAAAACTAAAACGATCGACATTTCTTGATACGCTACCAAACGATTTTTTAAATCTGCATATAATGTATCTATTATAGGGATAAATGTATCTATACGAAATTTTTTCCTTCCCATGCAACTGCACAGTTTCTGATGATCCTTCAAAGAAAGTAACGCGTGTGCTGCGAATTCTATTCCTGTCAAATTTATCTTTATAGTCAGCATTTGTTTTTTTTTTCTTTAGCAGCTAATTCATATTCATCAAAATTATTGCGTGCGTTATTGACGTACTCGATGAGAGATGCGTAAAGCTTTGTGGCAACGTCCATAGTAATAGTGCTATCCTGTAAGCTTAAACTTGTTTTGTTCATAATTCCCAAAAAATCATTCCATATTTCAGTTAAAAGTATTGTGTTCAATTTTTCCATTTTTTTTACTAGGCTTTGCGCTTCGTTTCTTGTTTCTCCTGGTTGATTGACATCACTTACTATCGAGGACAAAGCTTCAGAAATATTTAAATAACCATTTTGTAAAGCATTAATGGCATTTGCACGTGGAGACCATCTAGTATCCGGCACAGACTTCAAGACTTTATTTGTACCTAAATGCTCTACCATAATTTTCCATCGTTTGGTCGAAGCGGAGAAGAAATTGATCAATTTTTGTATAAACTGAAAATATGCTGCAGCTTCGGAAACACAATCAATAGCTTGAACACCTACTAAATTTAGCGAGTGTGCTGCACATGGGACAAAACTGGAAAATTTGCATTTTTCTTTTATTTTTGACTGAACACCAGAATACTTTCCAGCTAAATTTGATGCATTATCATAACTCTGTCCATGACAATCTTTTATAGGAATATCAAGGCTTTCCAAAAAGTTCAAAATGTTACCTGCTAAGTATTCTGCATTATGTTTATCTATAGGCAAGAACTGTAGAAATCTCTCAATAGGCTCTCCATCTTTTACGTATCTAACGATGAAAGTTAGTTGGTCAACGTGAGAGAGATCTGGCGTAGAATGCACGCTTATAGTATTTTGCTGATTTTATTTCACTCACAATTGTTTTTAAAACTTGCTGCCCCATTATATTGATAAATTCATTACAAATATTTGCAGACAAATATAATGTACTTCCTTTTCCTTGATTTCCGTAGTTCCGCATATAATCAGCAAGAAAAGAATCAAATTCATCAATCGGTTCTAAGCATCCAAAATAATTTCCATTGTTTTGAGACCCCAAAATCTCATTCACATCACATCCATCACATCAACAGCCTTTAATAGTCCACTGCTGAACATAGGCCTCTCGTTAGAAAGGAGGTTTTGACTCATTATCACCACGAAAAGCAAGACCTCTAGAAGCCAAAAATTTCACTACTGCAACTATTCTTCTAAGTAAATTCTTCTTATAATGACTTCTGTATTATATTGGGATAGTAACTCACTGTCAAGTCGTCCAGTAGATTTGCTTCTTGCGACATAATTAATCATTAATTGCCTGTGCTGTAAATTATTCTCATGCTCAATTAATAAGTTACTTATATGCTTCCAATCTTTATATCCATTTGGAGACCTCAAAGTACATCTAGTACCTGTACTAGTATTAAATAGACGGCAGCAGTAACAGTACACAGATTTTCTCAAAGGTGAATAAAGGAGCCATTTCTTTCTAACGACTCGCCATTCGTCAATTTACGGGTAAAAATACTTAGACAAATATCTAGTATTTGTTTTACCGCTTGAATCTGGAAAACGTGTAGAAGCTTCGGCAAAGTCACAATTTTTGTTTTGAAAAAATAATGGCCTTTATTTTATATACGTTAATAATTTAAAAATACATTTATCATTGATTTAACTATTTTTGGTGTTTAAATATTCAAATTTGTTTTCTGTTGCTATAACTTTATTGACTTTACTGAGTTCAAATATTAAAAAAAAAAATGACTAGAGTAGTTAGTAAAATGCTAGTATAGAAAACCTCAACTATTTACGTGATTTTATTAGTCCATCTTATTCTAATTAATTTTGGCGCGTTTTTTTCAAATTTATCTTTGGCTACCGCAGCGCTACCCTTATTGGACGCGTTTTTACGGATACGTAATGGCAATGCCACATTTTCTGACACATTTGGTAATATCATTGGCAGAGGCGGCCTTTGGGGGCCTTTGGAGGCCTTTGGGGGCGCAGACCACTAGGCCTCGCTAATGCAGGGGCCTCACGCATGCAGGGGCTTCGCGCACTCGCGACCCCAGTAGAAAAATATGTTTATTTGAATTTCGCGCTTTACGCATCGCATTCTAAAACTCACGTACGCTTCTCGCGCTCTTTTGCGTGGTACTTAAATATTAAGTTGTTTCCGATTTACGTTCAGGGATTCCCCGTGTTTAATTTCGCCTGTAACATTGTAGAAACTGTCGTCGGCTTATGCTTTTATGTGCGAGCAGCAGTATGTGTTGCGATGCAATTTTTTTATTTAATGTATGATCATTAAAACTAATTCCCGGGGCCTGGGGCCCGGGGCCTCGCAATGGCTAAGGCCGTTACTGATCATTGGCTTGTCAGTGCTTAGAGTTGCCATAAAGGTGCTAAAAAGACCCATTTACTTTTTTTCGGATATTATCGATATGAATTTGAAAAAAAAATGAGGTAAGCGAATATTTAACGTGCTATGTAATTGCTTTTTGGAGGCCCCTTGACGATGGAGGCCCTAGGCACGGGCCCCGTGTGCCCTTATGGTAAAGACGGTACTGACTGGAGCTCAAATCGAAAATGAATGGTTTTAGTGAACATATTTGTTACAGCGACAGACAACAGAAGTCAAAATTTGAATAGCCTACAAGCGGTTAATGCGTAAAGCCGCCACTGATAAAATCACAAATAGTGTTACGAGAGCGGGTCAATAAGTCCGTGACTTTTGGAATAAAACACAGATTTTTTGATAAATAAATCATTTTATTCTTCAACGTAGTCTCCCTTGAGCTCTATACACTTTGTCCAACGCTTCTCCAATTTTTTTATCCCTTCAAAAAAATATGATTTGTCGAGGTCCTCAAAATAGGCCTTTGTTTGCGAGATGACTTCATCATTGGAGTCAAATCATTTTCCACCAAGCCATTTCTTCAGGTTTGGGAACAAGTTGTAGTCACTCGGAGCGAAATTTGGAGAATAGGGCGGATGAGGGAGCAATTCATAGCCCATAGCAATTCATTCATTCATGGATTTTTGCCATGGCAACTGCACATGTGTGCACCCTTGCATTGTCTTGGTGGAAAAGAACTTTTTTCTTGGCCAAATGAGGTCGGTTTTTTTTCAAATCGTCATTGAATCGATCCAATAAGTTGGCATAATATTCCCCATTGATTGTTCTTCCTTTTTGAAGGTAGTCAATGTGGATTATCCCGCGTACATCCCAAAAGACAGTCGCCATAACTTTATTGGCTGACAAACCCACCTTGGCCTTCTTTGGCGCCGATTCACCCTTAGAAACCCACTGTTTTGACTGTTGTTTGGTCTCTGGTGTGTTGTGATGGATCCATGTTTCGTCCACGGTTACAAAACGGCGCAAAAACTCCTCCATATTGCGATTAAACAACGCCAAACCTTCCTGTGAAGTTGTTACACGATTGCGTTTGTGGTCGACTGTGAGCAACCGCGGCACCCATCTTGCGGAAAGCTTTCTCGTGCCCAAGTGGTCATTCAAAATTGAAACCACTGAGCCATGCGAGATCCCTACGGCTTCCACAATCTCTTGCACTTTCAATCTTCGGTCGGCCAACACCATATCGCGAATTTTTTCGATTGTTTCGGGTGAAGAGACCTCAACTGGGCGTCCAGGACGTTCGGCATCTTCAGTGCTTGTACGGCAACAACGAAATTCAGTAAACCACTTTTTTACCATTGAAATCGATGGTGCAGAGTCCCCATAGTATTTATCAAGCTTAGCCTTGGTCTCGGTAATGGTTTTTTTTTCGCAAAAAATAATGCTTAATAAGCACACGAAATTCACTTTTTTCCATTTTTTCCTCAAATTACTGGGTAGTCTGATAAAGATAGCTGTCAAACACAAACTAACGGACGCAGCAAGTTCAAATTTTGACAGGAGTCAACTGACAGATGCCTGTTGACAGGAGTAGCGTTGCTTTTGCAGTAAAGAGGTCAGAAATTCAAAAAGTCACGGACTTATTGACCCGCCCTCGTACATTTATTTCGTCTTGTGATTATTTTACAAGCCTGTTACAATGTTTTTACCGTCCTACCCTCTGTAGAAGATTGGACTAAGTGATATGCTGAAAGTAACGGTCTGTAATTCTACCGAATCTGCTTCTTGTGGAACCGCAAGCACAATTAAACGATTTTTCTAGAATCAATAACATTATGTAGTCGACGCCAAAAATATATTCTTTCGGACATCTGTCACACAACTTCATCTGGTTTCAAATTGAGCAGAACTTGTACTTGTACCTACTAGTTTGCTTAAATTTATATACTGTAATAAGTATATATTTTGTAAGTATATATATACCTATTACACATAGAAAACACAGATTGCAGATCATACAAATATTTTGCATAGGTATGCCAGAAAAATATTAGTTTTATTCTATTACGTCTAAAACGAACAGAATAGTTACCATTACATATTAAATTCTGTAATGCAATTTATAGCGCTTCTATGTTTAGTCTTAATATGTAAAAAAGCACTACACTTCGTTTATATAATTATATAACATACTATTTACTTATAAAACATATTACATTGCTGGTGTCACTATAATAAGATATAAAATGTTTGACGTCAATCTACAGGTACGTGTCACTAAGTCATAGGCCTTAGGCCTTTGTCCACCAATATTTTTGAACTCACAGCTTTATAGAGTCTATTTAATCTACCCGAGTCATAAAAAACTTTAAACAGCTACCTTACTAACTAACTACGCTAATTAGGGAATATATTTTTGTTTAGTATTGTATTTTTCTCTGCAAGTGATTAATTGAAATCTTTGAGAAAAATAAATGTCTTTAACCGTAATATTTAAATGAAGATAAAAACAAATTTCTAAAGCTATTTTGCGGGTAGATGTTAATTTTAAAGCATTTACTATTGCACAAAAACGACACAAAAAAAAATATTAACAAAAATAGCTTTTTAAGTCCTTAATAAATTAATACAAGTTTATAAATTCGTATTCAAATATCTTGCTTTATCACAAAATATTGACTTGTATCAGAAACGCTTTATTTTGCTTTATAAGGTACTACATTATGTCTAGTCACCCTTAGAACAAATGACGTTAATTAGGTAATATAAATGAAGATAAGTAAAGTTCTCTAGTTTATTTATTAATAACAGTACTTTTCAATTTTAGTAATATTTTTAATAATAGTGATTACATATACCTAGTATACCTATATTTTAAGATTAATGAATTCTTGCAAATGTTTTCATATGTTCTGGCCTCCTGTCTAAACAAATTTATGTTTGGAAGTGTGAAATATTAAGTTGTGATTTTTATTATGCCTTATGTGTTTATTTAATTAAATTAGGATTTTTTTGAAATTTTATCGATAATTATTAAAAAGTATTCTGTCAGTGCTGACGAAGAAAGCGCATGCACATGACGTATTATGTCATCATATAATTCAACTTCCTTCTGTTTAAACAGGTCTTCTAGTTTAAGATCGCCGTATAATTTTTTGATGATTGCGACGTCCTCTGGGTTTTCACTAGCGTAATGCTTTGTAAAAAGTTTTCTCTGAGCTTCGTTGCAACGTTGTAGGGCAGTCACAGCAAACCAGGAACATTTACCTTGCTGAATATCATTCCCAACCTTGCCTGTTGCCGCCTCGTCTGCGTAGCAATCAAGGTAGTCGTCCTTCAAGTTAAATAATATTCTTTTAAATCATCTTTTAATCGAAAGGCTAAAATACTCACATGGTTAATGTAAATAAATCATTAAACAAGTTTTCTAGGTTATACGTCAGTTTTTAATTTAATACAAAAAAATAAAACATTGAAATATGACTCATTTGATTAGTTACCTACTTAATAAAAAATATTTAATACAAGAAGTGCTTAGAAAATCTACTACTAACATTTATGTATGCGAGTGATTGTTTAGATAATAGACAAATGGATAGACTTTGGGCTGAGCAAATAGAGAACACAATTTAAATGATGAGTTTATTTGCTCTGGGGACGAGCACTATTCTTCTACAACATTCGCAACACTAAATGACAATGAATTGCGATCAGAACTTTGATTCGAATCCTGGTCAGGTACAGGAATGTGAGCTGCGGTCTATGAGTTTGTGAGCGAATGTATACTTATACCTATATAGGTATACATATATGTAAGTATATAAATAGTAATATAAAAGCGATCACAATCATGAGACGAAATAACGATTTCTTTTATTCTTGATAAGCTTTAGTGTGATATAAGCATTGAAATACTTATACATTCTTATTTATAAGATTCTACGATTTTATTACGTCTTGTAATAGACAAAAAATATTATTAAAAATCCTACCTGCATTACATAAAGCTTGCTCAGTTTGTCACAGACATCATGCATGCCATCGTACGTCTTCATATCAACGTCTTTCATTATGGTCAATGCTAACAACACCGGAAGCTCAAATGTGCAAAAGCGACACACGTATGGAACAATTGTAGTCTCATAGCGTTCCATTGTGAACTGACTGTAATCTTTATTTACATGGTGGCTAAGCAGCATAAAGTCTGCTTGTTGTCCCATAGAACAGTATAATATCGTCTGAAAAGAATTAGATGTAAATTAATTCGCATTTCATTCTCAAAAAATGCTTAACGTTTCAAGCGACATCATGTAGACGTATCGAAGGCAATCAGAAATCGAAGTAAAATTAAAATTGTATAACGTTCATGACTAGATTTAAAACTTAAGAAAAGAAGATTTTATAAAAGACCTATGACGTAAAAATAATATAATTTTTAGTATAAGTTCATATTTGGAGTTTTCAACATTCTCACGAATTGACCTTCCGTAGAGAACAATGTATTAATATTTTAGGGATGCACAGAACTTAAAGCAGCACTGTTTTAGAATTTTCTGATTTTTACCTTTATTTTGCAAATTAAACTTGTTACCTAATTGAACGATAACGGTGACAGTAAATTATTTGAAGGATTGTCGAGATTTGTTCGAAACAAAAAGTTGATAGGTACACAACTATCCACTTTTCAAATTAAAAAACTTATCTGACTGAAAAAATTAGAAAAATAGCTAGTTTGTGGAGGTACATACCTTGTGTATCAGACGTACGATGTCCTTAAAATATGGGGTTTCCAAAAAATATATTTCTATCGTCTCCATAACGCTGGAGAACACAAGCATGCAGTCGTTGACTGCACCCAGGCCCACATTGGGCATAAGGTACCAACAGGGATTCCCGTGACGTGTAGTTGATTTGTCCATTAAATCATCTGATATACAAAATGCGCACCGTGCCTGCAATTATAAACACAATTTAGTGGATTAACCTAACTAATGTACCTACCCAATATAGTGTGAGAGTTCCCTTCCAAATCAGGAGACGTGTCTCCGGTAGCTTCACTCCCGTGACGTGTGTACATTTGTACACACGTCACGGGACTTTTTGTGTAGAAGCATAATTTTAAGGTGCTCCGGAGAAAGAGATTGAATGTCAATATCACGGTAGATTTGGTAAAACAGTCTGTGATTCAAATAATAAATTGGTTTTCGATTCTATTAGCGTCTTATGCTAAAATGCTAAGCACAAGACTAAACAAAATAATAATAAATAAATAAAAATACCTACCTACAATACCTACATGAAATTATTAACGTGCATTGCTAAACTTACCATTTCTCCGCACCATCCTAGAACTCTAGACAACTTCTGATTCTCCTCTGTAATATTCTCTGGTTTCTCTAACATGTCATATGCAAGTGCAACCATCACTCCTCCGAAATACTTGCTTCCTCTCAGATTATATTCTAAAATCTGAAGATAGTTTAAATATTTTGTAATTTCTGCTACTTATAATACTCACATACAAAAAAACCAGTCACGCAAGTCCCAACGTACTTAAATGGTACTTATACATTTTTTGCCAAAATTATATATTAAAATATATAATGTTATTAGTAACTATCTTTATAACACTTAGGTATAAATTTTACCGATCCGACTCATTATTAGTCCTAGCTATTGAAAATAGTACTTTCTTCTTATTTATTTTTCTATTATTTAATAACGATATCTAATCTTAATAATAATATAAATTTTTCCGCAGAAGTGGTGAGATTTAATTGACGATGTTAATGCAATCATAATATACCTAATTATTGACTGTTATTTTGCCAAATAGAGAGAAAAAAATACTTACTTTTTTCACCCAAGTCGCTACCTCAGGTATTTGAGATAATTTAGGACTGGCCATAAGGTTGTCAAGGATACCAGGCAGCTCCTCACGGAATTTTTCTTCAATATTCATTTCTGGTGTTTGCTTTTGCTTTGCTGCAAAAAATCTAAAGAATCTTAGATATATCTGGGCTATAGTGACGGCTTATAATCACTATATATATTGTTGCTACGGTTTTATGATATGCTATGAGATTGCTACTTAAAAACAAATTCTCCTTATAAATTGCAGGTGCCTGGTGTACAAACTGCTCTAGAGTACTTCGGTCTCCGGACCTGTGGGCTCCTAGCTTGCGTAGACGGCACGGCACGGAGTCATAGACCTATCACTACTAGCCATCGATTACTTTAGAAGTGGGAAAGGCTATAAGGAGTTCGACTGGGAGGAATTAATTGCTTGCTGTCTGTCTCTTGACAGTTTCTCATTAATAATAATGTGAAAACATTTAATTCTTGTGGTAAATTTTGGGGCAGGATGTCATATCGTCGTAAACTTGCAAGATTTGTTTATATACCTATATAGAGATTTAAAAGTTAAGCTACGGGGGACTACCAATATGTAAATTTTTTAGTCTAACTATAAATGTATTCTCAGACTTTTACCAAGACTTAGACCAAAATTTTATTTTAGTTGAATTTGTCAGGTATAAAAATGGAATGTAGATAACTAGATAACTATATTCATAACTAGCCCTAGCCCACAGTTACGACCCTGTTCCTGGTCGAAGCAGGATGTTTTACAGCCTAATATAGGCTGTAAAACATCCTGTATTGATTAAGGGTCGAAGCAGGATGTTTTACAGCCTAATATAGGCTGTAAAACATCCTGTATTGATTAAGGGTCGAAGCAGGATGTTTTACAGCCTAATATAGGCTGTAAAACATCCTGTATTGATTAAGGGTCGAAGCAGGATGTTTTACAGCCTAATATAGGCTGTAAAACATCATGCTTCGACCCTTAATCAATACTCTGTTAAATACAAAAAAAAACATCAAAATCTAACCGACAAATTATCCGGTTTAAGGATTTTATTAAACAAAAAACTATAGGCCACAATATATAAGAATATTAATAGCATACGTTACCTGGACATGTGAAGAATTTCTATTAATTGCTGTCTTTTATTTCTTGATTTTATAGCAAAACGAACCGTTCATAGTTGAATGAATAATTTATTAGTTTTTCACACACCTATTGTCACTGCTTGACTGAATCACAAAGCCGATGTTTTAAGGAAAACCTTATAGCTATAAATACACATAGGTATATGTTTTGTTCAAGAAACCAGAGCATATGATATAATTTACTAAGGAAAATTCACAAAGTACCTAATGTAAGGATGATCGTTAGAAATGGTGAGTGTAAAGTGTACTTATTTAAAACCATATACCTATTTAGTACCTAATGTATCTATAGAATGGTCATTGGTCAACATTCAATAAGAGTGGATACCAGTATTGTAAAGTTATTGCATACAAAAAAATACAGTCGAATTGAGAGCCTCCTCTTTATTGTTTTTGAATTCGGTTAAAAATAGTTTATGGCATCACACACAATACATACGAAATCATTACAAATGTATAATGTAGATACTTAGATGATATCAGGTTCAGGCTTAGAAAACTTTTCAAAAAGTAGTTGAGTGCTATAAGTATAATAATGAAAAAAATATATATTTTAATTTATCTCACGAGATTGTTGAAATGTGGAATTTGGATTTGGTGATCATTGTTCCGATAGTCGTATTTTCTCACGGATTTATAGCCAAGTGTCTATTATTCAATTGTGGATAGGGAATGCAATCTCGTTCTCGCGAGATCTCGGCCTTTTTTTGCGAGATTGATCTAGGACGAAAAAAGGGCAAGATCTCGCGAGTTTTACGAGATTGCACTCGAGCATAAAAACGTCTTATTCGAAGCGCGGACTGCACGGACGGAGTTGCGATCTGTCGTTTCGTTCGGTGCGCGGGAGGCGGCGGCCTGTGTTAGCGGACGCGGGACGAGGTGTCTCTCAGTAAAATATTACACAAGACAAAATTTTATTACTAAAAGATAAAGACTTGTTTGATATTAGAAGAAAATACTGGTTGTTTCTTTCATTTGTTATTTGATAGTACGTCAAAGTTTACTACTTAGAAGTATATTAAAAATTATAGACAGATACGTCAAACAATGTTTGATGCATAAAAGTCTATTGAAAAAATAATACTTTTTTTTCCTAATTCATTCAAATATTGTGATTATTTGCAAAAAACTCAAAACTGGCGAAATTGCCGAGATCTCGCAGTATTGTTATTCATAAACTCGCGGGATCTCGCTTGAGCCCCAATCTCGCGAGATTTGCATTCCCTAATTGTGGATTACATAGAATACAAGAAGTCTTAGGAATAATTTAGCACAGAAGAATAAGATTTTTTTTTTTACGTTTCACAATGATTACGTTAAATTAATCATAATAAAATAATAATCACAATGTATTTTTATGCAATTAAATTATAATATTAGGTACCAAAACGACAGACATTATACACAGATTGATTGAACTACAGAATTTTGAGTATTTCTAATTTGATCCATAAAAGAGGCGCCCCTTTTCCTCATCACCGCATAGAAATCATCCACCCAATAACACCTATGTACAATGCCAAGCAATATGCATGTTATTATGTAGGTAGGTAGGTATATGTTAGGTATATACTCGCATTACACTTGACGCATATCGCGTAAAATTAAATAGACTACACGGATGGCGTAGTGGTATAATTAATCGTTTACCTTTCTACTAAGTTGAGTGTTGTGGGTTCGATACACACACTTATTGTAATCCACGAATTGTTGTTCTGAGTCTGAGTGTTTTTGTGTCCATTTCATGTATGTTTGTAAGCAAATATATTTTTTTCTAAATTATGGAACACTAGCGAACCATTATACTACAAAACCAGTGCGCGTGAGGTCCCAATCGTAAATGGGAAAACTAATATTATGTAGATTTAGTAAAAATTGTAAAAAAATTGTAGAAGTAGCGATTTAAAAATTTGTAAAATAATAATACAAAGAATTACAAAAAACTGCTCCACCCTCTTCGTCTGGAAAATATCTTGTTCAGATGGAGGTGGGTCTTAATAAAAGCTAAAAATATAAAAGTTCTAGTAAAGAAATGACAACGAAATTTGGAGTCATCAATATCAGGCGCTAGAGATGCCCAGGGAGGAGGGAGCCGATGAGATGCTTGCCTAGGGCGCTCTTGATACTTAATCCGCCACTGCTTAAACCTCTTGCAATAAAAGGCCAGATCCTTTTATTGCAATAGATTCAAAAGTAACGGCATTAATACAGATTTTGCAGTGATACATACCTTTACTGTTTTAAACTACTCGTATGATGTACCTACATAGGTACTCTACACTACCACGCTCACCAACTCAAAGAAAAATAGCAAGGAACTTTTAGCCAGACTACGGATACATCCTGTACCAATATGGGCAATACATTTTTTTTATTGTTACAGATTAATTTCGTATTCAAGGAACAAATATGTCAAAATAAAAAAACGAAGTATTTTTTCATGATACGATGCCTGGTATTATAAACAACCTTATAGCTGGTCCCAAGTTATTTCATTTACCTGAGGTAGCCAGTTCAGTGAAGAAAGTTAGAAAATTAATGTGTTAGCCGATATTCACACATATTAGTCTTTCAAAATAGAGTTAGAACATGTTAAAAGAATCATGAAACAGGTAAAAGAAAACTAAATCCTAATTGAAGCAAAAAAAATATATTACCGGTCCTGTTACCAGTCACAAATAATCTCACTCACTCAGAGGCGGATTAAGCAGGTATCCTTAGCACCCGCGCCCCCATCCGCACCTCTCTAGCGCCCATACAATATTATGCGAAAGTGATTACTCCAAATTTTAGTAGTGATTTCTTAACTAGAATTTTTATTTTTTTTACATGTAGAAATACCCATGGGCTGTTACTCCACCGGGGTTTGCGGTGGGCGGTATATCGGTATCGAACTGACTAAAACCACACACTGCGCCTGAAATAGGAGGGATCCGATAACAACTTTTATTAAGACGTCCGAGCCTTTCTATTTTTTTATCTGTCGGCCCGAGGCCTGAACTTATGCAAGATGGAAGTTATTCAGCACCTCCGCCGATTTGTTTTCCGTACCATGGCCGCAATCATGGTACCGAGCTAAAGAGTCCTAACTCCGATGGCCGCCACGAGGCCACGCCTCGGCTCTACCTACGGCACGCTGGGCATTCTAGCAGCATATGGAGCGCCGCCTCCCTGATGCAACTCCAGGGCAACGTGTTCAACGCATTGGCGGTGTCCAAGGACACCGCCAACTTCACTTCGCCCCGGGAAACCGCTTCCTCCGCCAGAGCCCTCACGCGCATGATCGCATCTACGGTGTAGCGCCTTGCAATCACTTTTTCGAAGAGTTTGCACACCTCGCCAAGCAACACTATGGGCCGGTAGGCGGATGGTGAGTCCGCCGGGCGCCCCTCTTTTCGGATGAGAACCATTTTTCCCGTCTTCCACAATTTCGGAAACTGGCCCTGCTCGAAGCATGCGCTGAAGAACCCTCTCAGTCAGAGCTCGAGAGCCACGTCATCTAAGGCCAGGACCCACGCTATGGGAGCTACCGGAGCCGTTTGGCTCCAGGAGGGACTCCCCAGGCGCAGTGCATCCGGGTCCCTCCGGGGTAGGTTTAACCTTTTGTTTCCCCATACCATAGTTTATGAGTTTAACGTCCTCCAACATGACGCCCTTGGCACTCGACACCCTCCAGCGACTCAGCCCATTGCCAAGCGTCAGAGCGTGGGCTTGGGGTTTTTTTATAGAGGTTTACCTACTCGCGGGTCCGAAGACGGCGGCAGTGCCTCCCCAACCCAGGGAGAGGCACTGCCGTCTTCGATGCCCAGGGTGCACTACGCGGAGGTTTCGGACCCCGCACTCCACAAACTGTAGCTCTGGGTCTGGGTGTTCTTTGTGTCCGTTTCATGTTTGTAAAGTCTCCCGCGACACAGGATGTATTCCTAATGCGGGAGTTGTCTTTAAAACTTTCACTACGGTTTTTACAGCAACATGTTGTATATTTATATTTTTTTAATGGCTGACTAATGTGTGTATGTTTACGTGCCGGCCTGTACGTACAGCGAACTAGCCGACTATGAGTGACACAGTTTTTTGTTAGCGAGACTATGTGCGACTTATTTATACGAAAGAAATTATAGTTTACAAAAACTAAAAATAACACGCTTTTGTAGCTAGCTGAAATAAAAAGTAGGAAAATTAAAAAAAGTCTAAATACTTTTGACAGATCTGTTGGTCTAGTGCCTCTGACTGCTCAGCCGGAGGTCGTGGGTTCGATTCCCACCCAGGATAAATATTGTGTGATGAGCATGATCATTTGTTCTGTGTCTGGGTGTAATTTATCTATAATATGTATGTATTAAAAATATATAAGTATGTTTATCAGCAGTCTGGTCACCATAGCACAGGCTCTGCCTTTTTTTGGGATCAGAGTCGTGCGTGAGATGTGTGAGGTATATTATATTTTATAAAATAATTTTTCTTTTACGATAAAATGTTTTTTCTTTTTTAACCTGTATTATTTTTCGTTTTTTGATCATTAATGATGATTATTACCTTATTGACTAAAAAAGCAACAAGTAAGTTTATCACATATGCTTCAGCACACGCCTTGATACGTGGCAAAAGACATACCGTATTTTTAGGTATGGAAAAAGCCGTTAATTCTGAAGGTTCTGATCAGGATAATGGGACAAACTACTTAAATTATTGCGTTCTCATCGTTTCTTGATAAGTGTGCAAAGTTTCCAGTTAATTCGACTCGCCTCTTTCAGTAAACACCTTAAGTAATCGGGTTCTGGAGTTCATATTTCCAGTATCGAAACTTTAAAATAGTGTCACCCACTAGAAAATGTTTCGTAAACTTTTGAAATAACGACGAACAAAATATTCTCCTAGTATTATTTTATCTTTTCAAGATCTCTTTGGGAGATACCTAATGCCATGTTAAACAAATGAAAATCAAATATAGGTTCTATCATAGTATATTCCAAAAATATAATGTTATATATGACATTGCTTTTTACATAATCGAGTACAGAGCGTAGTGGTACTAAACCCTTCATAAACAGCAGTACTTAAAGTAAAATGCTATTAAATAAAATATAATGTTCATCAGTGGGTTACGAGATGTAACAAAGGTTTGAAAAGAAAAAAAATGTTATACACTTCTAAGCCAAAGCTAAAATTGGCTAGAATAATGTTCCTTGTTGCACAGTTAAAGGAGTATACTGTCGCTCCAAAGACAAAATCATGAAATGGACTACCTCCTGGTAAACTGAATAAATAGGCACGTAGCCTATTTTACTTTGGGCCTATTTTTGGAAAGATGTTATTATAATTATTAAACAGTTTGCTATCGACTACTACTACCTAGACTTTAAAATCCTAAACGGCGTAAAACTCAAAATATTTCATCCTAAGTATTTATAAAATTCAATAAAACATTGTAACCAATGGCAAATCATGTTTTTGCTATATTTGAAAATACTTTTTATAGACACCAAAGACATGTCTGTCTGACTTTTAGTACTTAAATAATTTAAGCACATGAAACTGTATGGTGTAAACTCAGTTTCCATACCATGACAGGTTAATATATGTATAAGACAAACATATTACACAACAGTAATTTTTTCAAAATGTCTTTTTACATCACAAAAAAATCTTCGATTTGTTTACGAAAAATTCGGATGAGTGCAACATCTCGTAACCATATCTTACACATCGAATAATGGATTACAGACATCAGCGTGACATCAGTGCTATAACGTTTAAGTATTTCTATTTTGAAATTACTACTACGGCGTCTACTTTGAACATAAGAAACACAAAAAAAATATGTTTACTTTTACCTAAACTATAAAGTGTTGCCAGCCAAAATAGCATGCAACGGAACGTGTAGAAATCATACGATAAATTTTTACGTTATTAAATTAACGAATTTCTTTTAAACTGATTATTTTCTTTACTAATTGAGAATAAAAATATTGAAATCTATTACAAGGATTTCGTATACATGTCAAGGTCTTAAGAAAATGTAAAATTGCATTCTGCGAATAAGAAGAAGAGCAACAAATTTCTAATAATTTGTTTTAACGGTAGGTAGTAGAAGATATGTAAAATGAGAATTTTTAGTTCCAGTTGTTTTTACAAACATAGATTTTGAATACAAGTCGGTAAAAGTAACAATTAAAATTTTGTGTCTCCTAGTCAAGTAGGGAAACTATAGTACGTGCTAATATAATTTTGACTAGTAAGCACCAATTGACTAATTATAACATTAATAACCTTACAAAATCTATTTACAAACTTAATGGCTAATAAAATTTAGCCAATCACACAGCTTCATTTACACAAAAATCTTAAGATTACTAAATAAAACTATTATTTTACATGAAATTTATCAAATTAACATTTGAGCGATTATTAAGTTAAAATTATTCACATTAAACATAAAATCATCTGTATACTACGAGCTGATAAATGGAGCAACAATTAAAAATTATTGTTATCTGCGCTTACAGTCAACACTAGACAATACGGTTTATTACGGAACAGAGTTTTGAATTGTAATCATTTATGTATTATACACAGAAACATACAGTCTTATGCAATGAAAACGAAAATCTGTCTAAATTTGATCACGATCAAATGACGTTCAAGTGATTTTTCTTATACTTCGCCATTTATATAAGTTTATACAAACATTTGAATAACCTACGACACAAGTTTTTAATACACTATATCGACTCAGCTTTGTCGCTCATAAAAGTGGTTAACATAACTTAAACCTCAAAATAATTCAACTCGTTTCAACAAAGTATCCGTGCAATGTTACTTGGCCCTTATACCGAGACTTAGAAATATGAATATATTAAAAATATTTACATTAAAATGATGGTGCATAAAGTCAGTACGAAACTTGACAAAGCGACATATATTTTTGTGTACCATTGTCAATGGTTAACCGAATAAAAATGTCTATATTATTTTTATTTTTAATTCGGTGGTCCTCATATATTAATCTGTGTCCAGAATACTGATACAAATGGGAAAGCTGATTGTGTTGCTTTACATAATTACGTCTACAATGAATTATCCCAAGTACTATAAACTCGATACGGTGACAGAGATTAAGGAATAAATGTTAACCTAACATTAGAGGGTAACTTTGAACACTGAATATTATTATTTTTACACATCCATTTCAAGTGAATTCAGCACTCTGAAATCTAACGGTGAATGCTGTGAACGTTTTATGCTAATAGCTTAATAACAGAATTAACACTGACTATTCAATAAAACATACTTACGAAATGTAACCTACTTTATATATAATACGGCCAATAAACGTAGTATATACTTAATGTATACCATTTACAATAGATATAAACCAATTAGATCTTTACTTGTTCAGCCTCTAAAAGGCTTTGTTCTGAGAATCTTAAGCGACGCTTGAACATAAAGAATTAAAATTTATGGAACAGTTATTCTTCTATAGCACACGCTACTACTAACTTTTGCACACACCGAGGTGCCAGGAGGTAGCCCAGGATAGACTATGGTAATTCTTTTTAATGCAGATTACAATTTAGAAAAAAGAAAACACAGGAAAAGGGATATGCAGCTTTCATGTATGATTTAGAATAAAATACATTAATATTATAGTATAATAACAAAAGGAAGTGTAAAATCTTAATCCGGCTTTTATGTTACAAAAAAGCATAGCGTGTCTCATAGTTGTCTCTGGTTCAAACCGCTTACACATTGCATTTCTTAGCTACTATATTTTAGTTACATCTGTCATTTTAACTATATTAGTGACCTTCAGTGTATAGATATAGAGTAGTCTTTAAATAATCATGTGTATCATTATTTGGTGTGCACACATTGACACACCAAACGGACACCAGTCGCATTGAAAAATATGAAAATTATCATAACAGTGACATGTACACAGAAAATTAACGTCTACTAGAATAAGGCTATACATTCAGTTCATAATATTTTAAAACATTAATCGTAGCCTATCTAGGGGATGCATTGGAAGTTCAGTTTAATGATTCCGGAAAAATCCTAATCATCACTTCGTTCACACAAAAACACATATGGAGGTAGTCATATTTGTATTTTCGTCAAAAATACCATTCCATAAGGCGGTATACCGCACACTACAGCTCGAAGGTTCGATTTTACAATAGCACATAATGTAAAGTGTATCACTCGATTTTGTGTTTGATTCCGAAAGAGATAGAAAGTTTTCACCTCAGGGCTCGGCGGGCGGGGTGAGCACGGGCAGGTGCGGCGCGGCGACGAGGCGACGGTGCGCCTCGGAGCCGGTGAGCGCGGCCACGGTCACCCCCGCCTGGTACGACGCCGGGATGCGGATGTGGCGGGTCCTAGTGCCGAACTCGCCCCAGCCGATAGCTCGATATTCGCGAATTACGTTCACTACTTGACCTACAATATACATTTTAAATTAGTTTTTTTGATCCTCAATCCTCATCATCGACGGCCTTTAATAGTCCACTACTGGACATAGGCCTCTTCTTAGAAAGGAAGTTTTGGTCTACTATACCACGCTGGCCAGACGGGTTGGTATAGGGTTTGTTTCAAGTTTTTCTTGTCTCTACAGTTCTGTTGTCCAAAAGAGTTTCCCTTAGTCCCCTTAGTCGGCTCTTACGACACCCACCCAGGATGAGTAGGGTAGGTGACACTCCGTATTCTTCATCCGTCACCACACGTTGTTCTTGAATGCTAGACTATATTCAGTTACAGTTAAATTCTTATACATATAAATCAATGTTTGTTTATTCCTAGTTTATGCGCTGTCCTACCATTGAAAAGCTTAGATTGCCCCGTACTCCTTATTGTCTTACTGTATATTACTGTACAGCAGATCCAATTATTTTATATAGGTAATAAAGCAACTACTTACCAAGTACATTAAACGTTTGAAAACGTCGATCAGGAACAGCCATGAGCGGCGTTAGGTCCGTATAGGCCGTAAATCTTGACAGGACGTCTCTGGTCCGCACCAGTAGCACAGATGGCGATATCAAATGCGGCCACAAAGCTGTCTCCCGCACGCATTCGACCGGGTTGCACAGATACACGCCGCGGGATGACACACCGAATACCATTTGGTGATGCCATGCGTCTGGGATTTCGCCTTCACAACCAGCTTGTAAGTTCAGGGTGAGGATTGGAACTGCACCTATGAACAAAAACAAATTTAAATGATTTCTTGTTGTAGCCGCGAATGTGGGGCCCCATTAATTCAACTGTTCTGGCCAAAATAGCGTTAGAACTCAGTTTATAGAAGGAAATCGTCGTTTGCAATTACCGCCCTATATGCAACACGAGCCAGTTTTTAAGAACGAATTTTAAGGACAGAAAAAATGGTAGATATACTCCGAAAATGGGATTATTGTTGTATGGTAATATCATCAACAATTACAGTTTTAATAACCAGATTTTTAGAACTTTGCGTTCAAAAGTTTTCTCGGTTTATAGTTTGCATATAATTTACTAAAATCGATACCAATGACAGCCTAGTTGTCATAAATGAGTTGTCATCGCTGTCAACAAGTTAACCTAGACATCTTAAAATCATTCGATTTTGATATTTTTGATCCGTCTATAAAATGTTTGTCTAATAGTTTAATTACTTTTTTTACATAATGTTCACGATTAATCTAATCGATTTGAATAAAAGTTCCTTAAATTGATTGATTGAGTAGTCCTTTCCTTAAATTGATTTAAAATAATCATTCCTTTATTACTTCGCATAATCAGTCAACATTATTAATAAAGAAAGATTTTAGAAGAATGAAGAATTAGAAATTTGTAAAACGTCTATCGCATCAGCCGAAAAATAACAACAAAAGTATAAAAAATAAGGTAATATTTATCAATACTACTGGCGTACCTTGAAGTAAGTAGCAGACTGAACGTTGCAATGCTTACCTAAGGTAATCCAGTCGGCTAACCAGTGTGAAAGTGAAATAGCTCGTTCAGGATATGTAGGAAAAAAACGAGCCGTGACTAGGCCATCAGAGGCGCGATGAATGCCTGAAACAAGATCCGATGCCGTACATCCCGCTACCGCCCGCGACAGCAAGTATCTGAAACAAGACATTTAAGACTCACCTGCGAAAATATATTAAACACTGTCATTAACTGACTGACTGGCCTATTAAGGTTAGTGACCCTAACTGCTAAGCCAGAAATCATGAGTTTGATGCCAACCCAAATAATTGTGTGATGAGCATGATCTTGTTCTGTGTCTGGGTGTAATTTATCTATAATATGTATGTTTTTAGAAATATATTTTTATATATTAGAGGGGGCAGACGAGCAGACGGGTCACCTGATGGGAAAGTGACCATCGCCACCCATGAACGGCAGTTTATCAGCAGTCCATACACACGTACGTACCATAGCACAGGCTCTCCCTGGTTTGGGATTGGAGAGGTGTCAAGTTATTATTATTAAAAAACTGAACAAACGTTAAGATCTACAGCACTATTTAAATAAAGCAACTTTTATAGTGACATTTCGATTTTATTCGTTGGCTGTTCACAAATTTGAGGACAATTTTAAATAGATTCAAGCTTATTACATCAAATTGCACTTTGTAAAGAAACGCTAAGGCCCTAGAGTAACTACGATAAAATGACAACTTTTCCTCGTGTTCCTGTTAGAACATTTTATTTGGTTTACATAATAATATTATTCCTAAAAATACTTAATTTTAAAGATTTTATAAAAATACTTACCTAGGTATTGGAGCGTTGTTTGCTCGTTGTCTTGTACCAACAGCTGAACCGATTCTTTCTAAATTTACCGGCACACCTAATGCGTTCTGAAATTTTTTTGTTACAAAATAATAAAAGCATTAAAAATAACATTTATATACGTGTGTTACACCTTAGTTATGATTATCATACAAATAATGGATACTAACAAAGACATTGACAACAGCAGTGGCCCCACATGCCGAGGTAGATATCTGAGTGACCTGACGATCACATGCTTCACTCTCCGACCAGATCATGCAACGAGGTGGCGCAACACAACCGGCGCTGCTTGTGCTCGAACTAGCTGTTGAACTGCCACTTGTATCGCTAGCCTACAAACAATAATTATTATAATGCAACCAGGCAAACCAAAAAATACAGTCCGATGTGATACAGTGATACAGTTCAAAGTTCGAATTTCATAATACCTAAGAATTATAATAACTATTATTAAAATTCACGAAATTTATTTTACCGAAAGTCGTTTTGGTGAATTATTTAGGTTAGAACTGTGATCAACGAAAAAATATATTTTAATTCGAAAGGCAATAGAAAGGATTCGATTTTTTTATGTTTCGAACTATCATTTAGTCGGACTTTTTGTTATTCGATCTATTGAAACTCGGTATTTTGAGCATAGTAATTATAAACGTTAAGAATATTGAAATTTTTGAATTATAAAAATAGGATAAATGATTAATCGGAGTTGTTATATTAGTCATTTTAAACCATTCAGAATTATGAAAATCGGTATTTTGAAATTCGTATTTGTAACTGACGGAATAAAGTTTTTCGTATTTGTGTAGTGTACCCCTGCATAACATGGCTTGACAATTGTGCAAAAGTTTTACCTTACTTACTTGCGCTTCAGCATCTGATTTAGTCTTTTCTGACATGAGTCTCCTTGCCATTTTAATGTGATATAAAGCTGATGAAAGGTTTGCTGAATCCATGGATGACCCTTGGTTGATTTGATATGCATGGGACCCTTCAACTTGCTCATCTTCCACTGTAATACATTTTATTAAAAATAATGAATTACAATTGCCAGTACTTTGTAGTTCAAAAATATAGAAATAAGGCACAGTAGCCAATTTATATTTTTGATTATGTTATGTAGTTTAAATCTCTTTAGTTTAAAGTGCAATGGCTTTGGTAGACAGTTTTTTTTTCATTGTTCACACAACCGATCGCCATCTTTCTAGTTCATTCTACCAGTACCATTATTTGATAATTGCACAATGCTTAAACGGACGAAGCAGGTCTAGATCGGACCGGAGTTATGTGGTATGAACACAGAACCCACAAATGGCGCAAATTCTATTATATATTTTGGATCCCAAGTGAGCTTTGTCACAAGATGCTGCAAGCTCATGGTATACCGCGCCAGGTGTCACCTGTAGGCATTATATTACGGTCATTGTACACAAGACCCAAAGACTACATTCCCAGAGGATATGATGAGCAGACTGTTCACAGTTTAGAGTCAAGTGTTGCATTGACACAAAGTTTAATCAACAAAATTTAATGAATGCAGGTTTATAACTGGACATGGTTAGTTTCACAAGCATCTTTCTGCTGTAGGTGCCACAGACAGCCCACTACTCTGGGCATGCATGGGAGCAAAGAAAACCACAACCCATATACTCATGGACTATCAGTGTGTTGCAGAATACCAGACTAAGTATTTTAGCACACCACAATCACTCTTCAAGGTTGTTGGTAATATAAAAGGGTTACCGGCATTCTTTAGAAGGGTTGAAGACTCAAATAGATTATATTTTCACAAATTTGATTAGAGTTGCGGAAAACAGCCAGTGTAAAAGAAACCTAGTAATACCTAGGCAGGCATATTTGGGGAGTTAAGTTGGTTCAAATAGTCTTAGCACTAGTAGTATCTAACCTCGGGCAAGCCGTCATCGCGGCGGTAAGACCCGTTATGGAGGATTGGCTCGAGAGGCATCACGGGACCCTCTCATACCGACTGACGCAGGTGATCACTGGGAAAGGATGTTCGGGGAGCACCTGTGTCCGATCCGCAAGGAGCCAACGCCTGAGTGCCACCACTGCGATGGCCAGACCGTGGACACGGCTTTCCACACGCTGACAGAGTGCCCGGCGTGGGTTGAGCAGAGGCGAGACCTCGTGGCGGCCATCGGAGTGGAAGTTCTCTCGCTCGATAGTCTGATTGCGGCTATGGTGCGGAGCGAGAGTGCGTGGAACTCTGCCGTTTCCTTCTGCGAGCAAGTTATGCTCGCGAAGGAGACGGCGGAGCGGGACCGGGAGAGGTTTAGAACTCTCCCGGCCCGCCAGGCCCGGGAACGGGCCAGGTACCGCAGGCGACTCAGGAGCCGGAGGTCGCAGAACGACCTCCGTCCTCCATAAGCGCAGGCCTGGGGGTGACAGGTGAGGCCATCTGTCACCCTAGCAGAAGCAGGCCGGGGTGGCGGCGAGCGCTTTGCGAAGCGCGCTCGCTTCCAGGGAGCAGAGGGAACATGGGGTTCCCACACGGGGGGGGGGGTCGTCTACCTGTTGTTGTAGATGGCCCGAGGTATGTCGGGTCACCAGGGACTTCCTTTCTAAGGTGTACCTGGTTCCCCGGCTATTAGTACCCGAGACGGCGTGCGGTTTTAGTCGGTTCGAGTCCGAAATGCCACCGATAGGTGGTATCCGAGGGGATTTCCGCACGGGAAAAGTAGTATCTAACCTATCATAGGCACAAGTTCAATTCAGTAATTTATCTTAAGAAACGTCAAGTGTGAAAAATGTGTATACACAGCTCTCAACATGACATAAACTCATTATTATCAGCCTGATAATTCAGTCTTTGTATATTAGCACAAGGTACACATGAAAAAGTGAACCTTGTAATAATTTGGGATATATCAGTTTAACAGTTAAGCTTGAGCTTTGACTTTGAAGTCACCCAATAGAGAGGGCAATGTTCAGAGATTCTCTGCGTGATTGAGTCAGGAGATCTGCTGACAAACCAAGGTTACTGACATTGCCCAGAGAATTGCAAAACATAAGTGGCAGTGGGCAAGGCACATTGCTCGCAGAAAAGTCTGTAGATAAGGCGCAAAAGATCTGGAGTGGCAACCACATACCAGAAGACGGAGCGTTTGTACGCCCCCTACAAGTCCGACGACCTGATGGAAGCAGTTGGATGTGGGTGGCAAAAAAACAGTTGCAAGCTGAAATAATCAACACATTTATCCAACAGATCAGACACCTTGTCTGTTTGCTGCAACTGTGATTGAAATACATGTTATAAACAATGTTGGAAATCATCACTTAAAATTTTTAAAGATATTGCATATTCTATTAATTAAGGTAACAAAAAGGTCTTTGATAAAGACACTAAATAATACTTACAGTTCAGCATTTCTCTTGGTGAGACTAAATTACCACTTGAAACATGAAGATTAATAGGTAGACTGATAGGTCCATGAGCCATTGTTCTTCTGACCAGCATTTGTTCACCTCTAGTATTCACATGTGTGATATATGGACCAAAACTGTAACTATTACTGTTATCTGATGCATCACCATGACCCACTGCAGTGCTACGACTAGTAGATGGCACACTATATGAATACAGGTCACTACTATCTCCATGAGGCACAGATTGTGCACTGGGAGGAATAACCACAGGATTGTGTTGAGGTACAACAACTGGTACATATTCTGGTGAGGTTCCTCTTATTATCACCGGTTCAATTTCATCAACAATATTTCCTGCTACTTCTAAGTCAACATCGGGAGAGGATTCATCACCTGTATCAACTTCACATGAAGGGCCAGGATCAAAATCCATTTCTAAAAATTCCATATCAGGACTTGATGCTCTAGAGCCTTGATCTCTCACACCTGCTGCTCCCTGTTGTGGCACAGGATAGTTCAGTAAAGGGAGGTGATTATCTAGAGGTAAACCCATGTCTAAACTAAAGAACGAGCTTGGTAAATCAGCGAGATGCTCACCACCTCTATATGTATAAATACATCCATCTTCTGAACCTAAAGAATAGTCATCATTACCTGTGTCACTTGAACTGTCATCATCTATTCTGTTTAGTTTCAAACTGGATGGCCTTTTCCTATTCTCTTTAAAAGTACTGCTATCTGAGTTATCTGCAGTTTTGCCAGTGTTACTTGTGGAAGGTAAATTGCTACTGCTACTTTCTGCTTTGTCTATACATTTTTTATGCCTCTGACACAACTGCACATCGTGACTGGAATCTGGGCCATTGTCATATACATTTGAGTCAGAGTCTGCTTGATCGGAATTGCATTTGGAAACTTTATTACACATTTCTGGTTGGCTGTTAGGGTTGGGGATTTTGTTCGAATCGAGAGTATTTTCGTTATATCGACTAGTTTGTGGTACCGGTTCATTATCGGACATAGAATTCATATCATTATCCCAAGGCCCGTTCAAGGGAACAAAGCTTAAACTTTGAGTTGATGTAAACAGATTTTCTACGTTGTCAGTTTGCCTTTGTAGTGTACCTGTAGTCCTATTATTCTTGCTTTTGTCACTTTCACCATCGAGTTTGTTAGGATTTTTCACAGATGCTGAATCCTTAGAAAAATCCATGATTACAAATATATCGTTAAAGTCGGCATTGTTCACTTCTTTTTTTAAGGTTACCAACGTCTCGCTGATGTAAATACAAGTGCTAAGAAAGGCACATAACTGAAATAAAACTATAAAGTGACCTAAACTCTAAGAAAAAAGATATATTGTTGGATATTTTTGACACAATATGTAAAATGAAATAATAACAAACCAATTCGCAATATTCAGATTAAAAATCTTGATATGACATATTGACAAGTGACAGTAGAGCGCAAAACAGACTATTATTATTGTGTTCATATTGTATCAGATGTTTCAATAAATAACATTTTTAATTCTAGTAATACTAAGGTTTGTATTACAATTATAATCTATTGAGTTTAATATGTGAATCAATATTTAGACCAATGTCGTTATCAAAATAATAGAAATGAAATTTTATTACTTATTATTACTTATTTATTTTATATTATTTTAAGGTGATCTTACTGAAGATAGAAAAGAGGAGATTTTAAATCCACTCAAAAAATTGTTATACCTACATTTTATTATCACAACTAAGACGGTGTAACCGTATAATACGGTAGCACCTCTATATAGTTCCCTACAGTATAAATCAGCCCGACTGCCCGACCCTAGTGTAGCAAGATTGTCAAATTTTCTTTCATAAATTTTACAATGACAAATTGATTCTACCAGCTGTGGGATTTCTTAAAAACTGCGTCTTATTTGTAACACAAATAATTGTACAGAAAACGCTCTTTTAAGATCACTTTCGTTGGTTACTTCTAAGAAAACCTAAAACAACTCAGAAAATGGCTTACGCCTACTTGTTCAAATACATCATCATCGGCGACACAGGTATTGATTTTATTTTCTGATATCTTATTTAGCTTTTATGTTTTTCAAAGCACATTGCTTCGTTGTCTTAGTAATGAGGATGTTGCAATTTGCCTAACATGTAATGCTTTTACTGCGTATCGATCGATATCTGCTTGTTATGAGCTATATTAGATATTATATTTTACGCCTACGCTGTTTATTGCCTAAGTCTGAAAGAGACTGACACGCATTTTATTATATATTCTAGTTTTCTAATTTACCCTCTTGTCACAAGTATAAAAATATACAAAGTTGTTTATATGTTGTATGTCCATTTGAAGGTCTTCCTTTGTTTGTTGTTGTACCAATCATTTCGTAAAAAAATGTCCTATTTAATTACACGATGGTCTTTTGCTTTGTGTTTCAACGTCAGTAGTAAATAAATATACCTTATAACAAGAACTTAAATGTAGCGCATACTGTTGGATTTTGTTATTCAGTGATTAATGTGTGAAATAAGGGCTCAGCTCTTAATTACTGACTATTTATGTAGATGTCACCCATTTTCTTTTGTGTAGCTGTTTTTGTTTATTGTTTATATTGTAAAGCTATTTTTTATTGCAACTAGTCTTGTACTAGTTGCAATAATAAGTAGCATGTCTACAAAGTCATGAGCAAATATAGTATTGAAATCAAAGCTTTTGTTAAGTATACTGTAAAAATATATTCAAAGGCCATATGTAGTATGTGCTGTAAAAGGAATAAAATACTTTTCTAATGCTTTAATTTAATTTTATAATTTTTTTTATTATTCAAAATATTGATCATTATCACTGCACTTCCCACTTTCAAGAATTTGTGATCACTTAGACTTTTTCAATCTTTTTGTCATTTTGACCAGTTGAAATGACTTAGTGTCAGGTCTCTAGATGTTGTCGTAAACGATGCTTGCACAGCTTCACCACAAACTCCAAGACATGATTGGCCTGAATCTGTTGATGTTTTGCAATAGGCATCTGCATGTCTGATAGTTATACTAGATCCCGTTTCCATTTAAATTAATAGTGGAATTAAAATATAGTGTTGCAAGTTCTTTCTAAGGAGAGGCTTATGTTCAGCAATGGACTATTAAAGGCTTTGATGTGATGTGTGTGTTGTGAGTTCTTTTATTGTTCACATTAGAGGTAAATGTGTCAGTATTGTTACACATTAATTTTGATGACTAGTAGCCATGCCTCTGCCATGGTTAAAGATGAAACTGGTTCCTATGTGGCTTTCAATAGGTCATTATGGATTTTCATCTTATTATTTCATACATCTATGTGGTCACACATATCATACGTAAACGAAGCAGTACCTGGATGACCGAGCTTTACTTGGTATTTTTTTGGTAAATTTTCTAAAATGAAACCTCGCTAGAACGATTAATTGACCCCGTGCATACTAAATTTCATGAAAATCGTTGGAGCCTTTTCTAAGAGTCAGATTATATATATAAATATACAAGACTTGCTCTTTTAAAGGTGTTAGATATATATGGATTAATAATAGTTATGTCTTCTCAACTACTTTTGATAATCTTTATTGTGTAAATTGTCTTGTACTGCTATAAAATTGGTACTAACTAAACAATAAACTACTGTGTATTATTTAACCATGCCTGACCTAAATACCATTAATACCAGTTACTTTGTCATACATACACAAACCCTATACCAACCCGTCTGGCCAGCATAGTATAGTAGGCCAAAACCTCCTTTCTAAGGAGAGGCCTATGTCCAGCAGTTGACTGTTAAAGGCTGTTGATGATGATGATGATGATGATGATGACTTTGTCATATACATATAAACAAATTGACAGTTAACAAACTAGACAATAACCAAAAAGTGGCTAATTTTTTTACTGATCTCAAAGGTTCTCAATTTTAATTGTATTTATTTATGTTTTTCACTTTGTAATTTATGAACTGATTTGATTTTATTATTTGAGGTCTACAACTCCAGTTTGGTCCCATTCCTATTTGTAAAGAAATACTATTTATCATGTTTTAGGGACTTTACTTTTTTTTAAGTTTATTATTGCAAGAAAAAGGGAAGATGATGTCAAATAATATCAATGGTCTTAATGTACCTGTCAATTTAATTTTTTTATTTAGCAAAAAGAAGAGTTATACAATTAATGTTTTATATTTTTTTATTTATTTAATCTTGCATCCTTTTTATGAGTTATTAAGTGCATCATATAAATTAATTGTATTCTATTGCATTTAGAATCGATTGTTTACAAACAGTAAGGTAACATGTTATGTCATCTTTACTTGGCTTGAAGTATTACTGTTCTTGTTGAAGTCTGGTGACAACAGCAATAAACAAGATCCCTTTTGTATTCAAATAAAGCTGTATGGGAGGAAAAGATAGCTGATTTAATACCTTCTGTTTATGAACATAAATGTATATGAAAAAAAAGATGTTTATTCTTAAATAAAAAGTAAAGTAAAACAGGATAGGTTAGTTATTTTATAGGTAGGTTAAATACTATACTAATACTTGCTTCGTAGACATCACAATGCAAGGACATTGTGATATCTTAAAATGGGAACTTCTTCTTCCTGTAAAATTACTATTTTCAAAATATTTTCACACTACATCAGACACACATTGCATACGTTCTAAGGGGCTGTCAACACTAGCGAGTGAACCGTCAAGAGGCGGCGCTTCTGTCATAGGGTATTCTCCACAATGCAACACCTGGGAGCATGTAGCATGAGTACTCATTGACAGTACATGAGTCAATGAGTGATTTTGATATAAAAGACACCAATTACTATTAAGTGTACCTAGTTATTACTATTGCAATTCCATTTACAATTTTGTGAGTATACAGTGTGCTCTCTTGTTCCTGTGTTAAATGGCGTTAATAATTTGGCTTGTATTGACACCATTTAACTTAACTAGAAAAATGCCTTAGTAATTTTATAATAGTCTGATTTCCAGCACATATTCATATTAACATAGAATTTTAAATAACATACATAGTTCGTTCAACCTAAATCGTTCTACCTGTTCCACTTTATGCTCATCAATAACTGCCCTCATCTCCGGTATTATTATACATTCGTTAGTGAATGAATAATACATGAATAATTATCCACCCACGAATCGTCATAATTATTCAGAATCGGGGTGCCTACACCATTACGTTCGTTAACTGTGTGTTAATGAAATAATATTTGAGATGCTAACAACTACTTTTTTCTTTATAAAAGTGTTTTGTTTGCAGGTGTCGGCAAATCATGCTTACTTCTCCAATTCACGGACAAACGGTTCCAACCAGTCCATGACCTCACAATCGGTGTGGAGTTTGGTGCTCGAATGATCACTATTGATGGCAAGCAGATCAAACTGCAGATATGGGATACTGCTGGGCAAGAAGCTTTTAGGTTCGTTTTATCTTAAATAATTAAATAGTGTTTTTTATTGTATGAATTTATTAGCTTGGCTGATTGACAGACAAGTTACAGATTGGCAGTAATATCATGCAAATCTACTAGTATCAATTACGAATTTGACCACACAGAAAAACACGACTTCACTATAGTCCATTCGCGTTAAGAAAATAGTGACGCATCGATAACCCTAACCAATCAAGTCCTAAGCTTCCGTACTATACGAGAATTTCTTGGAACCCGTTTGATCAGGGGGGCGGGGCTTGAATCCTAAAACAAACATACTTTTTCGTTATTGTAGGCAGCACTCCAGATCTTCGACCAATATAGAGTTAAACTTTAAATTTGCTTAGTAGACCTAGTTGAAAGTTTTGTTCAGCACTTAAAATTATAATGTTCTATTTCATCACTTTTCACATAAAATTTAAAAGAGAAATACTTAAATCAGCTAGTGTAGTATCAGCTGCAGCATTCAACCCATTCACTTGTTAGAAATTTCGTAACTTGGTAACATGTAGGTATTATTTACATATTCACTAGTAACAGTTTTGTTTTCTATCTGTAGCATACCGTTCTAGGTAAATCCTGAAAAAAAAGATATAAATGTTTCGTGATATACAACAGCGCAAGAACCTACTGACTTGCGTATAACAAATTGTAAGTTTATTAATTATTTATTGTTAGGGATAACAACAGCTGCAATTATTAACTAGTAGTGGGGGAGCCCATGATGCTAAGTGGGGATTTACTCGAGCATCAAAGGGACCTAATAGCTTTTGAAAGATTAGGTAATGGAATGAATAAAAGTCATAAAAAGTTTCCACTTTCAGTAGTAAGAAAAGCTTCTACAGGCATTCAAAAGGGTAAGGGGAGGAAATCGAAAAAAATATTCGAGCGCATCAGATATTTTGGGGATATGTTATTTGGACGTCAAAAATGCTTCCATTGAAAGGTCTGGCGATTTTAAAGTGACACGAGCTGGTAGCGTTTTATCGAAAATGCTAACTGCAAATTTAAAAAATCGCTAATACCCGAAAAAAAACCGTGTTAAAATTTATACAGGCGGTCCAGCTTGATGCTCCTGTCATCCTAGCCAAAAATCTGACGATAATACTGCAGGGTATTAAAAATCTGTCGGTTTCAAATATTTGGATTTTTTATTCACAGTAGATGTTGGACATTATTATTGAGTATACGCCTACATCAAAACAAAATTAGTTATACTCATCATGGTTAAATAAAAATACAATTTCTTGATATCAATGTTACAAGTGCTATAATATCCTAGAGAGGTTCGCGGGTTATTTAAGAGCTTTTAATCGCTTTGTAGTAGTAGAAGGGTCCGACGATGACGAAGTGATTTCCCTTTTCTTTTTCATTTTCTTTCGTCCGCCTGCATTTACCTTTATATTTTCAGATCAATCACGCGGTCTTACTACAGGGGCGCGGCAGGCGCTTTGCTAGTATACGACATTACGAGGCGAGACACATTTAACCATCTTACCACTTGGCTGGAGGACGCTCGACAACACTCCAATTCAAACATGGTTATCATGTTGATTGGTAACAAAAGGTGAGATTCTATAAATTGTGTTTATGAGGTCATGTCAAAACGTCTCACTTTTCTAAGTCTAGGTCATTTTTAATTATCAAAAATTTCAAAATAATTCATGTAATAATAGCACTGCGGTGTTAATATATTTCTTTTTTTTTACAAATATTCCCAGCACAGCCCGCGTTTGGCTAAAAATAAATGCTATATAAAACAACACAACTGGCCTCCTCCTCGCCTCGCATCACCTGATATAATAATAATGATTCACAATAGATTAACCGTTAAAGGTTGTCATGCTTACATTCACTTCATGATCTTCGTATTAATTAAATTAGACAGGAATTACAAATATAACCTAATATACATATTTAGAATTATCTAGCTATGTTCATACCTACTTATTAATCAGTTTAATGTAAACTTTTAATTTTCAGTGATCTGGAATCTCGACGTGAAGTAAAGAAGGAGGAAGGCGAGGCGTTCGCACGTGAACACGGGCTAGTGTTCATGGAAACGTCGGCTAAGACCGCTGCTAACGTCGAAGAAGCCTTCATCAATACTGCCAAAGAAATCTATGAGAAAATCCAGGAAGGAGTATTCGATATCAACAATGAGGTAATAAATTCCTCTTATCTAGTAATCGATAATGTATTGTGTACTAATGTTACACAACTAATCAATATTTAGTTGGGGAATCGTAATCACCATTATATTCATCTGGGAGTCCATTCTTGGAAGTTTATTGAACATTAGTGTTAAAATAACTATTTTAAATTTACAAATAATACTTTATATTATGAGTTCAGATAATGTTTAGGGTTCTGTATTGCCATTGAGATAATATATAGAATAAAATAAGTATTTCCCACTTATTTACATTTGTCATTTAAAATAGTAAGGTACTAAATTAGTGGTATGCTAACAAGAGATAATATAAATAATAAAAATTTAGGATAAAGAAGGTAATGGTTTGTTCAACATCAGAAGGGGTTAATGACAACATATCAAATATTCGAACTACCGTTATAATAATGGACTACCGTTGAACTGACTAGATAAACATTGTGTATATTTGTCTAAACAATCTTAGATTATTTACAGAATCGCTTTAGTCATGTTTGAGGATCATTAAGTAGATGACTCAATTGGAACAAATGTGGATTTGAGAAAGACTCTTTTCTTTAGAAATTATCACTTTCTTGTCATTTTAATTATTTTACTAACATAATCCAACTAAATCTACCTCATGCTTTCTCTATATCTCCCGAAGGATCGAGAATGGCAGCGAATCCCATAGGCATTACTGGCTCACTCGGTGGCGCAGTGATAGCGTATGCTTCTGCGACTGCTGTTTTGAGGTCTCGGGTTCGATTCCTGAGTCGGACCAAATGTTTGTATGCTCTGCTAATATTTTTTTCGGAGTCTATGTATAATATGTAGTATATAGGTAAGTATTCCGTCATTCTGATATAAATCATAGATGGCGTTGTGTGTTAGATGTCCAAAATATTATTAAGTCCGTAATGTGCATAAATAATGCATAGACTTGTGCGTGAAATAAAATAATATAAATAAATCTGGATATCAACATGTGTAGTATTTATTAACTATGTTTTATCTCATGTCCGCATTCGTTCTAACGTTGTAACTATCGTTAGTTGTACTTTAAAAAATATGCGATCTGAATATTGCATTGTATTACTGATTGAGCCAACAACATATTGACTCGCTCAAATCATAGATAGCTAAATTTCGATTTATATTTATATAAACGGTGAGTTGGTATGTGTACGCTTCAGAAACTCAAAAAGTTCTGCACTAATTGAGCTCAAAGTTTGACATGATATATAATCCGCTTTGATTGTTTTCATCTACTTTTTACGTCACTTTTGTTCCTCATAGAAATACTGAACAAACCAAAGCACATTGTGTTTGCATTGATGAGAACATCAATTCAACCACAATATGCCACAGAAGCGTAGCAGAATACAGATAGTAGTAAATAAATGAAATATCTCTTTCAATAGGCGAATGGTATCAAGATCGGCCCCCAGCACTCAACGGCTGGTGGAGCGAGTGGCGCGGGAGGCGCAGGCGCGGGCGGGTCGGCCGGCGGTGGCTGTTGTTAGGTACTGTACTGCACACACTGAGGCGGGAGGGCTGCCATTTAGATCAGGCTGAAGAGGTGAGCCTTGATACTGGTTAAAATATATATTTAAAACGTCTAATAAATTTGGTGTACATATGTATATGTGTGTGGTGTCGGATTAAAAATACAAAGTGTGACCACCCCTATTCATCTCGTGGGTGTAGTAAGAACCGACTAAGAGAGCAAACTACGCAGAACAACAGCATTGCAAAGAGAAGGAAAACTTCGAAACAAACCCTATACTATGGCTAGACTGGTTGGTCTAGCCAGCGTTGTATGGTAGGCCAAAATCTCCTTTCTGAGGAGAGGCCTATGTCCACTATGGCCTGTGGACTATTAGGCTGTTAATGATGATGATATATATGTAATTCTACAGCGATTTTATATTTATTACTTTAAAAAATTACAAATTGTGTAATTGATAAATATACCACCACATATATAAAAAAGCCAATTAAGACATGATTTCCACTAAAACGGAGACGAAATGTGCGAAGACGAGTGACCTTTTTTTTTTTTTTCTCCGTGCGGAAATCTCCTCGGATACCACCTATCGGTGGCATGTCGGACTCGAACCGACTAAAACCGCACGCCGTCTCGGGTACTAATAGCCGGGGAACCAGGTATACCCTAGAAAGGAAGTCCCTGGTGCCCCGACATACCTCGGGCCATCTACAACAACAGGTAGATGACCCCCCCGTGTGGGAACCCCATGTTCCCTCTGTTTCCTGGAAGCGAGCGCGCTTCGCAACACGCTCGCCGCCACCCCGGTCTGCTTCTGCTAGGGTGACAGATGGCCTCACCTGTTGCCCCCAGGCCTGCGCTTATGGAGGACGGAGTTCGTTCTGCGGTCCCGCTCCACCGTCTCCTTCGCGAGCATAACTTACTCGCAGAAGGAGACGGCAGAGTTCCACGGAGAGAACTCCGTCTCCGATGGCCGCCACGAGGTCTCGCCTCGGCTCAACCCACGCCGGGCACTCTGCCAGCGTGTGGCGAGCCGTGTCCACGGTCTGGCCATCGCAGTGGTGGCACTCAGGCGTTGGCTCCTTGCTGATCAGACACAGGTGATCCCCGAAACATCCTTTCCCAGTGATCATCTGCGTCAGTCGGTATGAGAGGGTCCCGTGACGCCTCTCGAGTCAATCCTCCATAACGGGAAGACGAGTGACCTAACTTGACGAAACGGAGGTGAGAAGAGACGTGTGGGGGTGTGAGCGGTACAGAACAGTTTATCGGAGTAGCGGATAAAGAATTTCGGGCGCACATCAATGCGCTAGATCTTTTTAAACAAAACACCGCTTCCGAAACTGAGCGGAGACAAAACGTGCAAATAATAAAATTGTATTGGTTGCTTATTATAACACATCTCGTCTCCTCTCGTTTCCTCTCCTCTTTGGTAGCAAACGCCTAACTAGTGAGTTGTCTACAGCTGTTAATTTACATTAAGAAATAATGAATCTATTGTCTGTATTTGCACCGAAAAAAACAAAATCAACTAAACAGAGTTTAACAGTGGTATAGCAGTTATTCATAGTTTAGGTAGTAAGGATTTTCATTTTTTTATGGTCCCTTTTTATGAGGCTCCAACCATACCAAGTTTATTATTTTTTACTCATCTATAATTACATACATAGAAAGTCTAACATAGAAGATATAAGAACATAGTTTTAGATAGAAAGTCCAATAGCTCGTAATAACTAAATAGTTCATAATATGTTTAAAATAACAAATTAAAAAGTAATTAGTGTTATTGTTAAACGTGCAGACTTAGTTAATAATTACTAATGAGATTTTTATAACGTTTGATGTTACCTCTTACATTTAAAGGTCACAAGAAAATTATTTAGATTACACATAGAATTTCTAATAGAATAAAACTAAAAATATCTTTTATCATGGCCTCACCGTTATTGAGTCCGTGTCGTGACGGATTAAGAATACAGAGTGTCACCACCCGTATTCAACCCGTGGGTGTCGTAAGAGGCGACTAAGGGAGCAAACTACGCAGGACAAACAGCACTGCAAATGGAAGCTTGAAACAAACCCTATATCAACCCGTCATGGTAAGGCCAAAACCTCCTTTCTAAGGCTGGTGATGATGATCACTGTTTTGGTGAATTAACATGATAAAATGATAGGTCACGTTATAAAAATATCAGTAGGTCATTGGAGTAAGAAAAAAATAAACTAGGCGAAAGATTTAATGCAGGCAACACCGCCCAGTATAAAGACCACTGTGTCAGATGAAAAGTAACATTTGTTTTTTTGTGAAAATTTTGCCAAGCTTATCCTAACCATAGATAGTCACCGGTGCTTCAATTCTCAATAAAATTGCTTTCAGTCATGTACTCAATTTTGTGTCAATTCTTTAGTCCTCTACCTTCCTTAAGTAATGTCGGCGATACTACACAATGAGCAGATAATAATAAAGCCTCTTTATTTTCCTTAACTTACAGAGTTTAAAATAACTACGTTTAACTAAGAAAAAACATGTTTACACTTAATAATGTTTACAATTATTAAGGTTAAGGCCCCTGGCGGATCAAATGTGCAGATACAAATCTACATTTCTGGTAATGACCTAATGACTACATTTTGATCATAAATTGTGTTTTCTATGTATAATATGCATGTATTTACAAAAAAATTGTGTATAAGTATTTTATCAGTCAATCTAGCTTTCATAGTACTTGTTCCGCTTAGGTTGAAACTAGATGGCGTTTATTTATTTATGTCTTTATTGTATACAGTTAACACATTTATAGACATTAGTTACAAATATGTAGACGTAACAATCGGCGGTTAATTGAATTGTTAATAAAAAAATTGGGTAGTTTACATACACGTAACACATGACACAAATATACATCCATTCACATTACACATATATAAATACACATACATACATACATGTATATATACAGATATGCAGTATAAAATATATACTATATATAATGAAACCAACAGTATTTATAATGACAAATAATAATCCTTCACTAGCTTTTTAAAAACAGGCAAGGCAAGTTGTTCCAAAGTCTTACTGCCTGCACGGTAAAAGATTATTCTGCAAACTGGGTGGAACGTTGTGGCATTTTTAGTTCTAAATTCTCCGATGACCTCAGGTCCCTGCAATGTGTGTTGTGTAAGAACTGAAAACGTTCTTTGAGCTAAGAGGGTGTGTGGTGATGAAACAGAACACTGTATAAAAGAGAAAGAGTATGAAGATTCCGGCGAAAGCATATTGGTAACCAATTGAGCTTAGAACGATACTCTGAGATGTGATCATATTTGCGTATTCCAAATGTGCAACTAATACAGAGATTTTGGAGTCGCTCAAGTTTATTTAGTTGGTCTTCGGTGAGATCCAGGTAGCTGACATTGCCATAATCAAGGGTGGGAAGAAGAAGAGATTCAGCCAGCGCAATTTTGGTATTGGTGGTAAGGAAGTTTCGTAGCCTTCGCAGAGATCCTGCTGCTGCAAATAGTTAGCGGCTAACTTCTCCAATCTGAGGGCCCCAGGATAGGTACCTATCCATATAAATCTATTATTTATTATTTATATATTTTTATTATATTTATATATTTATTATATATATATTAGGTATTTGCTGAAAGTTTATTTTACAGTGCAGCCTGGGACTACCTAAAATGATGACTTGTGTTTTGGTAGGGTTTACACTTAGTCCATACTCCCTACTCTAGTTACATATTTGCATTTAAATCTCTATTAATGGCACCCACTGCTTTTGTAAATTATTTGGAGTACTTTGTGAGTAAATTTAGAGATCATCTGCATAAAGACGGTAGGAAGAAAGTAATTGATTTGTGATTGAGTTAATAAAAACTGCAATAAGTAAAGGTGATAACACACCGCCCTGAAGTACGCCCGCAGATGTTGTGCGCCAAGAGGAGTGAACATTTTCAGTACAAGCACGCTACTGGCGACTGTACAGGTAACTACGAAACTAGTCAATTGCCGATGGAGATATGTTAAGAGAGCACAATATACCCAGCAAGACATCAAAATCCACAGTGTTAAAGGCGTTGCCAAAGTCTAGTAAAGCAAAGACCGTTAGATTTCCTTCGTCCATGCCCGACCTAACGTCGTCCGCAATATGGACTAGAGCTGTAGTAGTGCCATATATGTAGTAAGGAGACAATTTTGCGAGAGAAACAAACTTAACTGTGTGTGAATGAGACGCTCGAGGACTTTAAAAAAAAAAGGAAGGATACATATGGGACGGTAATCTGAGAAGGAGGACGGATTACATTTCTTCGGGAGAGGAATAATTTGAGCCATTTTACAAGCAAATGGAAAAGCGTGGACGGATATAGAATAGTTGAGAAAATGGCAAATTAAAGGTAGGATCTGGTCCAGGATAGGAAGTACCAAAATACGGCTGATGCAGTCGCTGAAGTGCTGAAGTTATTGACATAATGCTCTTCCTTACATCACATGCAGTAAATTAACTGAAAAAGAATTGGGAACAGTCACGAATCGGCAGATAAGAAAGATAATTTAGCGTCGCAGTCTTGGTAGCTCCTCCGTAATTGGAAGGAAGCAATCAAATATGAATTCAGCGAATCGATATCAACATCTTTTGAAGCACAATTAGGACGTGACTTGCCGTTTCCCAACGACTTAAGGAATTTCCAGACCTTGACTGGGTCACCATTTTTAACCGATTTGTGGATATGTCGGCTCTGCGCATTCCTACACATCTTATTGCAGTGATTTCTAATAAGCACAATTTTTTTCCAGTTTAATACTGTAGGGTGAATTTTATACTTAGTTTGAGCCCTTTCTTTCCTTTTACCTGTATTTGTAGCATCGGCGCATGCCTGTCATACAAGTATATTAAATTATTCGTGAAGATATATTTTTTTTAATCACCACATTGAGAATTAAAAAGTAGATTCCAGCCGATGTTGTCTGCATCTCTGCGAAGATTTTCGACATTCATATTACGAAAATTACGGTGTGAGATTATTTTAACGTTAGATTTAAGAGTGTGAATGCGATAGGATAGAAAGAGAAGATCATGATAAGAAAACGTATCTGCAGAGCACTGGCCATATTTAGCGACGTGCTCTACAGAGGATACGAGGATTAGGTTTAAGAGAGATGAAGACGACATGACGATGAGACGACATATTTACTATGAAGAAATGAATGTGTGAAAGCATGGTAATGGGGCATGGCTTGAGCCACAATTCTCATACAAGAATTGCGTGGACATTCGTACAGTCGAAGGTTGTCAGCATTTCAGAGAAATGTGCCGGAATGCTTTGGGCATTTATATGAGCGACATTGAAATTCCTTGCAACATCATAGAATTGATTCGAGATGGTGTCTGCCAGTGAAGGAACACTAACGAAACTATCATCGTCACTGGATACCGAAAAATATTCATCAGTATCACTATTAGCGAGAGTACGACGTCATCAGTATGTCTTATTAGAATTTTTTTAATTTGAATAAGTTAATAATTGTGTCAGATGTCCGAAAATGTTAAATCTATCCTGTTCCACTTCCTCAAACAAACGAGGACAACACACCTGCGAACATAATATTACGTAATCAGGTCATATAGGCTTCTGAGTTCGGTGCAGATTAATTGAGTAACTGGAGCATGGCAAAGTCGTATTTTAACTCGAATTGGTTATTTCCGTGAAGTCGTCTAGCCTTTAAATTAAATATTTTTTAAGTGAAAGATTCCAAATAAGTGTTGAAGTGAAACATATAATGATATGGAAATTTAATATTTAACCAATATTTTTTGCCTCACACAACCAATCTGTGGAATGCTAAGTAGTCATATCTAAATTTCCTTATCATTAATAATAGTCCACGATGACTATAAAGTGATACATGAAGCTAGGCACGTGCTGATGAATGTATGGTATGATAAGGATTGTATTTATTTACAGGAGAGGTGCAGCTGTGTGCAACGAACATTGGTACGAAACTTATAGCATGCCGGATTTATAGAATTATTTTATATAAATATGCTACATAAAATAGCTTGCGTCTGACTCACTACTATAACTTGGTACTTCGATTAAAATAGCACGAATATAAAAATACCGATAAACATATTTGTATGAAAAAGTCGACCTTATGACGACGAACAAATATCTAGAATCCAATGTTTAAGGAAAATATTTCACAACATAGGTAATAATGGCAGTTTTTAAATCTAATCTCATGGCTATAGGCGTTTTAATTATATTACACAAAGTTCCATCAAGCGAGTATTCCTATTCAGACATGAAAGATAATGGTTACGTTGAATGGACCAGATGTGAAAATTACATCGTATGTAATACATAATAAACATAATATTAATAATTAAATAGATCCATCATACGATTAGGCTTTTATGTAATTATTTTTTGTGTATATACCTATGTGTATTACACTGTATATTATATACGCAAATATTCACAAATATCTCGTAATCTGGCATTTATTTAATAAGATCATATTATTGTTGTATAACTTCATAGTTTCATAATTGTCATCGTTTTGACCGTATATGGAATTTAGACAGGGCTACTTAGCCCGTCAATTGTAGGCGACTAAATGTTGGCGCAGTGCGATTAAATATTTGTATGATAAGTTTGTACCTCTAAACTACAATGTTTAGAGAGGTACATTACATTATTTACAAATAAGGTTTATATTTATTATATTGGAATATTAGTTGAATGGAAAATATTTTTATTATTTATGTTCACATTTTTAAGTAATTGGTCTGTACAAATTGGAAAGTATAATTGAGATAGGCGGATTAAGTCACACAAGATGTACACATTATTATTTTTAAATACCTTCATATTTTAAAAATTTCAAGTACCTTCTATACCTTGCGAAAAAAGAGACCAATAATATCAGCTGTTTAGAGAAAAAATACCGAGTATGCTTTTAGGTGGTGGCCTAGTTTAAATAGTTATGCACAAGTTAACAGTTTTCGAATGATTATGAACTTCGTAAGTGATTAAAATTGTAATCTAAAAAGGACTGCTTGCAAGGTACTGAAAGACATGATTACAAAATAGGTTACTTTTAAGTTTAGCACATTGTAATAATGTAATATTTTATAAGGTTACAATATGCAGACATTTGTAAGGTGTAATTCATGAGAGTAAATGTTGAAAAAGAATATCTTTTTTTTAATTGTAATGTTATATTTTTAATAAGTATATGTATTATAAAAAGGTGCTTATCATAAGTGGTCCGAGGTGATGAGTGTTTTAATTTAAATTCCGTTTTTTTATTAGGACGTATGGTACCTTTTTTCTGGCGGACCGGAAAAGTTCTAAATCTCTCCCGGACCCGCTCCGCCGTATCTTTCGCAAACATGAACTGCTCACAGAAGGAGACGGCGGAGTTCCACGCGAAAATTGAACATCATAATGTAAATTATTCATGTCATGTTCTTCCACTCAGATTGTTTCTCTAAGATGAAATAATATACAACACTTGTTACTAACTGTTTAATAAGGTCAAGTGTCAGACGAACTGCTCAGATCTTTATCAGTATTTATTTTACAAATTTCATTGAGAACTGTAAAGACACAGTTGACAATTTCTGGAGTTTTCATTTTGACTGTTCCATTGCTCTTAACTTCTGCTCTAGGCAATGAAACTTCACATAAATCAAACACTGTTATGTCCAGCATGATCATATAAAATATTTGGTTCTGCAGCATCTGATATGCTAATGTAACTAAGTCCGATTTCTTTTCTACTTCTTCTTTGACTCTGAAAGTAAATAATAATAAGTACTTATATAGTTGGATGAATTTATGATAATATTTATCATCAGACCAAACCACAAAGAAAATACAAAAATAACAAAGAAAACACTAAAATGTTTACATATTTAAGACTTCAAATAAGGAGGAGGTTCTCAAATTGCACTTCAAAGTGCAGTCTTACCCCTAGTTGCAGCTTTTTATGGTCAAACTATAAATGAACACAAGAAATAGATATATTAAACATACCCATTCCATATAATGTGAATATCTCCTACTTCAAAAGACAAGTTCATTTTGTCCTTGTGATCAACTTGTGGTGTCCGATATATTAAAGTGAAAGGGTCTGTGCTCCTAGATGAGTCATTCTCTACGAAGTTGAAACCAAATTGTAGAAGCTGTTGCTGTAAGTATTAAAAAAAAGATTTAATAAATGTGTTACTTATAGTGCCTGGACAGTATGGATAATAACAATTGAAATCAATCATATAGATTCATACTTATTAAAACTAAATTATAATATTTATCACATTATCTGCCATTTGAAATTTAGTCAGGGCCAAGATCTGTATCTACATATTTATAATTTTAGCGGACCAGTGCAGATTTTCTGTTGATTGTAGCTCCGGTAGTAAAAAAGACTAAATAAATTTTAAGTAAAGAAACTAGTGCTTAAGATCAATTAGGGAAAAAAACAAAATAAATAATAGGTAATAATTGTCCGTGTAGTGACGGATTAAGAATACGGAATGTCACTACCCCCAATTCATCCCGTGGGTGTCGTAAGAGCCGACTAAGGGCGCAAAACAACGCAGGACACCAGCTCTGCAAAAAGAAGGAAAACTTGTCAGAAACCCTATACCAACCCGTCTGGCCAGCGTGGTATAGTAGGCCAAAACCTCCTTTCTAAGGAGAGGCCTATGTTCAGCAGTGGACTATTACAGGCTGATGATGTGATGATGATGATGAATAATAATGAATAAATATTGAATGTATTTAACACTGTACGCAACTGTACCGAAATCGTAAGGTGTATTACACTTAAGCATTTTAAAAGACAGCGCAATGTACTGGGTGATCGCTTTTTTGTAACCACCTAAACATGGTCGGGTTACCACGGTCTTGCACCTTCTAATGACTTTTTATTTAATTATCTCGTAAATTATTATATGTACTACGTTGAAATTTTACAGGTAGACAACTGAACTAAACAACTAATTATTGGCATAACATTCAGTTTATATATCCACACACAGGTTTATCGGTGGCCAAAAAAGGCCGCACACATTGTGATCGTGAACGTGGAGAGCTACATTTCATCATAACTTTTTAGTCACTTACAGTATTCTTACGAAAATTCGTATACATTTGAAGGTTCAAGTAAGTCTTTAGAGGTCTTATTTAAAGTGTTAGGACGTATTGAAGTGTTTTCATACTTACCTAAATAATTTTTAAACGGTCCATTATTTTTGTTATTTTATTGTCGAACAAATTAAAACTAATCGTTAAGAAGTTATGTACAAAAGATGGTTACAATCCGCTTACCCGTTTCAGAGATCCAGCAAACTAACAAAAGTGTGTTGGATTTTTTTTACTCAGGGCTTTGTGTTGCATTAAAATCTAATAAAGCTGGTTGATTTATATATTTTTATATCCCAAATTAAAGACTAATAAGAGGTAAACTATTTAATAGTCCTTAAATAAACAAAAAATATTTATTCTAACATATTGAAATTCATAATGCTGTCACGAGAATATATTCTAGTATACACAGTTGAGCTGGTCACAAAAGTGGTATTTTGTATGTTGGACAGATTTAGTTACAACAGTAAAAAAAAGTTGCAGCCCTAATATGATTTCAAAAGTTTAATAACATGACCTAGCCTTATCAGGTCTCAAGGTAAATTGGTATGTCAGCATGAACTAACAAAAACATACACATAGTGTATTGATTTTGTATTAGTTTATTTTATCATTCAAACAATTTTTTTTTATAGTATTGTAGGGCAAATAAGCAGATGGGTCACCTGATGGTAAGTAACTACTGCCACCCAAGGACATCTGTAACTCAACTAGGGGGGGGAGAGCTTGGAGTTCAGGTAACTTTAATCACTTAGTGAAAAGCAACCAAAGTATTGCCTAAGGGGGACCCGTGATTACTTTCTCCACTTGGGTGAAGCACAGGGACTATTTATGGTCCTGTGCTCCAACTGATGATCGGTACAGACAAAGAAATGAAGATAGATTACATTAATTCTTATATAATCAGTAGGATTCATTTTAATGCATGTTTTCCAAAAAAATGGCCAAAAGAAATTTCATTATTCATTAATTGCATTTGCTAATCTAAAATAAATTGGTCTTTTTCAGTGTTCTTTATGGCAGCGTTTTGTGAAACGTCTAAAGAATCTGTATTTTTGTCACTGTTAGCAATTTATATAGGGTAACATACCTATATTGCTTTTAGAACTCTTTATTGTGTTTGGAATTCCAGCTCTATTACATTATCAGTACTGTGCTTGTTGTTAAAAAAAATAGAAATTTAATAAAAAATATTTATTTACATAGATATTATATATTCACTCCTATTAAATAATTGTTTAGATCTTTTGGACCATATAGGGTAAACAATTTATTGAATCACTGTACAATACCCTCATCCATCCTGTGCTTCACCCAGGTTAAGAACCTAGGTAAAGTATATTCACCCCTGCTTAACACCTGTTTTCTTTGAGGTTGTGGGTATGGTTGAGTAGTTAATTTATAAAAGCTTGATTGAATTTATAAAATTACTTAATTACAAAATATATCAATACATTACATACCTGTGTAAAACAAAATTGTTTGATGTTGCAATCAAATATAGTCTTTAATGTTGCCTTGACTGCTGTCCCTATTCTCTGCTCTCCTCTTTCAAGCATGTACGGTAAATGTGTGGCATTGTCAAGACTAATACTGACACCCCAGGATAATAAAAATGCAGAGTAGGATACTTTGCTTTTGCTATTGTCTTGAGTAGAAGACAATACATTTATCTGCAAATATAAGAGTTAATACACATTCAATAGTGATGGATCTAAGGGTTTATAGAACATTTTAGATGCACTGACTTAAAATAAATAGGAATATGAATTCACTAAGACAGATTCTAGAAATGATTCACTGACAATATACAGTTGTTATGGCCTTGTTAAAGGCAGTCTTTTAAATACTACATCCTGTCTTAAAATCACACCATGGCACTGTCAAAACTGTTCAGTCAGTCTAGTGGAACTGGAAGTTCTTTTTACCTGTAAATTTTAAAAATAAATCGAAAACAACAAACACAAATATTTTGTAACTGTGAAACTTAAATGTGTAACTTATATTTTAATAACTACTAAACGATGACCTAGATGATTAGAATTCCTCGATGGATGGCCTGATATTTAGTGGTTTACGCATGCAACATATGAATAAATACTACTACCACATATACTTACAACTAAACCGCTGGCTTCATCTTCTGAATATTTGAGATTAACTTGTTCTTCTATTTGAACAACGTATTTCATAGAGGAACTGGTCTGCACTGCACTCACAAGAGCTTGTCGGATTTTGGTAGCATACTGCTTGAGTTTCACTGTATTATATTGTAAATTGTATAAAGGAGACACTTTGTTAAAGCGCCATACGCCTTCGTTATATATAACTGTAAAATAAAACCATATTTATTAGCAAAACTACACGAAACTATATCATTCAAATCACTACGAGTGATTCATACCAGCTAAAGGATCACTTGAGATGACATTTCTTGTGCTAGCATTATTATCACACTGCCAAGCAGATTCAGAACGATATAGATTCATTTTCACCAAATGAATGTAGGGATTTAAAGCGCAAAGAACATAATACTTGTAATTCACACTATTTGTATTTAACTTTTATTTCATTCAAAACAACACCGACGGTTATTTATTTGTCATAAATAGCTAGTGTTGCCATTGGTTGCCATTGCCAACACTTATTAATCGGAATCTCCAGACAAAAGATCAAAGGTAGCCTAATCAGAATTTAGTTTAGAAATTTGATGCCTGTGATGTCGGACCCTATATAGTGGGCGGGGCGAAATGCTTGTCAACCAACCTCGGACAAAGGAAACTCTTCGTAATATTTTTTTTTTATTATTCTTTATAAAAGAAGTATACTGGGCCCTGAGAAAATAGGCTTAGTGAAGCTGAGATGACGTGGCCAGAAATGAAGTAGATTTAATAATGGCGCAAATGATTGGTCCGTGTGTCACCACCCTATTCATCCCGTGGGTGTCGTAAGAGCCGACTAAGGGAACAAACTGTACAGGACAGCAGCACTGCAAAGAGAAGGAAATTCAATAGGAAAGTTTGTAATAAACAAAACATCATTGATAAATGAATCATTAATGTCAAAGTATCTTATTTGACATAAAAAAAAATATTATTAAGGTTTTGCGAACAATTGTTTACATCAAAACTTGTAATATACACATGCTAAAGAAAAACAATTAACAATGTAACAATTACTTATAGGTAAACACTGCTGTTGTAAAAATTATATATACATTGAAGATAAAAATTATAGACTCAAACAGTAATTTTAAACTACATGCATTAAATTAAGTCAATTTTTTTATGGAACTGTATCCGGTTAATAAACAAGTGACTTTACTAGGAAAATTGATCCAGTTAGTAAATCAATACAGTTAGTCGCAAATCAAGTTACCTCCAATTACTAACTTGAAAAATGACCAGGTTTTACATAAGTCACTAGTGATGCCAATTATTGCTACTTTTATAATCATATGATTATATAATTTTGGTTTTGATCATTGCGATTTCCCCTGCGATAATTCACTACTGTGAATTGGTCATAGACAAAGATACCAAGGATCACAGCTAAGATCACAGTGATTACAGTTACAGATTAATGACATCAAAACTCAATTTTTATTTATTTATTTAATTGAATTATTACTATCAAAGATTTTGTTTTAGATTTAGACGTTACGCGATCCCAGCGCCTGTACATTAATCACAGGTTTGATGCATGATTTTATTCCATCCCTATAAGTCAGCTACAAAGAGACTATTATTCTATAGTTATCTGTAAGTACTTGTCAGTTGTTTACACTCCTTTAGCTGTGTCACCCACAGTGTTGCCAACTTAGTGGATTTTCCACTTAAACTTGTGGTTTCGACCCCTCCGAATTTTCTTTTTAGTTGCTAGTGGATTTGGTTGCTAGTGGTTTAGTAATAATAGTAAGATTGTAGAGGACTTAGGAAATGCTGTTGAAAGATGAACTGTGAGAACTGTTTATGTACGCAAACCTCAATAACGGTTGATAGGAAAGGAAGGATGGGGATTGAATAGAACTGCTCAAGAAGAGAAGGATTATTAATGATGTCATTGATGTAGGCTTTGTACCAGAAAGAGGTTTCGGAGTCAAGAAAGAAGTCAATAATGTGGGCTACAACTTCGAGGACGTAATTCAGGATGATAACTATTATCCTACGGCTTAGAAACCATTGCGTTACAACAGAAAGACAGGATCATCTTTTTAATGTCCCCAGAAGGTAAGGAGAAAATTCAAAGTTGACAATATTGGGTCTAGGCAGACTAGCGATATAATCCAGGGTCCGACTTTATACGTAATGATCCGGTTGAGTAGCAGAATAGAAATGAAGATATATATCATTCAAACCAATGAAACTCGGTCCGTTGTTGTCTACCAATGCCCAACGTGTTACTTCCACATACTAGAGGTATTGCTGTGCAAAGATGCCTAGGGACTTCGACATTTGAGGAACCTTTGGTGTTACTCTCTTAATACTGCCTCATTTTAATGGCGATGTTTTGTTGAGAGATTATTGGTATTTACAGAGGAATAGAATGAAGTGTTTTTTTTTATCTGACATGTTAATAATACGGTGTGGTTTGAAGTTGGAAGGAAAATGCTGCAACAAATATGAAATTCCAATAAACGTTGTAAAACAAATCGGTACCAAAGAATCGGATTAATCTGGAACCGACAATGATGGTGGTAACAAAAACGATTAGTATCAATATTAAATTTTAATATAGGAAATAGTTATTAATATACTTATGGCTTTCTTTCCTAATTACTAAAAACAATGTTTAGTGGAAAATTTAGAGCCTATTAGAGTAGGGTAGTTTTTTGTTAGTGGTTTTCTGGTGGTTTTAGATGTTGAATCTGGTGGAGAGTTCATTTAACCACAGATTAAGAGACATGTACAATTGTACATAGTATATAGATATATGTGCATTTATCTGTTGGCAACACTGGTTGGTCACCCACCAAGTCACTGTCCATGTACAACTTGTTGTTGTTTTTATCATTTCAACGTCGTAACTAACTGGTAACTGGTACACATAAACAGGATCAGCAGGGGTAACGATTTAAATAGTACTCCATGTACTGACTGATAAATCGCTATTGCTATAATTAAATATAACTATATTTTAGGTAGGTGTAGCAAGTCGTAAACTTTATAGCATTGTCAAGCCTGATTATTCGATATTTATTGGACTTTGATACTGATAATTACGTTGGCTTCGGACTTGATTGCGATGCCTTTTCATTTACATTTCGTACGTTACGCAGGATGGACCAGTTACGCTTTGATGGCCGTGTGGCAGTAGTGACGGGCGCTGGTGGCGGCCTTGGCAAAGCTTATGCTCTTCTTTTGGGTTCTAGAGGTGCAAAAGTCGTTGTTAACGACCTCGGCGGCGCCCGCGATGGCGTTGGCAAGTCTAATTTTGCTGATGCTGTTGTGAAAGAAATCAAGGACAAAGGTAAATATGCAAATTCATTATTAAAACTTTTAATTTTTTTGTACTTAATATCCATCTATTGAAATATTGATTGTAATAATTATTGGTTTTTAGAATTACGTAGGATGTAGATATGAGAAAAGCAATGAAAATAATGAAAATTAATTCTATTACACAAATATTGACCTTAAAGATACATTCTAAGAATATTTAAAGTTCTTTGGTACACTGTTCACTTTTTTTATTCTTTTTTGTTTTTTATTAATAAATCTGTAAAATCTTCTACGTTTAAAACATACTATAATATTTCCCTTAGAGATAGGATAGACATGATTGTGTTAATAGTTATCTGTATTGATAGTTGGATTATCTGTTACTCTAATACTATTAATTTATAATGTAATGATAATGCATACATAAATTACATCACACATTTAAGTAGAGAAGAACAAATAAAACATGCATATCTTTCTAGTACTGGTTTAGTCTCTACTAAACTACTAATGTAAAAGGGGGTAAGACTATTGCCTATAACCGGGCACTTTCTGAATTAAAGATTTCAGAAAACTATGTAGTATATGTAGAATGAAAGATATTTAAGAATGGAAGCAATTTAACAAAAGAGCAGAGTGCAACATGAACACGCTATTCTCAGTGAAGTCCTAATTTCAGGAATGTTAATTCGAATTAGATAGTTTCAAACAAAATACTATTGTTGGACCATTGGAACGGGATAATTTCTCAAGTTTTCCACTAGGTTACTGGGCGCCCGAATAAAGACCTTATATTGGGGGTTCGGAAAAATAACGCTAGTCTTAATATGTGTGTATTCTTGCTTACAAGCTATTTAGGACCATATGCAGAGCCTCTTCCTACTTCTGTGCTTTCAAAAATATTAACTGAACTGCAACACACGTAATATCCAAGCTTAATCTTGTTTAGAGTACTGCAGTCACCAACTTGAAGCTGTTGCTTCTGGCGACCCAAGAAAACGTATCCCTATAAATGATGTAGTCATAACTAGGATACTAGGTACTTGTGAGCATAGTCGTAAAGTCGCCTGCTTATCGGTTTTTCATAGGATTCATTTTAAGTGTGCGAAAGCTTTCTTCGAACGTGAACCATCACCATTCTTTTATCGGGCTACTCGTCACAGACAGGTTCCATCCTCTCATTGTCGCCTTCGAAAATAGACTAGCGTGGAAGAGTTGTTAGTCTTTTTCACAAAATGTAAATACATTTATAATCCTGGAACGTTCAAGAGTAGCGTAAATAGGTTTCTTCTGGATACGATTGTACCATCTTCACTTTTATTGTCACACAGTACCACCACGTAAGTTGGTTTGAAGCTAAAACAAATATTTCGCACAGTTAATCGGGGAACATGATTTAAGGTTTATTACGAAAGGTTTAAATAACATAAACATCGTAAACTTTATTGCTTGTGTTTAGTAGTGGATTTCTGATGGCTTTTTATGGACTCTGAAATATTATCATACATATTTTTTACATAGGTGGTGTTGCTGTCGCCGATTACAACAATGTAATTGAAGGAGACAAGATTATTAAAACAGCTATTGACAATTTTGGGCGCATAGATATCCTTATTAATAATGCAGGTATTCTCCGTGATAAGAGCTTCACCAAAATGTCTGAGCAGGTGATTATAAATAGCTTTATTTAAATGGTTACAGTTTATTATTGCTTACTACGAGGAGCAGCTTCAAGTGTATGCAAGCATGTTAGTTTGTCGCGGTTTTATGGCGTGGGCCTTACCGGCCTTACGGCCCTTACCGTTACACACTATAGGACGTAACCTGAGTTCCAATTGACCTCGGACACCAGTCACACTTATATTACCAACTGTAAAGACGAAGATTTGTGGAAGTAAAATAAACCCTAAAAAAAATATTATTCTTACTAGTAGTGGTAAAATTTATGTGCATATCTAATAACCTGATCATATTCAGGACTGGGACCTCATCCAAGCCGTACACTTGAAGGGTGCATTCAAAACTACACATGCCGCATGGGAATACTTCCGAAAACAAAAATATGGTCGCGTCATCATGACATCAAGTAATGCTGGTATTTTCGGCAACTTCGGCCAAGCTAACTACAGGTTAGTTCATTATAAATTTTAACCAAATTAAATATTTGTATTTTATTTTATTCTATTGTTATAAACAGGTCTTATCATTTATTGTGTAGACTACGCTATACGCTTATCTTCTATCTATATTTACAAGAACTAGAAACATGTATTATATCTCGAGGAAAAAAAGAAATGCCCAAAGTTTCGATCGGGTTTCGATTGGCCACCTAAGTAAACATATAAATAAAAATGTGTTCTTTGTGGCCCTTTCATGAATGTTTGTAAAGTCTCCCGTGACACAGGATTTATTCCTAGGGCGGAAGTCGTTTTCTTGAAAAAATAATGTAAAAGAGGAAATCGCGTTTGTTTCTCACTTTCATTAAAAATAATATCGAATCGGTTAGATATATTGTCCAGACTAACACGTAATGGATATCATTTTTATAGATTAAGGAGTTATATACGTTATAGAGTTAACACCGTATGTATCGTCTTCTTACGCTTTTGCCTTTTTTTGTATATTTACGAAGAAACGTTACCGAAAACCATGAATATTAAATCCGAACACAACGCAAATGACTTCAATCATTTTAGATCAGTGACACACTTCTTTATAATTTCAAAACCCTACGAAAATAAATGCTGACAGGCGTCGATCAAGAAGAGTAATGTCAGTAATTTGAATTTATTAAATAAAACAGTTCCCAGGCAAACAATGAAAACTTGTTCCTGCGGATTGTCCATCGTTTCACTGTATAGGAGTAGAAAAAAAAGATGCAATATTACACTGGCTAAATTGAAATAGAATAATAGTATCTTACTTAAGATATAAATAAAGTAAAAAGAAAAAAATGACAATTTTATTTTCAGAATACATACTAAGTAAAATACTTAATCATTTTTGTATAAACTGCATAGATTTGTATATTGTTTAAGTATAAAGTTTTGATGGTGTCTTGGATCATTGATAATTTCGTACGTACTATATTCTATATAATGTCACAAAACAATTTTTTACTTGCTTTAACAAAGGTCGCATAACTTTTATATTGTTATAGTGCGGCGAAACTAGGCCTGGTGGGTTTGGCCAATACTTTATCTATCGAAGGTGCTAAATACAACATCAAAGTAAATACCATAGTCCCGACGGCTGCATCTCGTCTCACCGAAGATATCCTCCCCCCAGAAATGTTCGAAGCGATGAAACCTGAACTCATTGCACCGGTTGTTGTAAGTTTAAACTTTATCGAATATGTATCAAATTATTCCAAGCTTTTGTACGAAACGATAATTTCTTAGAACCTGATTGGTCAGGACACGGGGTTTGACCGACGCGTCACTATTTTCTTAACTCGAATGGGCTATAGATGGCTTTTTTTTCTGCAGGCGTACATGGCACACGAGTCTTTCCCAGATAACGGCGCCATCATCGATTCAACTTTAGCGTACGCTACCAAAACGCACTTCGTAAGGGGCAATGGTGCTCCGTTAAAGTAAGTATTTCTTTTATCGTAGTATAGTCATGCGGCCGCATGTCTATAAATTATCATTATGTAGGTACACTTCATCCTTACGTGACAGTAAAAGCAATAAAATAACTGACTTCTTAGATATGAACTAAATATTTAAAGAATTCAGTATATATATATTTCAAAACTAAGCAGCAATAATAATTATTGAAATTTCCTAATACCAAGTATTATTTTGTACCAATGGCGATGCAATTGTACAGTCCAGTCTATTCAAAAGAAGGATTAGGTAAGAATTGAAAATTCACTCGTATTCACCGTCTGCATCTACTTAACCTTAGTGTTGCATACTTAATGCGGGCGTTAAAATAATTTATAAAGAACAGGTAGGACTTTATATTATGTATTAGATAGGATTGAGGTAAATAAATATACTTATTTATGTTTAAACACTATTAAATAAGTATCGTAAACACATTTGTGTCACAGCTAAATCAAATCAATAAAACTGTAATTTGTTTTTCTCATGTAAGTGAATAGTTTATGTTATTCTTTGTGAGAAATAAACGATCTTAACCCTGATTTGTGAGATATTAAGACTGTAAGATCTGTTTCAATTGTACTAATAACTATGTATTTTTAAGAATTTATTACTAATTATTAGCATTATTAATGCCCAAGATTATATAACTATTACCTTCTATAATAGAAGATAACTTTTTACTTAATACACACAGAACAATATTGAATTAATAATTTGGTTTTTACTCGAGAATAATAAAATAATAAACAAAACCTGAAAGTCTATAATTACGAAACAAGTGATGCTAGTTGCATTTGTTTGTTTAACGCTTGAGCACTGCAACAACAACAAGATATTGAATTCATATCAATCACACAACAATGGTTTCGTTGTCATTTAGTCGTATGGTGGTGTTCAATTGTTTTTCTGATCGGTCTTACTGTGGAATAACTAAAATTAGCTCATGGCAAACGAAATACCTGTGATTTTAATGAACTATTACTAAATAAATTGAAACTATTAGTTTCAATTTATTATTTACCCAGAATCATTTTATAAAAAATAAAAATTTGCTAATGTATGAGTTAAGAAACGAGTTCTTTACAATACACACACGTGTAAGCGTATAATGATATATTGGTTACCGGGATAGCAGGTTTTTTTTTGTTGTGTGTACCTAGGCTTTCTCACTTAACTCCTTCAGTATTGAAACCCACATGGTTAATCACCTTACCGGGTCAACAAAACAAATAGCACCTCTTATTTCGGATCTAGACTTATCTAAAACTAAAGTCCCGGACTTTAGAAACGAAATATCAAAAATGTATAAATTCGAACAAAGCACAACAAAACTTAGTAGTAATTTGCAACACTGTTTCATTAGGAAGAAGCCTTCAGACCCAGTGACCATCGAATCTGTGAAAGAAAACTGGTCCAATGTTGTGGATATGAACGGAGCCGTACATGTAGATAAAATTGCTGATGTCACGATTGATCTCGTCCAGAAATTGCAGGTATGAAGATATTCTTAGTTCTAGAAGTAGGTCGAAAGTGTTTTGGTTTTTGTTAAGTTCTAGTTTAGACTATTGAAACTATTGTGTATATCTTAATTTAGGTCAGAAAGTCGAATTAAATCGAGAGGTGTGGGTTTTAATTTCTGGTTCCTAGCATTATCAAATATAATACTTCAAAAAATTGGAAGTATTATTTAAAACTATTAAATGTAAATTTGTATATATACTGTTTAATGTTTATCCACCAATGAATGTACTCAAAAAGGTGATAAATAGTTATTGACGTATAAATTATTTATCAGCCATTTTGTGTGCCCACATTTGTTTTTCTCTTGGCTTACTTATCACTGACATAAAAATGATAATAGCTTCATTGCCCCTGATACGTAAAGACGATTGTTATATTATTTATGTAATCATTATCAGGTACTTATCATTGCTAGATCTTGGTTTAACAGTACCGAGAGCATTAACGGTTTACAATATCGTTATTATCGTAAGAGTAAATACTTTTAGAAATTTCTTAAAAAAAAATAGTTCCACGTATCTGAGGAAGATATGTGAAATTCGTTAATTCGTTTTAGGAAAATACTGAAAGTCATAAATACGATTATACCGACTGTCATTTTACTTCATTTTGAAAAAACGGGGCCTCAATTCTGCTATTTTATATTAACGCCATCCATTATCATTCCATTGACACGCTATAGAGATGCCACTAACATCGATCAAAATATCAGTATTCTACTAACATAAATTCACAGTGTCAATAGACTAAATGGATATAGAAATATAGATAATCAATGGTGATATCAACAACATTGCCATATCATGTAAAATTAATATATCATTTTCTTCAATAAATTTAAAATGTACAATTTACCAATCTAAAACTAAGTCATCGACGACATTTCTAACAGTGACAAGTCATTGACAATGTTTTTTGGTCTTACATAGTTAGGAGAATAAGAAAAAAATCGACGACATTCCATCAACAGTCTGTTGATACAATATTAAAATAGCATAATTGAGCCCCAGATATACTGTATACATCACAATATGGAAAACAAGAAACACAGTTCGTTACGACTATTTGGTTCAATATACATAATTGAAGGAGTTTTGTGTTGTAAAACGGTTCCTTCTAGAGTGGTAGAACACCTTGACTGACGTATTCAGAAAAATATACAGTATTAGAAGTAAAAATGTGAATGATATTTATTTTTAGGACTAAGCTGTCCTATTACCATTTTTTTTTAAATATCATAATCTATTCTTTTCTATTCTCATAGCTAATGTCCTCCATTTTTTTTTAAATTACACAATCGTTTTCAAGTAAAAGTTAAGTCCACTGATCCTGACTCTTAATACAAAAGCTTAAAATATTAATAATGATCTATTAACGGAACAAAAAGACACTCATAAGTATGGTAAACATTGTATTAAATTGTTTAGAAAACTTTAATAATTTAATTAATAATGTAAAGAGGTAAGTTTTTACATGTACGTTTAAAAACTAGACAAACCTCTACGAAAATTGCAATAGCAGCAGAAAGCCAGGGTAAAAAAATCCTAAGTAAATAATTTTAAAAGTATTCATTATTGTCCGTAAAAATGTTCGCGGCTCTTTAACTGCTACAAAACCGCTTTTTGTTCTTAAATCTGCCTAGGTCAGGTTCCGGTTTGTTAAGTCTGGACTATGTTTCACGATAAAATTACAACTCTAAGGCCCGTATTTTAAAAGGTGTCTCAGTCGTGAATCTAGTCTTAAAACTAATTTTAAGTAGAGATTTTATTATTGAACGTCACTTAAAACGAGATTCACCGATCCATACTCAAGTGAGTGATAGCTTATTTTAGAACGATGTTTATGTCGAAATCATTACTCAGGTATAGATTTTGACAGCTGTGATCTTTTTTTACGTGAGACAAGCTGAAACTAGTCTCAAGCGGTGATTTCTAGGGCATTTAGGGGAAATGAATGTGTTTTACGATGATTTCTTTTTGAATAATTACGAAAGATTTACTTTACTTTATTTACGAAAGAATTACTTGGCATACTATCATCAATTTCACTTTCATTTACCTTAATTGATATGAAATTCACCAAAATTCACATTTTACACACACAATACCAGTTTTAATTACCACAACCTTTTGGTTTATGTTAAAAGTATAGTAATTAAAATTTTAGAAATATCAAATAAAAACATCGTTTGACATTTCAACATGACAAGTGTTGATAAATAACTTGAACGTTCCGTTATAGCCTATTCATACAGCTAGTCATTTTTATTTTAATATTTATTATACTTAATTTTGAACGAACAACAACCTTGTTAATATGTTAACATTGCTACCCTAGGCAATAGTATATTATATACAAATTCACAGAAATTATTTTTGTAAAAGAAAATAATTTTTTTAAATAATTAGCTGCGTAATGTGGAATAATAGTGTCAATCACACGGAAACGTAATTGAGAACAGACTGTAAGTTCAAATCAATACTTGAAACTAGTTTCAACTGAGTAAAACTTAAAACGCGTTCTATAATAAGATCGATACTTAAGATTTGATCTGCACTTAAAACTAGTTTCAGGCAATCAGAGTTCAACCGACACTTGAGACGTCTTTTAAAATACGGGCCTAAAAGCCAACCGCGAAAAGCAAGGACTATTAGTTATTTTATAATGAAATTGTAAAATAATGATCTATCATCAACATTTCACGTTCACATAGCTTTGCACATTTTTATTATTTAACGGTAATGTAGAATTTCAAAGCAATGTATTATATCAAACAGAAAAAGCTCCGGGACTTTATCGTTTTAACGGTTGATTGTTTATAAACATAGGTTTCTAAATTATGTTTTCTAAAGGCACGAATCACAGTAAATCTGGTGATTTACCGATAAAACCTAAGATTAAACATAAAACATTACTGCTTATCGTATAACTGTTGAAGTCATATAAGTATATAACTAGTAAAAATAATGATTATTGTAACAATATGGAGAGGCAATTTAGAAATTACAATTAAATCATATCGTTTCATCAGTTAGAGAATTCTCGATTCGAGACACGGACACGGACTCGAATAATTGCAGATTATTTTAAACTTTTACCACTAAGAGCAAATAAACCTTAAATTTACCGACTTTATGTATATGTATAATCATGGATGATATTACAGAACTTTGAAGAACGTGCGAAGTTAGACGGTGACCGAGAGTCGTATTGGAGTACGTACAGCTATAATTCCAAGGACCTCGCTTTGTATGCTCTCGGAGGTAAGACCCTGATAAGATATTGCATTGGGCTATAAACTTCGGACTTTTATGTATATCTTTATTGTAACTGAAGCGTGGGAGAAAGATATTTTATTGTACCGACGTTTGTTATAATCAGTTGCCAACTGGAACAATATCATTTAAAGTTCAGGGGAAAGTTCATTGACTCGTACAGGAATGGATGTGTCACAGAAAAATAATCAAATTTTAAACATAAACAAACTGTAATTCAAATTACCTGGGATGTTGTCTTAGATATGTTAGGATATAATTGAAGTGAGAGATACCATTCTCACATGGTTGAAATATGATCAATATTCGTTAGAATTCAAATTTAGATTATTAATATGATATGATATAGATTAATATAATATGATATTCAAATAGACGTGTTTGATACATACTTATAACTCAAAACTCTTTGTCCACACAGTGGGAGCGTCCGTAGTTAACCCATCTGATTTGAAATTCTTATACGAAAGTCATGAGGACTTCGTAGCTCTCCCGACATACTTTATCTTAGCTGGTATGTGTATTGAATCACCACTCGTCGCCAACTCCATGCCACCAGGCAAACACGCCGACTTCACTAACGTAAGTATCTATCTTTATGTTGGCAGGTAACTAGCAGGTGGAATGTACTATTCTACCCGACAGTATAGATTTTAGAAAAAAAGCTTTCACTAGTGACCTTCATATTTATTACAGATATATGGTATATCTCACGTCTATTTCGGGGTTGCCCGAATAGTTCTGGTCGAATCCCGGCCCGGAAATATTCGGTAGCCTTGTTCAAAAAAATTAAGGGTCCTGCATGAGATTATTTTGCGAGTGTGACGCTTGACTGAGTTGGTATTACTTAAGGTTCTTGCACTTCTCAAAGACCGGCAACGCGCTTGTGACTCCTGAGTTGCAGGCGTTGATGGGCGACGGTAGCCACTTTCCATCAGGTGACCCATCTGCCCGTTTGCCCCGTCTATCTTAAAAAAAAAAATGTATGACAAAATAAACATTGCTTACCTTTTAATTTTTTATCTATACCAATAATTGTGTGGATTTTGAGGGTTAAACTACCAACCTTAATTGGACACTACTTTCAAACATATTTCGACATAACCTTTTATTTAAGATCTCTCTTTTAATGAGTGCTGTTGCCGTGAGTTAGCTGAGCCCGTACTATAAGGGCCCACTAGACGGAGATATAATATTTGCTAATAAATGAGTGCTTAACTTAGGACTATAACATTTTTAATAAGACTTTATTATTACGATAGATTGTATCAGGGAGTGTCTTATCAGTATTGAGGTTTATGATATTAAATTTGACCAAAGTAGGTTTAATTTGGTTTACTGAAATATTCTGTACAATCACAATAAATCTCTGCAGTATGATATATGACATTTTCTTTTCTAGATCCTGCACGGAGAACAATATATAGAGTTCCTGGGTGATTATCCTGGAACAGAAGGCGAATTCACAATACGTTCCTACGTAGCCGATGTCCTCGACAAGGGATCCAGTGCTGTTTCTATTGTTAATAGTGAGTACTATTTTAAGTTCTTTTAGTTATTATTATAATATTATAAATGTGATGTTTTCAACATATAACTACTCGACCCATCACGAAAGTTAAACAAAAAGTATAATTTCCGAGTATGTACTAAGATAATCGTTTACAAAAGACACTCCAAAAATATATATACGAGTACAAATAAAATAAGCCAGTCATATATATATATATATATGAAAATACCTAATGTATGCATGTAGAGGAATGTGTATGTCATTATTGTATGTATATTAATGACATAAAACTATATTATCATGCAAGGAATGACGTCTACTATATAGCTTCTAATTCAAGTTCAATATGCATGAAGATGAAAATAAATAAATAAGTAGTATTTAATCGTTCTGAAACTTTTAAGAATTATGTTTTTAGATATTCGCGTACAATTGCATAGCTTTGAAACTGCAGCTTTGAAATGGCGCACACTTTTATACGATTGGTCACCTGCCCTGTTAAAATTTTACTTCAACGCCTTTCAATTGACTCTCCCCGATCAAAGCAACCTAGGAAGGTAGGGCAAAGCTATAGAAGAGAAGATTAAAGATTTAGTTGAGTTTCGATTACAAAGTCCACGTTACGTGAACCATATTATGGTTGATAGGCTAAGGAATGATAAGATAGCTATGAGTATAGATGTTATTCAATGAGCGATAATTGTATTAAAGGTTGTAGTCCATAACCTGTCGGTCCGGCAGCCATTTACTTTTTCTATTCTTGTATTGAAGTAGTGATTTTCAATGTAAGAGTACTCGTTTACAAGTATTGCATTTTAATTAATTATTTTTCGTCAAACTTTAATATGGGTTAATTGTAGTTATGTGCCGAATACACGTATCTGTTTCCACATATATGTCCAAGAGAATGATCTGTATTAATGTCCGGATAATTTGGCGATACTGGAAAAGATCTTTAACGTTGTTATATTTTATTACGTTTTGTGCAATTCTGATCTTATTGTATTTAATTAAATATTAATATTTGTAATGTCTAAAGCAGCGAGCTATAAGGTACTATTATGACAACCTATTTAACAAGATCAAACGTTAAAATATGTCCTGTTGTATAGTCTGCTGACGTTTCATGGTTAATAGTATAGACATTAACCAAAAAAAAAGTTTTAGGTCCGTATCCGTATTCACAGATCTAGAAACTAATAATACGTGTCCGGATATACATGTTTAATGATCACACACATATCGCTAGTTAGTTAGATGGAATTCTTGGCTTTTAACGTTTTTATTGTAGGGGTTTTAAGATTAGGAAAAAAAAGAAACATTTTACTATAAGCGAGCTCGAATAAGGCCCTCTGTAATCGTACTTTTAGATGAGATAATGGATGATTGGACAGCTTAATTATACTTTTTCTCGTGTTTTTCTGTGTTACTCCTCCAATAATACTGTAATAGGTATATCGCTAACACTCATTTTATTGCTTCTAGGCGAGATTTATCAAAACAAGCAATTGGTGGTTCGCACCCAACAGCAAATCTTCGTGCTGGGCCAGGGCGGGTTTGGTGGACCGCGCAACAGCAAATTGGCCGTCGGCGTACAGAACGCTCCCAAACGTGCTCCCGACGCCGTTGTCGAACAACGGACTGCTGAGGACCAGGCTGCCTTGTACAGGTATAGCCATAACTTCATTTGATTCAGATGTTCATGTCCACAAGACCTATAAAAAAATAAACATAATCTGGAAATATTTGGTTTCTACGTTCAGTTTACGCATCTAGAATCGTATGAGACTAAACTATAGAGGTGCTGCCCTAATAGTTTACTTTGAAGAGCTCTGCTTTAATCCTTCAAGTGTCTTCTGTCAAGTGAATCTTCAGTCAACCGGCGAGCTTCCTTCTCCAACTCTTATGGATTACAGACCGAGTTGTAAGCCTCGCGTATGAACATGCAAAATTACACTATTCTTAGAATTCTGTTTGAGATCTTTTGATCTTGCGCGATAGATTGCGACCACATGCTTAACACAAAGACAAAGGTTGTGGTCCAAGTAGATTCTGAAACGTGGTGGAGGAAATGTATGCTGACTTTGACCCTTTTATGTAAAATAAATTGGTTTTGTATTTCAGATTGTCTGGCGATTATAACCCGCTCCACATTGACCCAAATGTAGCCACAGCAAGTGGACATTCTAAACCAATTCTCCACGGTCTTGCCTCTCTTGGGTTCTCTGCTAGACACGTACTTGCGAAGTAAGAACTACATTATAATTTATTAAAATAAAATAGTCATATCACAAAATTGTACAGTGAGAATAAATGTAGGAGAAAGTAGAAAGGCCAGAGCAGTACTGTATTAACATCTCACGTGCCGCTACACTGATCAGCGCTCACCGGTGTGCCGCTACACTGATCAGCGCTCACCGGTGTGCCGCTACACTGATCAGCGCTCACCGGTGTGCCGCTACACTGATCAGCGCTCACCGACGTGCCGCTACACTGATCAGCGCTCACCGGTGTTCCGCTACACTGATCAGCGCTCACCGGTGTGCCGCTACACTGATCAGCGCTCACCGGTGTGCCGCTACACTGATCAGCGCTCACCGGTGTGCCGCTACACTGATCAGCGCTCACCGGTGTGCCGCTACACTGATCAGCGCTCACCGGTGTGCCGCTACACTGATCAGGTCGTTTGTCAAAACGTAAAATAGTAAAACAATATTATAATTCCTTAGGTATGGTGGCAATAACCCTAGCAATATGAAGGTTTTGAAAGCGCGTTTCGTGAAGCCCGTACTGCCGGGACAAACGCTTGTTACCGAGATGTGGGTCGAAGGTAAACGCGTCCATTTCCAGACCAAGCTCAAGGAGACTGGAAACGCTGTTATTGCAGGTATGTGTCATACTGATTAACCTACTGTATTATATATAAAGCATGTTTAGTCATTCCACCATATTATAACATTAATGTTATGAAATACTGGTGTGAATACTACATATTCATAAAACAAAGTTCTCCCGTCACATGTGTCGGCCCAAACGCAATCAACTTAAAATCTTCATAATTAAAAAAAAAACATTTCATACGTATATTTCACACAAATGTGGTGGTGCTACGACTAGCAGCTTTTTTCTGACTTGCGCGGTGTTAAGCAACATTCTACTTGACACAACAGCTTATGCAACATTACGATAATAAATTTTATCAAGAAATAGTACATACTAACTACTACTACTACTACTAAAATCTATAGGGGCTGCCTGGCGCATCAGTACATCCCCTTGAAATGGAGAGAAGTTAAAGTAGTCTTCATCCCCAAACCTGGTAAAGGCGACTACACACAACCCAAATCACACCGACCTATTAGTCTCACATCTTTCCTACTAAAGGTTCTCGAGAGGCTAATAGATAGGGAAATCAGGGAAACTGCGTTAGTCAGTCACCCTCTACACCTCAATCAACACGCATACTCGATGGGTAAATCAACAGAATCTGCCCTACATCGAGTTGTTTCATATATAGAAGACAATCTAAATCACAAAAGGTCAACACTGGCCACCTTTATCGATATCGAGGGAGCCTTTGACAAGACCAACTTCACCAGCATTAGCCAAGCTCTGTCTAGGCATGGTGTAGATTCCACAATCTCAGGGTGGATCGACAGCATGCTAAGATATAGAGCTATACAATTCACTGTGAGCGAAGTGACTAGAGGAGTGGTGGCTAGAGGCTGCCCCCAGGGCGGTGTACTCTCCCCCCTTCTATGGAACATTGTTGTGGATGAGCTCATCACACAACTTAATGACCAAAGATTACAATAGGCTATGCAGACGATCTTACTATTCTCATCAGCGGTCCTTTTGAGAGCATTACATGCGATCAAATGAGACTTGCACTGAAGATCGTGGAACAATGGTGCGTAGCACACAACCTGACAGTAAACCCATCCAAAACAGAGATGATCATGTTCACAAACAAACGCAGCCTAGGAAATCTCAGACTTCCCAAGCTATTTGGTACACAACTTACTCTTACCAAAGAGGTCAAATACCTAGGAGTAATACTGGACAGTAAACTCCTGTGGAACAAGCACCTCGATGAAAAACTGAATAAAGCCTGCATTATCTTCTGCCAATGCAAGCGGCTACTCGGCAAAAGCTGGGGACTATCACCCAAAATTACTTTATGGCTATACAGAACAGTCATAAGACCAATAATCACTTACGGTGCTGTTGTCTGGTGGCAGAGAACAGAGCTAAGCACCGTCATAAACAGACTGCAGCAATTCCAGCGACTCCCATGCTCCGCGGTCACTGGCTGTATGCGCACAACGCCTACTGCCGCACTGGAGGTGGCTCTTGGTCTGCCACCCCTGGATCTATTCATACAGCAGGAGGCCGCCATGGCGATCATTAGACTCAAACACCTGGGTCTATGGCACAAACGTGGGGGATCGCACTCTAAATTATGGGATCAATTGGTGGAATACGAACCACTGATAGCAGCGCCATGCGATAGAATCCCAAAACACCATATCTTCACAAGAAGATACTACATCCAGATACATGGAAATGACCGAGATCAATCCGGCATTAACGAAGTCCGAATTTACACGGACGGTTCCAAGACTAGGTCAGGAACTGGAGCCGGAGTTTTCTCGCAAGACCTAAACATAAACATATCACTAGCGTTAGGCCAACACAGTTCCATATTTCAATGTGAATGTGTGGCAATAACTTACGCTGCCACAACGGCCATGTCAAGGGGTATTAAGGACTACAACATCCGAATAATATCTGACAGCATGGCCGTCTTAAAGGCATTGGAGGGCAACACAATGACCTCTGGTATTGTCTTCGAATGCCACCAAGCACTGGAACAGCTCGCTATATTCAATGGGGTAATCCTCCAATGGATTAAAGGGCACAGTAACTCACACGGGAACGATGCCGCAGATGAGTTGGCAAGGAGGGGCTCGGCAACCCCAACCTCTGGCCCAACCCCACTCCTGCCCATATCGTTTAACCAAATACGATGCTGGGTCAGGCAACGGACCTGTGAAGCACACAACCGGAGGTGGAAAAACTCACCCGGCTGCAGACAGTCCAAACTGGTGCTGAATCAAGTCACATCACGACTCACCTGCAGACTGATCAGTCTTAGCAGACCGGAAATCAGAACGGTTGTCGGAACTATTACAGGACATCTAGCCCTGAACCGACAACTATTCATAATCAATGCGACGGACAGTCCCCTGTGCAGGGGATGTCTGGAAGCTGAAGAAACGGCCGTCCACGTAGTCCTGGAATGCGAGGGAGTGGCCACACAACGGGCAAGTATCATTCCTGATACAAAGTCGCTCCTAGAAACCTGTGAACGCCCCAGGAGGCTTCTGCGCTTCTGGAAGGAGCTTGGCTGGCTCACCTAGTCAACCAATCCTCGACGCATAAAGGACCACTCTGAGTCTAAATGCGGAAACCGAAGCCCACAACCAATACCAATACCAATTGCTGACATACAAGGGTGATAGTTTTATCATAAACCAGTTATATATCTGGATTACTGCTTACTTATAGGAGCATATATTGACTTCAACGACATCATAACCAGCGGAGCTTCGTCCTCAAGCGCTTCAGCTCCTGCTGCAGGCCCCGGCGGTGCGCTGAAGAGTGATGCCTTGTTTGCTAAGATCAAGGCTGAAGTGGATAAGAACAAAGACTTGGCTAAGGGTATAGGTGGCGTGTTCTTATACAATATCACTGAAAATGGCAAGATTGTTAAGTCTTGGAGTGAGTATTGCTTTGTCTTTTTAGAGGACTTTCGAGTCCTCAAGATACTAAATCAACATTTTTGGAGCTTATGTACTAATATCATCAATTTTTCCAATAGCTCTGGACCTGAAGACACCTGTTGTATCCGAAGGTACACCTAAGTCTGGTAAAGCCGACACGACCATGACTGTTGCTGACAATGATCTGGTAGAAATCGCAGCTGGAACTCTCAGTCCACAAGTTGCTTACTTGAAGGGAAAACTCAAGATTGCTGGTAACATTATGCTAGCACAGAAACTTGGACCTTTGCTCAAATCACCTGCTAAGATATAAAGAGATAATTTATGTTTGGGGGTTGGGCCTTAAGTTATATGAAATGTTATATTGTTATTAATTGTAAGATATTATCAGTTGGTTATTTTTGTATGATGTTAGGTATCAACACACAGCAATATTATCTATGTACCCAGATGGTTTATTTTATTTTATTAATTAAATGATATTATTCCATTTTCATGGCTTGATAGTCATGCCAGAATATGCATTTATGGTGCTGAATGATAATGGAAATCTGTGATATTTAGAACACAATGGATTGGATAACAATATTTGGCTGATTTCTTCAAATGCAGAAAACGAATGTTGAATTATTTACGGTGATGGAATTATACACCACATTTATATAAAACCTGCTTTTATTTAAATCATTAACCTCTATTTATAGTTAGTTGAAAAAATATGAAGGTATATTATAAAAATATATTCATATGCATAATAGGTCACAAGAAATATAGGATATATAAAATATTTGCATCAATACTTAGATTTCAAATAATAGTCTATCAGAACAAAGTTTTGACTGTACTGTAGATTTTTCCGAACCTTGGATACTGAAAAATCTACAGTACTTTCTATTATTAAAGTAGTGCAAAGAAATGGCAGGAAAATAAGAAGCGATTGTTTAATTTAATGATTGAACAGTTCTGTTTGCTTTACTAATAAATAATTCTAGCACCTTCAGCGATGCCTGTTATATTCGTTTTTCCATTTATTGTACCATAAACATAGATAATACTAGCACCTTCAGCTATGCCTGTGTTGTATTCGTTTTTCTATTGATTGTACCATAATTCTACTTTGCCAGTTAATTAATAACTGAATGCTGCTCTAAAGCCATTTGGGGTAAGTTCTCCTATGGATTGAATCCTTTCTAATAAGATGTCTTGCAAACAGAAAATCGAACAGGGAGCTTTAGAGAATGTTGTCCTCGGAAATAAGCTGTTTTAAAGCAATGTGAGGTAAGTTCACCTACAGATTGAATAACTTCTAATAAAATGCCTATACCAATACTCCTCTGGCATCTAGGTTTTTGGTTCAACACTTTTCAAAGTAGGTAGGTAACACTGGATGGCTGGCAGGAGCTGGATGCGAGAAAGCCCAAAATCGATCTAAGTGGCATGCAATGGGAGAAGCCTATGTCCAGCAGTGGACTGCGATAGGATGATGATGATGAACACTACAATTTACTATCAGTACCCTGACGGTCAGCCATTATTTTTATCTTCATAACTACTTTATATTTCAAAATCAGTACTTGCCTGGTTTTGTGTCAGTTTCATATTTATTTTATGTGATAGATTAGAACATTACCAATGCATCTAAAAGCGCGGCATATTTGTTTATGCTTCAAACACTTACATTGAACTTCTGCTCCCGCAAAGAGCACCTGTTTTGAGGGCCAATTCTGGTAATAAAACTTCGGTCAAAATTCAGTTGACGTTGATTTTAATGCGATTATATCGAATTGTGACCGATAATTGAATCAGTAATCTTAATAATATTTACTACGAAAATACCTTTTATGACAGACAACAGTCCTTAGACGGTCTCGAGTGGATTGACAACTTGAAAAAAATATCCCTTCAATAGTGCAACAATCTTATAGTTTTTAGACCAACAAGTCTCGGAAAGCACCAGTGTGTTTAAAGCATTCATATTTCTTTACAACATTGAAAGTGTCAAGTGTGTACTGTGAATATGCACTTGGGTGTATAAGGAGTTCTTCTTTAAGTTAGAGGTATTTATGGAGTCTAAAAAGAAATGATCAGTATTTGGCAAAAATCAATACTATGATAATGAATTTAATTTAAATATAAACAATAAATTTATTACATCAAATGCTGAGGTTGCTGCTGCATTTAAGAAATTTTTACTAACTTTCCTGTATCAACTACGAAATCTTTGAACTCTTTGAGAATGTTAGTAGGTTTGATAGTGAATTTAAGTTCCAGTATGTGTTAACCTTTGAAACTATTATTAGTCTTTAACACTATTAATGTTAAAAAAAAACAACCGATCTATGGGGAAATTCTGTATTAATTATCTCTTGTGGCTAATCAATAGGGAATATGCACATGACACCAAAATGGACAAAATATTTTTATTTGTAATTTTTATTGATAAAAAAAGATACCCATACAATTATTTTTGAAATTTATTATAATTTAATAGTGAAATTTAATCATCAAAAATTGGCTTTTTTAAGATTCCCTCGCAAATTTCTAAAACGCAACGCTATTGGTGGAATAAAACGTGACGTCAACCTACACTGTCAAAAGTGTCAACAAGTTGTGTGTATTTGTAATATTTGGTTTCTGGTGATTATTTGTTTCATTTTAAGTTAATAACTAATACGTTTTCAGTGTTAAATTATTAAATTCCCGTGTAGAAAGACTCAACACAATGACTGAAAATACTTTGTCAGGTGCAGTTTTGATATTATTTGGGCACAAAGGAACGCCACAATATTTATAATAAGTTTTTATTGGCTTTTCCATGGTAATAAGTTAATTTTTATCACTCACTTTTTTAACTTTCACAAACTTTGTGAACTTCACTCCGTTGTTGACATCGAATTCGTCTGAAAGTGTAATCTGACGTCACAAAAAAAGCGCGCCAAAATGGACGTGTTCAAATTGCCCCAAAATGATAGTGATTTTAATAATTTTTTTTTGCTTAACGGTTTATATTTCGGATGTGTTATATTTATTTTTGGTAATGTAATAACTAGTAGAATCGTTTAAAAAAAAAAAAAAATACATGCATATTCCCTATTGTCATTTACATTTAATCAATGTGTTGATAGTGGTGTATTTCCTGATCTTATTAAGTCTATTAAAATTATTCCCTTATTCAAATCTGGTAGTACATCTGACCCAACTTACTTTAGACCTATCTCAGTACTACCAGTATTTAGCAAAATTGTTGAAAAAATTATTTATGATCAATTGCAAAGTTTTTTTTAAATAATAATAATTTATTACACAATAGACAATTTGGGTTTACAAGGAGTCGCGCCACAATTGATGCCAGTATTGAGCTAGTAAAACATATATTTGATGCCTGGGAGGATGCCCACGATTCTCTAGATATTTTTTGCGATTTATCTAAGGCTTTTGATTGTGTTGATCAGGAAATTACAGCACTATGGTATCAAAAATAACGCACTGGAACTTCTTGCTTCATTTCTATCTAATAGGATCCAAAAAGTTGATATTAATGGTGAGCGGTCTTCAGGCTCTGTAGTAGAAATGGACGTTCCACAGGGTTCTATTCTCGGCCCTTTTTGTTTTTAGTATATATTAACGACACTTTTTTTTTTTTTCCGTGCGGAAATCCCCTCGGATACCACCTGTCGGTGGCATGTCGGACTCGAACCGACTAAAACCGCACGCCTTCGCCGGGTACTAATAGCCGGGGAACCAGGTATACCCTAGAAAGGAAGGCCCTGGTGCCCCGACATACCTCGGGTCATCTACAGACGAGTAGACGACCCCCGCCCCGTGTGGGAACCCCATGTTCCCTGTGCTCCCTGGAAGCGAGCGCGCTTCGCAACGCGCTCGCCGCCACCCCGGCCTGCTTCTGCTAGGGTGACAGATGGCCTCACCTGTCACCCCCAGGCCTGCGCTTATGGAGGACGGAGGTCGTTCTGCGACCTCCGGCGCCTGAGTCGCCTGCGCTGCCTGGCCCGTGCCCGGGCCTGGCGGGCCGGGAGAGTTCTAAACCTCTCCCGGTCCCGCTCCGCCGTCTCCTTCGCGAGCATAACTTGCTCGCAGAAGGAGACGGCAGAATATTAACGGCACCTCACCTTGTCAAGGACAATCTCCAGATTGTGTTGTTTGCAGATGATACATCACTATTATTTAGACTAAAACGGACATTTCCTAATTTCACAGAAGTAATCAGGCCATTTCGAAAGTTGTTCATTGGTTTAACGTCAACAATTTGCTTTTAAATTAACAAAAAACTAAGCGTTTCACTATGCCAAAACGTCAAGCCATTGAAAATTACTGTGATGCTTAAGGATGTCGGGTTAGACCTTGTGGACACTACGACATTTTTAGGTTTAACACTAGATTCTAAGCTACAGTGGGGCCCACATATTGATAAATTATCGAGTAAACTCAGCTCAGCAGCATACGCAGGGAAAATTCGAGAGTTGAATGATGTTGCTACAGCACGACTTGTTTAGTTATTTTCATAGCACAATGTCTCAGCCCCTTGGAAACGGGCGGTTGTAGATCGGCACAGGCATATCAAAGAGTTTGTATAAGTTTAATTTTTATTAAATTTATTTCCTTACTATTTGACAAAACAGAGATTGTTGCTTTTGTGTAATATAAAGAGTTTTACTTTTCACAAGGTGAATTGAAAGTCATTACTGTATGCATGGACGTATAAAAAAAGTCGGACGAAACCCTCGCTAACACAAAACTGAGGCACCATGATGGCGGTAGTGTGTCTGAATGAATTTTGGGGTTGCCAAGTTACCCAAATTTATGCCCTAAAATAGTCAATAAATAAAAATATTTATTTGTTCGAATTTTGACTGTTTAATGTCTAAATGCTGTCATTTTTTTTTATAATAATTTCTTTTACTTTGAGAGGTTCTTGAAATTTCCTCTAATTTCGAGAGTGGTGAAACCGAATCGTTAAATATTTTTCCGCTACATATCTAAAAAGACTTATTTTGTGTTCCATTCTCAAGAAAGTATGTTCAGATTCTAGGTTTAAAAAATGCTTTCATCGCTAACAAAGTTTTCTAGAATTTTTGTGAGAATATATTTGTGTTGTCTTTATTTTCACCATTACAATTTCTAATTATTTGAATCCAATCATATCTCCATACTTCATTTTCCTTAGAAAGTTTAGTAAAACAATATGAAATAATATACCTACAAGTAACACATAAATACAATAATGTATTAAATACATAACGTTAATCAATTGATTTTAATAATAAACCAAAAATTGCCTTTGTTTTGGGTAATTTGCACAAGTGAAAATTGGCAACACTATAATGAATTCTTTTGTTCTAGCGAATGTTGATTAATTTTAATTTATAAAATCTGGAAACAAGGGATTGAATTATTCATTTACCTATGAAACGTGATTCTTGGATTATTTTCTTACGGTCAGTACAGTTTTTACACCATTTCATTACCCAAAACATGTTGTATATTTATGTCTTCGCCGCGTGATGCGTCTCGATGCCTTGATGTTTGCGAGCGTAATGACCGATTAATGATATAGGTATAGTGGTGTGGGTATCATGATGATGAGTGACAGAGTTTTTTGTAAGCTAGACTGTCCTAGCATGTGTGTTTTTGTATGTCCATGACTGTATGCTTAAAGTAAATATTGTTTACCTTTAGAAGACAAACTTAACAAGTTGCTTCTCATTGACACAAGTTAGACTGAATGTTATAATCGGTGTCATATCCCTCATCTAATAAATTAGATTTTGATAAGTTAAAAAAATACTAATTGGTTATCACCCACAGTTATATTTTAAAATCAACTACCTACATCAAATGGTTGGTATTAATTTTCCTTCTAGAAATAAATTTGCTTCTTTCACTTCTGCTTCCCAAGCCAGTTTCATTTGAGGTTGTGAAGTTAGGTCTATGAATTTACTAACATGAATCTCAGGAACTCCTTTTGTTTTTACAGTAACACCTATTATACAACAGTATGTTCCTGAAATTATTAAATTCATTCATTTGTAAAGTCTACACTAATGAAAATTCAGACATTAGTTTCGATCCCAACATGGGACAACACTTTGAGTGATCCACAAATTGTTGTTCCGAGTCTGGGTGTTCTTTGTATTTGTTTCATATATGTTTGTAAAGTCAAGACAAGATATATATTACAAGGGTGTGAGTTATCTCTTAAAATAATTTAAATACCAAAAAGGCACAGCACTATTCTTGAATTATTAACATAATTGCAGTGGCAAAACTAGTCCCACCATTGTTTTATTAAACTTCTTTAGAATTAGAGATGAAGCAGGACAGTACCCGCTGCAAGAGACTTTACAGCAAATTCAATAAAGATGCTGTGATATATTTTATATAATATTAAAAACACAATCGTTTATAAGTCTTGATTTAATTTATTATAAGGCAAGTTGAACAGAGAACCAGAAGTTATCCAAAGCAGCAATCATAACAAAGGCTATAGGAAAGTTTGTGGTCTAAGACAAAAAAATCATAGCTTATTACCTTTTTTTAATGAAGATTTATCAATAATACCGTGTGCGGTATCGCATTTCATTACTTTTGCACGGCCCGTGGTATCCGATATTATTAAAATATCAGTGCCGACAGTTTGCTCAATTGTGCCTTGTAACCAAACGTCTATAGGTGTTGATTTGTTTATTAGATCTATGATTAAATATTTTCTGGGGTCCAAAGTCATCATTAACAAGTTAAATGAATGAAACTACTTGTTGAACTTAAATTAATTTTTAAAATGTGTTATATACGTTTCGTTTTACCTTTGGGATGTTGACACTAATCAAAACTGTGTAACTTTATAAAGAAATGAAGAATTATGATGTGTAAGTACCGAAAAAATAATAATTAGAAAGCTTTAATTTACATATTAAATTGTTTTGGAAAGTTAAAATAATATTACACGAACGACTGTATAATCTAACCGGATACGCGAACCGAAAAACTTGGTTTCTGTTAGTGATGTACCGGATCGTTAATAATGCGTATTCGGGGATTAAGTATATTAATATCCAATCCGAGAACATTTTATTTTTTTATTTTACATTATTAAGACATCCGTGAATACAGTTCATGATAATATCGGTCGTAAAGTATCGATACTAATCAATGCAAATTCAAACTAATAAATTAACCAAATTGATGATTTAGGATACAACACTAATTTTACATTGTCATAACGTGGCAACACACCAAACGTCGTTTTAGTGTGTCTTATTGAAAATCAGACTATACACAAAATAAGGAATAGTATATGTTATTTTTTTTAAATAAATGCGATGTCCAAGAAAACATTCTTCACAGCGTAGATGAGTATTTTGTGTATAAATTAACTATAAAATCGTAATATTGGTAGTTTCTCCCTTAGTCGGCTCTTATGACACCCATGGGATTAATAGGGCGTGTGACACTAGTGACACTCCGTACCTATTCTTAATCCGTTACATGGAGCAAACTACGCAGGACAACAACGCTCAAAAAAGAACAAAATTTGTAAACAGGCAATAATAATGTAGAAATACCATAAAAGAAGAGAACACTAAACACATCATTGACCATTTACTTCCTCATTGAAACACATCATGACTGGGGTATAGAGTAATGGAGCAGAGACCTGTCGTTCATGTAATCTTTAACTGTATAATAACAAATCATGTAGTTTCTTTTTAAACATAGTTATTACTTTAACCTTCCTGATATCTCTCGGATTATTGTTGTATATACGCAAAGCTGTACAGAATGTACTTTCATGCATCAGATATGTCTTGTTAGGAACTATGTGCAATATGTCCTTTTGTATTTTGCATGGACGATAGTTGAATACCTTAGAATTATTTTTAACAAATAACCTCAGAATGTATAGATTTGGCAAGGTTAAAATGTTATGTTTTTTAAATATAATACACAGGAGTCGGTTTCCTGCTGATTAAGCACGATCATTTGTAGCACAAAAACGCTCTATAAGGGCTATTTATAGAGCGTTTTTGTGCTACAAAATGATCGGCCTTTGTCTGAACTATTACCCCAAAGTATTATGCCGTATCTGAAGGTTGAACTAACTTAACCATGGTAGACTGCTAGAACAGTCTTTTGAAACGCTATTTTTCAGAGTCTGTTCAGAGCATATGAAAACTGACTTTTACAAACATAATTTTGTTGTCAATATGTAAACCTAGAAATTTGGTTACTTCAGTTTCTTCTATCTCGCTATCATTATGTCGTATTTTTAGGGAAGCCGTGCATTATATACATATTCTAAAATTCATCATTTTCTTTTAGCGATGTTGATCATTAAATTATACATTTTAAGCCTGTCTGCAATGTTTCCCAATGTTTGATTAATATCAAGTTCTAAATTAGTTGATTTATCATTAGTAAATAGCACTGTGATATCGTCATCACATAGTATGATGTCATGATTAGATTTTTTTTAAAGACATTTTTTTAAACTTTAGGAATGTATCCTGTGTCACGGGGGACTTTACAAAGACACATAAAAACGACACAAACAACACCCAAACTCTGAACAACAATTTGTGGATGACACAGTGCTTGGTATCTCTTACTTACGAGTGACGTTACTACGACAGGTAGGTACTGCAGGTTGGGCGCAAGAAGTCGAACCTTACATAGGTTCGACTTCTTGCGCATGTGTTAGTGTTTAATTAATACTGAAAAGGAATGTATTCGTAGCGTGTTTCCAAGATTTTGTTTCGTGGAGAGTTCAATGAATATTCTAGAATGAGGCGACTGTCGTCGTTACTATATTGCGTTCGCGTTATGAAAATAGTGACGCATCGTTGTCCACTGAAGAAGCCCCGCCCGCTGACCAATTAGGTTCCAAAAAGTTATAAAGTCACGTTCACATAAACCAGTTGATTGCGGACTTTTCAGACCACGTAAAAAAACGCGCCTCCAGACTCTACCTTCGATATCCTGGCGGATATGGACGCGAGGGTCTATTACCAGATTCGTGCCATTCACTGGGGTGAAAGCGGGGAAGACCAGGACGAGCTCGAAATGCGGCGGACCGCTCACCGACAGGCACTGGAGCAGTGGCGCGTGCGAAACAGCCGCGAAGTGTAAGCCAACGCGCTGTCGGTGCTGTTCTACCTAACCTCGAAGCTTAAGTATGTAGGGAGGGAGGTCGCGTCAGGTACCTGATGCAGGTACTCACTGGGCATGGTTGCTTCGGTGAGTACCTGAACCGAAGGAGACGGCACAATGCCAGCACTTCGCATCCGACTGGGACTCCACCCAGCAGACGCTGGAAGATTGCCCTGCGTGGGCGTCTGAACGCGAAGTCCTGGTCGACCATATTGGACGAGATCGCTTCCCTCCAGCAATCATTGCTGCCATGCTGGCGGGTGAGGAGGGATGAGGCGCAGCATTACAGCTTCACAGAAAGAGACCGCTGAACGGGATCGGGAGAGGGCCGATCCCAAGCGTAGAAAACGTCGGCGACGAAACCGCCGCGGGCCGCCAGAGAGTGGGGACCTCTGGTGGTAGATTGAATGCTGTGGGTGGAGACAGGATGGCGGTCCGATTGCATTAAGATGCAATTGGGCCGCCACGTCGCGATTGAGGGGGGAAGTGTTTTTCCCCTGGGATAGAGCCTGATTAGGCATGGTGTCGATTCGGGGAGGACCTGAAATAACATGGTCCGGGTCCTGCCAGAGTAGGGCACCTGAGGCCGGCCTTCGGGGTTTTTAGTGTTTTTAGTGGAATCACCACATACTCCTGGCTCCTCAGTGCCCGAGGAGCAGAAGATGCGAAGGGATTTTCCACCCCGTCAACAAAAAAAAAGCAAAGGGCTACCTTGTAGGTGGTGGGGAAAAGATAATAATTAATAAATAACAATATTGCATTAGCAATAATTTCCATTTAAATAATTTTATTATAAAAAATGAAAAGACGTTTGAAAATTATGGCAAATCATAAATATTTATGTAAAGCTATGAATAATGGGGAATAGAATTCGTTTCGCAGCGCTGTAAAACCTTATACCTGCTGTATACCTATATGAATAAAATTTAAAAAGTTCACAGTGGAAATTATTCCTTAAAAACCTCTCCATAAAAATGGTCCAGTATCATTTTTTTGTAAATTGATCAGACAAAAAGTTATGACAAGCAATAGATGTTTTTTTCTTAAATTTTCATCCATTTTCTCCTATAACTTTATTATATTGGTTCTACGACTAAAAGTTTCTTGACCAAAGTTGTAGATAATTTTATTTGTAACAAAAAATTTACACTAACCACTCCTTGATATCTAAAAAATAAATTTGCGTCATCTGACAATTGCAACCTCAAATGTAAATTTTCAATGGACCAAGTAGATAATGTAGATATCACTTTCTAGAAACCGTAGTAGGTTCGAAAACCGCCTCTAAACTGTTTGAACGCAAAAGCTTGTAATGAAATGAGATTCGTGTAAGTCAGCACTATTAAATTTCATCTAAAATAGACATCCGAATGTTACAACCTACATCATATTATATTGTCATACCCTAAATAATATATAAATGGAACAAACTTTTTGGATTAATATAATACATTTGTACAGGATCAACGGTTTTATTCTCGTGTGATCCGATCCGATTGCGGACCTCGTTATACGCGATTTTCCGCGTTGATGTCAACTGTGATTAAAACGGTTATGGTTATGCCTTTTATGGTTTGAGGGGGCCAATGGGCGACATTTCACCCGATGGTACCTAGCGGACTGCCGCCGCCCGTGGACATCTGCAACTCAAAGAGTCATAACCAATAGAGTAACCCTTTAGTATTTGACAAAACAGGGATTGTTGCTATTGTGTGTTGATTAACGACTTTAGAGTCTACATAAAGGACGGTTTCAAACTACATATTTTAAATAATGTTATGATTTATGAAATAAAGATATTTTGAGTTTGAGTTTGAACTCGACCACAAACTAGGTGTTCCTGTATCTGTTTCATTTATCCCAAGAATCAAATGTCCTACGCCCTATCATTCTCTTGCATATAGATGTTTATTGGTAAGCACTCGGGCGGTCAGAACTTTCAATCGGATTCTTATCTGCTCGAGGATTCTTTAGGAGAAAAAGCTGAAAAGTCCCGGGCCTAACAAAGAAAACACAGTTTTTGGAACGAAGTTCCTTATCGCACGTTGTGAAAGGGGGCTAGACGGAAAAAATTCGTACGAAAATTTGGAACGACACTTTTAATATAAATTGACGTCTAACTGTGGATACCATACATTAAATTTGCTTTAACGTTCGCCAACGTCCATACCATGTTGAATACACCGGTTCTCGTCCGATCACCGAAGTTAAGCAACATCGGGCGTGGTTAGTACTTGGATGGGTGACCGCCTGGGAAGACCACGTGATGTTGACTTTTTGCTCTTTATTTTCGTGTCATCTTGTCAGACATTCAGCGCCATCTATCGAATAGATAGGAAATCATTTCGCAAGGAGATTTTACCAATGTATAAATTGTTTTAATTGTTTTTAATATGTAGGTAATAGCCGCTTTCATAGATGGCGTTGTATTTAAAATAAAATCGTGTCAAATCAGTTTTACTCGATCGTCACAACTTCGTTCCTATCGGGTGTCCCACGACACCACACGGCTTTTTTTTGGTTCAAAATTAGCTTTAATCATCAACGTAATCTCCATCAAGAGCAACGCAATCATTC